AAAGATAGGCGACAGTAAAGTTAGGAACAGTAACTTAGTGGATACCGTACACTTCATGATAGCCTGCACTTAAATGGTGTCTAGGGCAAAGTCTAAAACCACCCTCCTCGCCCTCAATCAAGTTACTAAATCTGTCACGGTGGAGGATGATCCTGTGCGACATTAATAACAAGGGTAAGTTAAGTTACCAAGTAGCAGTAGTGCTCATCATTCGGGCTCTTCCTTGCTCGTCACATGTAGCCTATATTTACAGCACGACATTTAGTTACTCCAGCTGAAAGTGCATAACTTAGTTGTCCCATAGGCGTTTAAGTATGTTTCCTCTGTAGGCCTAACATACCCGAAGTTTCTTCTCTTTGGATAGCCCTATGTTAGCGTAGGATAGTTTTTGTGGCACAATAAGTAACTATGGTACTTTGGTACTATTATACGGAGGCCACTAATTTTATAGCGCGCTGTGGTGGTTGTGATAGGTTGGGTAATCATAAATATTAGAATTTCCCTTGTTTCGTTATGGATCGAACGATGCCAGGTGAGTCGTACTTTCTAAGGGTGGACTTCTGTATCTGTTGTCAAAAACAACCGAATGAAAATATTGATTGATAAATCTATTAAGTTACCGGTAAGTTAGGGTAAGCCCTATTCTATAAAATATCAAATGATACAATCGAAACAAAATATTCCATTTTTCATTCGGTTGTCTTTGACAACAGATACAGAAGTCTACCCTATTCTATTTATGATAGCCCAACCTAACATAACCGCTGCAGCGTGCTGTAAGTTATAAGGTTAGGCTGTCTTACTGGTAATAGGCCTACCAAAGTACCTACCTAAAATAACTTGGTAGGTAATTTATTCCGTATAGGTGCCTCCAAACGAATTTTTAATTTTGATCTTACTTTATAGTTTTTTACCTCCTGAATCCAAATATACCATTATTTTTCACCGCTGATGAATATTTCTCAAGATATTGCCGTAAAAACATACTTAACCTTACAATAAACAAGATAGGATGGATAACATTTCAAGTGATTCTGTAGTCAAATAACTTAATGTTCTCTATAATAGGAATTTCGTCACATTATGGAGATATAGATGGACTGGTGGACTAATTACATGTAGTTCTTATTTAGGCATGTCAGGGTGGTAGGTCGTGCTGTATGTGAATTGGTGACTGCGTTAAGTGTTTTGAAGTTAGGTTAGATTAGGAAGGTAAAGTTTAGGTTATAATGTATCGAGTTGTTAGTTTATGTTGCCTGCAGACTGTTTTTGTAAAATTAAAATCCTGAGAAAAACACTTCAAATTACTTTTTAAAAAATGCTTGCATTTTTGAAATAGTAATTTGAAGTGTTTTTTCTGGATTTTAATTTTACAATACCCCCGCCGCAGCAAACCTGCAGACTAAGCGAATTTCCATTTGACTGATTGGATTTACACTGAAAAGTCTACTTAAAAATATAACATTTATTCCCGATTTAAATAGAATTAGTTTAACAAGTACTTAGGTTTGCTGCATCAGGGAGGGTAAAACTTTTTTTTTTGTAAAATGTTAATAGTTAGTAAGAAATAAAAACATTTTCCAAATTTGATCGAAATATGTTCATAAACAAGCAAACTACAACAGTTTACTCATTCTCTATAAGAATAACATGGGAATTTTAAATTTACAATTTTTTTGAATTTTCTCCGTAACCATTAGGCGCATAATAACGCTTCAATATACTAAATTATTTGTTTTTTGAAGCTCTACAAAATGGTTTGGAAATAAATTGCTAAATTTTATGTTTTTTGGGTCAAAAATGGGAAAAACCTATTTTTACCCCATAAAACCCCCCGTAAACACCCGTTCCCATGGTCCGATCATGCTGGATCGCGAACTCGTTCGAATAAACGTAGGTTTACACGTTTGTACCAAATTTCATCAAAATCGGATCATTTTTGCTCTAGTTATCGTGCTGACGGACACATATATATATATATACTAGCAGAGTACCCGTCCTTCGTACGGGGTTGGCATATAAGTATCAAATGCTTATAGCAGTTATGAGTGAGGACATGGTTTAAGAAATTTCGGTTCTTTTTGAAGTTCGTTCGCTACGCTCACTCACCTTTAGGTTGGAGCTCGTTCGCTGCGCTCACTTTCCTTCAGGTTAGCTCGTTCGCTATGCTCACTTGCCTTCAGGTTAGCTCGTTCGCTACGCTCACTCGCCTCCAGGTTGAAGTTCGTTCGCTACGCTCACTCACCTTTTGCTGTTGTCATAAATGTAAAAGAAATAATAGTGCTAGTGCTGCACCCTGTTGGTAATCCTTGTAACTTTTAATGCTATTAAACATCATAGAACATAACCAACTTGTTTAATTGAAACAGCTGTTAAGATTCATTAATTCCATTTCTCATAAGGTTAACATGGGAAACTCCAGAGCCACTGGGGCGGAGCCCCGAAGGATTTTTTGGGATAAAAATATGCCTATATGTTAATCGGGAATGTGAGCTATCATCATGCCAAATTTCAGCCCGATCCGACCAGTAGTTTTTGAGATTAGCTCATACAAACACACACACAGACACCACCTCTTCTTTATAATAGTATAGATATATGAATTTGAACTGATGGTGTTTTTGGCCTCTAGGGACCTCAAAACGAAAAAAAAATCGGTCCCGCGTCCAGGTATTACCATGAGTACTACGGTAATAGCTTATTCCCTATATGGGAAATTCGCTAAAAACAGTTTGCAGGCGACATAAACTAACAACTCGATACCCTACATTATAACCTAAACTTTAACTTACCTAATCTAACCTAACTTCAAAGGACTTAATGCAGTCACCAATTCATATAAAGCACGACCTATCACCCTGACATGCCTTTTCTGACATCAAAAGGAGTTTGCTTACACATTCTAGAGGTTTGGTTAGGTTAGGTTATGTTAGAATAGCACCATTTTATAATGTGATTTCAAAACGGTGAAATATAAATCAATAAATTATTAATAAGGATAAAATACTGGTAACAATAATACATTATTAACTTATTGGTCTTAGAAAGTGAAAAGTGTACTTAATCAGGAATCAGAGTTAGCTAATTAAAGTTGTCTCTTCCATTTGCTTGACTATGATTGAAAACAATCAGCTGGTTGGTTTACTTATTCCATAGTTCATTCCACTTGTAAATGTCATCCATCATACCTTTTTTATTGTAATGTTGTATATTATTACGGCGATATCTTGAGAAATATTCATCAGCTGTGAAAAATAATGGTATATTTGGATTCAGGAGGTAAAAAACTATAAAGTAAGATATCAAAATTAAAAATTCGTTTGAGGCACCTATACGGAATAATTACCAATAACTTAACTCACAGTAGACTCCCTCTTATCCGGACACCTTTTAACTTTTTAACCAGACAGCGGTTTAACCGGAATACACTCGGTGGAAATGACATCTCTTTAACCAGAAAATTTGTATCAGCACATCGGTTTAACCGGATTAGATCGGCAGGAACTGGGCGGTACTGAAACGACCGTTCTCGTGGGAAAAATTTGAAACCAGTGATCACGAGTATAAGTAAATAGGCTACAAGGCTCTCCTAAATTTAACCCTCCAAGTGTCCATAGTTTAGGCCTTAATGTCCACCTATTTTTGGCGCATTTGCAAGGTTTTATTAAAACGGATCTGAGAAGCTTAAAACAATGTTAATTCTAATGTTCTATATACCATTTTGTTTGGAAAATCATGGGCTTCAATATTATATATAAAACATAAGGAACATTTTTTCAAAAAAAAAATTTTTAGGTAAAAAAAATATAATTTCGAAAATTTTCAAAAAAAAAATAAGTTTGCGCTCAATGAAATTGTATAAATTATAGGCCTATAAATATTTGAAAATAGCCACTTTGTTCTAAATTTTATGAGGATTACAAATATATAATAATATAAGGAAGTATATTTGCAAATAAATAAGTTATGGGCAAAAAACTGATTTCAGTACATAGCGTTTAGCTAAGAATGCATAGCCTAACCATAGCTAGGAATCTGGCTGATAATTTACATCAATATCACTACCTACTTCTTCAGGATCATCAACCAGCACTTCAAAACCACTTAAATCTTCTTATAATGCACCACGTATATCACTACTTTTGATTTTTAACACTAAAACAATGATAAACGTAATAAAACACATCAGTCATCGGTCCGGGGGAACCTAGCTGTTTACAAATACACGCACGTCAGCTGTCTGCTACAATATTTTCGGAACTAAAATGAATAGCGCTTAGAGACAGACCTCTGGAGAAAGCTTAGAATATTACGGAAAGAACGATACCTAACTCGATCCAGTTCAATCCGATTCAGTCAGTCATAGAGCCTTCGCCGTAAACGATGTCTGCGTGTCGAAAAATCGACAAGTAACACTACACAAAGTGTGCTGCTTGTCGAATTTTCGTCAAGTAACACTGGGAGGGTTAAGTAAAATACACATTTCCCTAATCAAACCATCCGTTTTTACGAGTTTTTGGGTAAGTCAGTTTAACCGGATAAACCGCTATCCGGAATGGCCTCGGTCCCGAGGAGTCCGGATAAGAGGGAGTCAACACTGTAGGCCTTAAGTTTTGTAGGCTATGTAACTTAAGTTAACTTAAGTTTAAGCATACTTTGAAATAGCCTATTTTCGTTTGAGTGTGCATTCGCCTAAATACCCAGCATAACAACACTGACACTGTAAGCTCTTGTAAACATCAGCCCAATAAGTTAATTTTACAACTTGGGAGGGAGGCTTAAATCCTCAGAAAGGAGTTATAGAAACATTCAGGAGTAGAATTACAAGTGTTTATCTTCCAACGTTCTTTAGTATTAAAATTCAAACGGCGACTTGCTGTATATTGTATTTTAAAAGTGTTATTCATTAAACCTGGATGTACTGGGAGGTGCTTAGCCTAGACCTACTTTCAAAATGTCATCGAGCCGATTATGTTTACGAGGTACAAAGTCAAACTTACCTTGTATAACAATAACACTTTCTAAAAAACACTAGAACACTTTAAGACACTAGAACTCCTTGAAACACTGAGAAACAGTCACTCGCGAAAATAAAGTATAACGAACGAACACACAATAAAAAACTCGATCTCGGCAAAACAGCGAACAGCACAACAGCAGACAGGCGACCGTCAGGCAAACCGAAAGAGAGGTTACCACTGGTACCAACTGATATTGAGGAAAAACCGCAAAGAAAGTAGTTCTTTCAGCGATATAGCCTGATTAATTACCTGGTTTTCTGATAACTCTTGATATGGTGTATAAATAATAAGGTTCTCTAAGTTACTCCGGAGCCTTATATGAATTGCTGCCTTAAAGGAGTTTTTGATATAATTCTATTAATCAGATGAAATTATTTAGGCGGAAGGATATCGTATTCTAACAGTGATGTCATCGCCCTTCTTTAGCATGCGAAGACTTTTTGTGGGCGTTGCCTCCAGCCATAGAGGATAGAGAACTTGATGCTCGATCATAGAACTTCATTGAATAAAATAAAAAATATATTATTACTTTTAAATCATTAAAATATTACATTTTAGTTTCTGATCAGGCTATCAAATCATTGTATTAGATATGGATAATGTAATAAAAAAGCAATTGGCACTTGGCTCTATACAGAAAAATGGTGACGATATAAGACAATAGGCAATAGACAATGGATTTTATTCCTTTAAGCATGCAGATTCACATCACTTAAAACAATATAGAAAGGGCGACAAAGATTTAGATAAGGTATAATTTAAATTCTTTTTCTAATTAATATAAATTTGACAACAATAATTTTAATGGGTTACAACAGATTAACAGGTCATGATATGAGGCGATCGTCCATGTAGTCCGCTACAGAGTAGTAAGATTGATCCTTTGGAAAAAGAGTTGCAGTTTTCTTAAGTCTGAGTGGACCATCTAATAGCTAATAGGAGTTTATTCAAGGGCGTACCCAGGATCAAAACTAGGGAAGCAAGAGCGTACATGAAACAGGGGTCGCTGGGGGGATACCCCCAGTCTGAAGGGGGTCCGGGGGTGCACCCGATAGAAAAAATTTCAAAACAATATGATGAAATTCGTGTTTTTTACGCTATTTGAGACATTAATAAAAAAACCTACCTAGCTCGATAATCCAGCGTTTACCATTAACCATTTACCACGTAGTCCTCGCCACAATCTTCGGAACGGGAGCATGTTCGAAACACTGAGCATATCAATGTTGTGTCATCAGCGTAGCGTAGTACTGGCAAAATAGGAACATTAAAATACAAAACATATCGATAATAAAAATCAGGTACAAACACGAATTACTAATACTGCTGTAGAATAAAACCTGTACTGTACAAGAAAGGTACGAGCACGGAGCCTTGGGGGTACACTGCTCTTAGCACCAATCGGACCCTTATCACACTGTAAATATGTAAAATGTTTAATAAAAGACGTTGTCCTACTTTCTTTTTTTTGTACTCAGTTTATACAGGGTGAGTTTTAAATGAGTTCCCCCCCCCCTACTTTTTTCTACATTTCTTAAGATGATCTCCGGACCACGTCAGATCATTGTAGAGTAGTAAGTACTTCATTTTGACTGGGTATGAATTTTTGGCCGCCATCTTGGATCTGCCATATTGGATACAAAGTTTTTTTTTTCAAATGTAAAGTTAGGGTTGTGACCCATCGTTTTAAATTAAATTTTTATGCTGAATACGACTGAATATGCTGCAATCCCATTTTAAAAAATCTTGATCCATTCTAAAGTTATGAGAACTTTTTATAACATTATTTTTAGCCCATTTTAACATTTGCATTTAGAAACCAAGAACATAATCGCAAAATAAATAGAGCTAGATAAAGATTTATATTATGTGGTGTATACTTATCTTTATCTAGCACTATTTTGCGATTATGTTCTTAGTTTCTAAATGCACAATGTTAAAATGGGCTAAAAATAATGTTATAAAAAGTTCTAATAACTTTAGAATGGATCAAGATTTTTAAAAACAAATTGAAGCATCGTATTCAGCATAAAAATCTAGTCTAAAACTATGGGTCATAGTTTTACACCATTACATTTGAAAAAAAAACTTTGTATCCAATATGGCGGATCCAAGATGGCGGCCAAAAAATCATACCCAGTCAAAATGAAGTATTACTACTCTACAATGATCTGACGTGGTCCGGAGTTGATATCTTAAGAAATGTAGAAAAAAGTAGGGAGGGAACTCATTTAAAACTCACCCTGTATAATGCCAAGCTGTTAAATTTGATAAAATAAATTATGTACAAAAAATATGTTATAAAAGATGGCCTATTAGACTATCAAAGATTTTTTGCCAAAGAACTTTTCAATGATTTATTTGGCCATTAAGCAAAGCAATAGGCTAAGTCAATACAATACAATACAAAGTAAATAATAAATAGTCTCTTGATTCACAAATAATGCAAGTTAGATAAGGAAAATAAAATCATGCAAAACAAAACTGTAGCAAAACCATGCAAAAAAAAACAGGCAAGAAAATAGCCATGCAAGGCAGTCAGTGCATGAGCATTACCTATAACAAAACTGGTAGTCCTACTTTATAAAATTCAGACCGGTCATAAAAAGGGTTTTTTATCAACCAGTCCTTCATTACTGCCTTGAACCTTGAAATAGGCAAGTCCCTTATGGCTACTGGCAGGTGGTTGAAAAATCTGTAACCTGAAACAGGGAAGCATTTAATTGTTCTGCTCAGTCTGTGTCTATGTGCAAAAACATTTAAACAATTTCTTGTGGCATAGTTGTGTACTTGGTTGTTTCTCAAAAGGTGCACTTCATTTGCCTTAATTTCTAAAAGACATTGAAAGATATATACATTATATACAGTCATGATGTGGTTTTGTTGGAACAGAGGACGGCAGTGTTCCAGGTACTGGGCTCCACTCAGCACCCTGACAGCCTCCTTTTGCAACACTAGGATTTTACTTACACCAGAAGAATGGCCCCAGAGCCTGGTTCCGTAAATAATGATGGAGTGGAAAAAAGCAAAATAAGAGTCTCGAATGAATTCCCCAGACAAGTCAGTACTCAGTCTTCTGAGCAGGAATATGACCCTGCTCAGCCTACCGCACACCGACTCTATGTGGTCTCCCCAGGTGAGGTGTGGGTCCAGAGTGAAGCCCAATAACTTCACAGGTCCAGTCTTTTCACCTGCCATGTCCAGACTGAAGGTCATTGATTGGGTTTTGGACTCATTCAAAACAAGTTTGTTATCATTGAACCATGAGGTGGCCATGACAAGAAGGCTTTCAACCTTAGATCTAGAAATACTGAGGATGGGATCCTTGGCAAACAGGGTTGTGTCATCAGCGTAAAATATGGCTCTACCAGACACATGGTAGTACAAGTCATTAATAGACACAAGGAACAGAAATGGGCCCAAAATGGAGCCTTGAGGAACACCATGATTCACAGACAAAAGAGAGGAGTTTCTACCTCTCCAAGATACTACCTGTTGTCTATTGCTAAGATAGGATCTGAGCACCTTGAGTGCATCGCCGCGTACGCCATATCTTTCCAGCTTCAGGATTAGGATATTGTGTGAAACACAATCAAATGCTCGTGAAAGGTCACAAAGCAAAACTGAGACATTTAATCTATTTTCGAGTGAGTTGAGCACAGTCTGGAGAAGGGAGTCCACTGCCGAGACAGTAGACCTGCCCCTTCTAAAACCAAACTGAGCTGGCACAAGCAGGCGATGGTCCTCAAAGTGCTCGTACAACTGTTCTAGCATAACAGCTTCAAACACTTTGGCAAATATGGGGATAATAGCAATAGGCCTATAACTACTGACATTGTCATGGGCTCCTTTCTTAAACACTGGGACTACCCTGGATATTTTCATTGCATCAGGAAAAATTCCCTCTTTCAAACAAGCATTGATCACATTTGCAAGGTGATTTGCAACATAGTGGACAAAACCTTTTAGTAGATCAGTTGACATATCAAAGTAATCTTTACTTTCAGATTGCTTGAAACTGTGGACAATTTTAATTATGTTAAGGGCAGTAACAGGCTTCCAAGAAAGTCAAAGGGAACCAAAGGAACCTTTTCCAGGTTACATCCAGTACTGTCTACATTGGGGTTAGCCCCTTGTGAAATATTATTTACAGTGCTACAGCTGTTTACAAGTTCCTCCACAGAGTTAAGGAAATATTCATTAAAATCCTCTGCCTTAGCAAATTCACAACTAACAGGAGCTGACTTAGTCCTAGTTCCCTTAATAAAATCCCAAGCTGCTTTACAGGGATTAGGTGCCTGTGAGATAGATGAGGCAAGGTAAGCTTGTTTTGCCTCTTTTACTTTTAATTTATAATCAGTCCTCAAACTCCTTAAATAAGGTATGAGAGCAGGGTTACTTTTTGAAATATCGCTAACTAGGATTACTTGATCCTACTTAAACTTAAAAGATCTTTCATAAAAACATTTTACCGTGTAATACAAAATCAATTTAAAAGTAATACAATTTAAATGAAAGTGTAAGATGGGTGATCAAAGTTCTCATGATTTGGGTTGGCGACAGTGGGCAAAAGTAAACAAGTAAAAATTGACTTCTGACTTCTCTGCGGGTCTGACTTAGGGGACGTACGAATGAGGCATTTAGTTCAAAATTCCTCCGTGAACAGCGCTGTAGTAGAGAGCACTTTGGCAATGAAGGTTAACTAATCGCAAAAATAGTTCTGTTCATAAAATAAAATTATAAATGTCTCAAATTCAATTTTATAATTTTTTAATTATAAAATTAAACTATCATAACCTAACCGAACTAACCAAACTTGCTGATAAAGAAATAATATAACAAAAGTTTAGTAATCGGAAAAATAATTCTGTTTATTAAATAAAACTAGAATTTGCTCAATTAAAATTTTATAATGACTTAATAATAAAATTAAACTTTTATAACCGAACCAAACCAACCAAACTTGCTAATAATAAAAAAATCTTGGACAAAAAGTTAATGCTGCCAGCAGGATTCGAACCCGGGACCTACAGTATATCAGCCCGGTACGCTAACCATTAGACCACCGAGGCCGACGGCTACCGATCGTTTTGTTACGGTAATGGCGTTCCCTCAGCTAATAAGAAGCCCACAGCTGTCATCGTAGCCTCTTCTATACCTCCCCTGAGTAAAAACCCTTCTCTGCTCTGGACTGGACTGGAGTGGAGTGTCAAGGTCAAGTCAAGAAGTCAGTTCAATGTAGTCCGTTCTGTCTGTACTCTGTAGTCGTAGTGTGGACAAATTCAAAATTACAAAATAGGCCTAGCTAGCAGTCAGTATCTTAACCTAACCCTAACTTAAGTTATTGCCTATCTTTAAGATTAATTTTAATTTCAGTGCCTTCGTACGGTTATAATTTAAAATTTTCCTGTGATTTAGTTGTTTTAGAAAGTACTGTAATATACTATTTCCTGGTGGTTTCAATGCAAACATGATGAATATGATGGAGTTAACTACTGTTGACATTTCACTTCTGTCTTCTAAGGCATAGCTTGTCTAGTTATTATACTACCTAGGCCTATAGGCTTAATTATTTTAAAACTTGATTACTGATTATCAAGAGGATTTTTTTTCAATTAAGAAGTTTAGAAGATCCCTATACTCAAAATGAAGTTTCGGGCTCGAATGTCAGAGGCTTTCTGCATGAGAACATTGTCAAGTAAGGCCTAAACTTAATTAATTTGACTTATTTATTATGATTAGCAATATTATTATTTGCACTTGAGTTTACACCCCACATTCACTAAGTTATCGATAATTTTAACCCTAATATGAGTGAGGGATGAATGTTTACCCTAGACTACCCCGATTTGATCTGCAATGTTGAATTGATAGTCATTAGGCTATTGTTCAGTGGCGGCGATTGGGCTTGAGAGGTGGGGGGGGGGGCGAAATCTAGATCTATTGTTGATATAATTCTATTTTATAATTTTAATAAATATTCCTTATGAAAGTGGGGGGGAGGCAACTGCCCCCCCCCCTAAATGCCGCCTCTGCTATTGTTAATCAGTTGAGTTGGGAACAGTTAAACATCTCTTTCAATGCATGAGTGTTAAAACACCTAGGGAATAATAGTGGTACCCGTACAAGCTGGGTGGAAATATTTTTGGGGTTTGGCCCGTGCTGATCTTTAATGTGAATTGTTCTTTTTAGGCCCTGTGGAATCTCTCTTACTACTGCTAAGTTACTCGTACCCAAACCACCATGCCAACTGCTTAGTGAACCTCGTATTCGTAACATTTTATTTTGTTTTTTGCACTCTTAGGACTCTCCGCAAGTTTAGACACATCAAATTTTGAATCTGTAATTACTAAGTTATATTCATCTTTATTCTGCAGAATTTTTTTAAAGAAACCACAATATTCCATTCCTTAAGTGCATTGCATTAACACGTTCGCTACTGCAATAGTACGAAATTTTTCATTCACGTGGACCAGCGACGCACATATGCGTCGGCCGGGTTCCACCTATAGACTGCCGTCGCATATATGCGTCGGCTAGTCACATTAAAATAGACTGCCGTCGCATATTTGCGTCGGGGTTCTAATATTATTAAAATGCTTATATCTTTGTAACGGTCTATTTGAAGGCACTGAATTCCCTGCAGTGGTCTACAGAGATGTCTGACGCACAACTGCGTCGCTTGGTCTGTGGATATGATGATTGGTGACGTCATATGATAGTTGGAAAAACTGGTCTTTACTTTTCTGCATCACTGTTTGTATGTATGCAGTATGTATGCTGAATTATCCTATGTAGCTTTTATATTTGTTCAGTTGTAAACTGTTCTTGATCAATCTGTTTTTTATTTTACTTACTTTTACCTCAAAACACAAAAAACGAACTGGCGCATATATGCGACGTTTGGTCTATTTCAAGAAAACTATGATAATTTTCACTATTGTCTTCGCTGTAGACCAGGCGTCGCAAATATGCGACATTACAAAAGGTTATTAATAATACAAAAAAACTCCAATACATTATTTACAAACACGATTGTCGCGTATTACAATGTAAATGATCACTGTTTTATAGGTTTTCGCCCGTGGTCTGTGTGTACTGTTATCCAAGTGACAGCCGGTCTGTGTGTAAGATTCAAAATGTATACCTCGGTCTGTGGCAATGATCGCGGCGTCGCATATATGCGACGCTCAGTAGCGAACGTGTTAAAGACGATCGAGATGGTTCAGTAACTCTAGCTTCAACCAATTTGATTAGGCCTAACTTATAAATTGAAAATTAGGGACTTAAGTAAGTTAGGCCTAATAGAAAAGTATATACCTTAGCCAAATCCTCAGCCATATTAGGGCCTAAGTTTAAATGTTAACAATATTCTGAAAGTGATTTCAAAATTGAAAAGTAAGTTACCTCTTTCATAATTCATTATTAAATACTTTTTGGTGTGAAACAGTTGTTTGGTTACATTATTTAGTAATTATTCACTAGCCTATAGATTTTAGTCAATTATCATTATTTGGGTATGTATTAAAGTGAAACCGGAACTGCTTATATTTTTAATTTAAACATACTGATCCATGTGTTTCAGCGATAGTTACTACAATATCGAAGTTGACAAAACTGTGTGTGCTGAGGCTAGCAAAGGAGCATTTTTACTTCATTGTGTTGGATGACAGTGCTTTGCCTCTTCGCACCCTTGTCTGGTGTTCCATGCAACAGTCACATTTCTTCAATGAGTACAGATTGGTCGGCATGCCAGAAGATGAGGACGAGATTTACCTAGAGTTATCACCAGGTAAACTTTAGCTTTCTAGAGTTTAACTAAAAATGAATTTTCTCAGTAAGAATAAAATTAAGTTTAACTTTACCGTACAGTTGAACTCCAACTTCCAACTATCCTTGGGACTGTACCACATTCGGATAATCAAAAGTTCTGAAGATTGGATATTTACTGACAATCAAGGTATTTCATGGAAAATTCATTGTTACTGCCCAATGTGTTTTAAATTAATAGTGGATGAAAAATAGAGCTAATATTAATACTATCAGGATTGCAAAACGCATCAAGATTCTGGCTTGATCACAAATACAATGATGTATCCGTGACCGCAGGAGAAGACAATGTATACACGATAGCGGGATATATTCAGGATTTCACCACGAGCACGGTTTCTGCCTTCTTTAATAATGATTCTTATTAGGCCTAGGTACTGAAGTTTTATGATTGATTGCTTTCTGTAAGTGATTCGGGTAGCCTAGTTGGAGTTCGGATGGTTTGAGTACCTAATGTTTCTATAGGCAAGTTATAATCAAGCTTGGCGAATGTGTTACTTAGCTTAGTGACTAGCGGTAAGCGTCTCAAAATTAGCGAGAGGGACAAGTTCGGTTCCTAGTGTGTACACAAAACACTTAACTTAAGTGAGTTTGGACTCCTTTCCTGAAATCGCTTAAATTACCTGTTCAAAATTCATTGACATTGGCATAGATGCACTAACAAAAAATAATAAATGGGTATACTGCACAAGTAAGGTTCAAATGGAGTATCTGTTGTAAACTGTGTATTACATGTTCCAGATTTACTTGCATCATCGCTTTCTTCCCTCAAAGTGAATGTAAGTGCTGCTAAGACAATGAAAATCAAGCTGACTCATAAAGATACTCCTCGTCTCACATTGGAGATTGAATTGGTACGGTAAATCTTTCTCTATTGTTCTTTATTCCTAAATTTAAAGCCAGTGGCATGGGAGTGAAACCTATTTTTCTATTCATTACCCATGGCCTCATAAAGTCAATAACATCATTTTAATTTATTCAACACTCGTGTTTCATTCATCTCACCATGTTAAAATTATGTACATTAATGTGTTGTATGGATTAGAAAATTATCTAATATCTCTTGTTTTTTATTTTTTTATTATTCTACTAGGCCTATTGAGAAAACATATTCTCATCTTATTATTCATTTTTTTAAATTTAAGTCTCGTATTTTTATTTTTTTTTAGTTACCTTCACATCAAACTAATATTTTGGAGTGGTGCATAGCTGTAGCATAAAACAGTAACTTAATAAACATATATTTTGAGTTCTGACCAACATGTTTGATTTATTTTATTAGAATCATAGTCTTATTTGTTGTTTTTTATGATGATAACTTTTACTTGATGTCATCAGTAAAATTTTTTAGTTCTGTAAATTTACTAGTTATAGTTAACTTACTAACCCTCTGTCAGTCGCACTATATCTTTCAGATAAATTTATCTTAAAAATTTGTTTCAGCACTTAAGACATAGGCCTATATTTTCCCCCTAATTTTTATTTTACTTTATACAACAACTAACTCTTGACCTAGATTCCATACATATTTCACATCGTCTAAGCATTTTTCAATTAGTTAAAAAAAAAGTTGTCACACCATCCACATTCTTGTATTCATTAGATAGTGCGACCATGCCCGTGTAAAATTGAATTCAACGTTTTCTTTGCTGGATAAAACAGTTTTATTTATTTCTATGTTGAACGGAATTACTTAATTTTTGTATGATAACACAAATACATCCCATAAAAATGAGACCGGCCACATTTTAGTTTGAGATACCACACAAAATAAAAACAGGACCGGTTGCACTGTACCTATAAGATACAAGGAAGCAAAAAACAAGGCATATGTTCGCGAGACAACACTAACAGCGATACTAGGTGTGGGGGGAGGGGATGAAACAGCACACAGGCCAAGACCGGTTTTGGGACGAGAACACGAAAATGGCAGGAATTTTTCATGTTGCGGTATCTAATAGATTAGGTGCGACCGACGGAGGGTTAATATGATGACACTATCTTTGTACTTTGTACTCAGTAAGATGTATTGAATAAAGAATTTTAATTCCCCAACTTGGTTTTCTTTTTTTTTTTATTCAGCCAACTCAGACAAGCCAATCACGCATATGCATGCATGAAGTCCCTGTGCAGGTTGTGCCTTATCGAAGGTGGGGAGACTATTCTGAACCTGCTGTCTTGGAACCTGACGTAAGTTTTATGTAAAGCTTAATAAATAAGTGCATATAAATCATTCCAATTAAAATATAGTTTTTTATGCAACCTGCAATATTTACAATCTAAGCGATGAAATTTGCACTGTGATGATTACCGACTGGTTCGTGGGGTTGTGGGGAAAATGCATAGAGTTGTGGGGAAAATGCAGGAGCACTGCTACTCATTGTTATTGGTTGCAATTGAGCACAAAATGACACAATCTTAACCGGTCTTTGTGGTCAAAATATTTGTTATTTCACCTTTAAATTTTTTATTATCACTCCTGAATTCACCTCTACAGGTTAAGGTTGAAACATTTTATCCTCTCAGTAACCTGTTGGCATATTAAATATATTTTTAAATTCTCAGATAAGCATAGAGATGCCTAATTTGAAGCTACTACGAAACATCACAGAACGATTCAAGAAACTGGCTAACTTTGTCAATGTGTTTGCCGGTGCAGACGGTCAACTAATGCTCAACGCAGAAACTAGCATGGCTGCTGTCACAACCCACTTCCGAAATCTACAGGTCTTCAATGTGAAAGGTAATATTTTAGTGATAGAACTTGAAAAGAGGGATGAGTTGTGGCAAAAAATCTACCTTGGAATAATTCAAAGTCCCTATTCTAACTTTGGAGGCCTACATTGTGAAGTGGGTAAAAAGTGTATTTAATTTACAATAAAAAGTGCAATACCTGCAATAACATAATCTATTGTTGGTCACTATGTTCTTCATTTGAGAGGGTTATAGTTGTACCAGAAACGGCATATTTCCTGACTGTAGGACTGACTGTTAGCTTAAATGTTATGTTTTTAGGAAAAAGCATTTAGCTTGGATTAAATAAATATATATGATGTATCCATCCTATATATTTATTTAATGTTAGCTTAAATGAATTTCCCATCCTTAATTTTGTAATTAATATAAATCTGCCACAAGTATTGCAATCACGAATACCCCTAGAAATAAAAAAGAAATAAAAAATAGAACAAGACATGATAAACTCTTACTCAATCCATTGAGGCTCAATTGGAGCCACAGAGGTCATATTGAAAAATAAAAGTAGAACAACCAGAATTACATTGGTCGAGCAGTCAGTTATTTCTTAACATTTTTCCTCATATAAATATATAGTTTTTTGCCAAGATAAACTATTGAGACAAGCCTGCTATACCATTTACTTTATATCTTGGTTCAACATTTCCATGTGAGTCTTTTCTGATTCAGATCGCTTCTTTTACCTACTATCTACTGTATATACAACTTCAAGCCAGCCCAAACCTTCCCTTATGCGTCTTCAAGTTTGTGTCCCAACAAAAGTTACATGGTGAAATTCTGTTGCAGACAAGAATGCCGGCCCTTTCTGTACAAGAGTGGATGTCCGTAAACTGACCAGCTTCATGACATGTGAACAAGTTTGCCCTACGAGAGTCACCTGTCATGTGAAGGCAGGCACAAGCATTCAATTGGTAGCCGAACATGCTGATATGAATCTCAGCTTCTATCTCGCTGGGGTAGACGAATAAATCACCAAACATCCACCAGATCTTACTGTGATATCTAGCATTACATTTTTTTACTCTGAACTTTTGTGTTTAATTTGGTTGGTCCTTCAGAATTTTTTTTTATCAAAGTTAATACTTATCTTATGGTCCTGAGGTGTAAGTGAAGGTTGGGATTATACTCATGTTTGCATTGGTTGGGTGGGGGCGGAGATTAGCCAGGCAATGCCTTACAGTAGAAATCCAACTATCCGAATTACTTACTGAAAGAATAGAAACCTAAAACTGTGGTAATAAGAATCATTAATAAAGACTGGCAGAAGCCGGATGGTGAGCAAATCCTAAACATCTCCTGCAGTCGTGTGGACATCATCATCGTCTTCGGTGATCACGGAAAAATCTTGAATACCTCCCGCAGTTGAATAGACATCTTAATCTTCATTTCCCGTGGTTGTGGAAAAGCATCATCGCCCTCCACTATCGCAACAAAATCATTAATTTATCGATCATAAGGCTCGACTCAACTTGGCCTATTTTCCGCAAAAACACTGAATTTTAGTAGAAATATCCAACTGTACGAATCTTGTCCGGTTCCAATTAATTTGGATAAAGTTCTAAAAACATCATTCAAAGAAACAACACCAAGGAATTTCAGGAAAAGAATAATATATTTTTAGCGGTTTATTTTTGTCTTGGCAAAAGTACATGGATAAAGTGCGAGTTAAAAAAGAAAAAATCAAATGTTACCATGCAGAACACTTAAATACAAACATACAACCATTTTGCTTATGTACAACAGCTAACACATACTGTGATAAAATTTACTGTATAAAATGTCCATAGAATTAATAAAGCTAGACGAGACAAATTCTAACATTTTTAGAATCTATGACTTATACATTATGTAAAACGGAAAAATATTAAAGAATTGAAAATCAACAAAAATTTACACAGTACAATGAATAAGATTAAGCAGATCCTTTGACAGAATCAAGTAGCGATAATATTGTCCAAGTATAAATATAGGACTGAAAAAAACATAACTTTGATAACAATGAAAACATTTTCTGAAAAATATCATTAACTTATTTAATTAAATTATTAAACCCTTTTCATAAAATTAACTTATATAAAATTTATATTTTTGACAAATTTAAACATTTAAAGGCATCTAAACATATACAACACAATTCACAAATAATATCTAAAAATTATAATGAACATGTGCAGGAAAAGAGTAAAATTCTAGCACTATATGATTTCTTTCATATTTACAAAGTAAGATAAGAGCCTAGTTGTTTATTTCACGTTAGACGTTACGCTAGCTTCTAATTTTCAACATGGTAGTCCTGATCCGCAAGCTTAGAAGGACTTAAACAATATACACAAACACATGCATTGTAACAATTGCAACAACATTAACATTAAAGTACTCATGACGGTTTAAAACTAAACAACAATGTAACAATATGACTCGGCTACATCAGTGGGAAGTAAGTACAAAGTACATGGTAATGACAATGACAGTGATGATTCAACTCTCCGTTGTCAGTTAGGCTACATCACTAAACACTACAAATCAAGCGAAGATCAAGGTGAAAAGCTCATGGAGATAAGCTCAAAAATAACCCTCGTTTTGTACTATGAAAAACTTTGTTGACTGGGATACAACTGAAATACAGGGAAAAGGCGGCGAGAATCATTGTGTTGAGGCACAGAACTAAATGTCCAACAAAGGTTTGGATTAGTTTCTATCATCGGCACTCATAGGGGTAGTTGATAAAATTTATATTCCTGAAGATATAGTTGTGTGTAACTGTGCAAATTCATTATACAAAAAAATAATATTGACATTTAGACTATTGATAAAAGGAACATGAACATATTTAACACGTTCGCTACCACAATTATATGGAATTTACGTTCGCATAGACCAGCGACGCAATTGTGCGTCTACTCGTTTCTCACAATAGACCACCGACGCATATTTGCGTCAGCTGGTCACATTGAAATAGACTAACGACGCACATTTGCGTCAGTGTTCTAATGTTATTAAACAACGTATTTCTTAGCAACGGTCTATTTTAAAGCTCGGATTTTATCGTATCAGTCTAGAGGGATATCTGCCGCAAATGTGCGTCGCTTGGTCTGTGGATATGACGATTGGTTACGTCACACAACAGTTGGCAACATTGTTGTTTAGATTGTGTATTCCGCGACATCACAGAACAGATGTAAACGTTATAACCTTTGCAGTTTTGGCTAGTGTTTAGTGGAGTTTCTTTATTTGTTTGTGTAAAAGCTTGAAACAACCAAATTTACAACGACGCTTACGTGCTTCGCCTGGTCTATTGAAACGAAAATGTAATCTTTTTAACTGGATTTCATTAAATAGACTGACCGACGCATATATGCGGCGTTTTAAAATTTGGTCATAATGAAAAATAAAAACAATATTGCTTACTAATTCACTTAAGGTTATTATGAAGTCAATTAGTCCATTTAAACGATATTTCTCTTTTGGTCTGTCGGCAATGTTATTCCTATATCACTTGGTCTGTAAGGAACGTCATGATCATTCCTTTTAGTCTGTAGGAGTGACCGGACCGACGCAAATGTGCGTCGCTCGGTAGCGAACGTGTTAACTGACTAATTGATCAAAATCCTGCTGGCCTACAGTTAGAACAATATTATCTCATAACTGTGGCTTTACAATGCATATTTCCGACTAAAACACTAAAACTTTAAAAAAGCTAATTTCAAAACTATGTAACCAACAAGTACACCTTAAAAGTCATTAATAGAAAAACTACTAGTTTATACTGAAACAAGAAAACGTACGTCTTGTCTTTTCATTGTTGTAACACTTAATATTAAAAAAAATACATGTAATTATACTCACTCATTAAAACAGAAGCAGAAAAAATATACCATTGATTTTGACAATTAATTATGAAAAGGAATTTTGTAGGTGAGTCTGGCTAAACCACAAAAAAATAGAGCCAAGGAAGTATATGTACACAAAAAGTCACAGTAAAATGCTGATAATTCGTCTTATATTAAACCACATAGGTTGGTTCAATAGAATCCAAACATGTTACCGGTACCAAATTTCAATGAAATAGCAAAAGTATTGAAATACAAATCATTGATGTTTCAGTGGTTTACTTTAGTGCAAGATTTCTTTGTGTTTTCTTTCATAGTCACAGATTTTTTCCAGTACCCATAACGCCTAGGAACTCAAAAAGAAAAAAGCTGAATTCTATCCTTTGAAAATCTACTATGTTTTTTAAATTGATAAAATACAATTTTAGACAATAGTTTAGCACTATTCCAAGTTTGTAACTAGGTTTTTGCAGAGTGAATAGCTATCATCAAAAACATTAGTTGGAAAAAACAATCTCATACTTTTGGCCATTTTTTGGTGAATATTGGCAGTTTTCAAACAATAACATAGTATATTTTCATCCCTAAACATATGACAGAAATTTCAAATACGTCTTTGATATTTTTTGTGAGGGACCTTATTTTAATTTTGAAAACTGATACATAACTAGCCAACTAAATTATGGGGTTTGGTTCATGAAATCTCTTACAGACAGAAAACCAAATCAATAAACCTTGGTACAGTTCTTGACCCATTATAATACTGTCAGCGCAGAAAAACAGTTTAGAGACAAAACTCTCTGATGATTAAAATGATGATGTTTTGCAATTAGATGAATTATCTGATAATCACACAAAAACGTGTATTGCGGGTTGAAGAAGAAATACTGAAGGGCAGCGATGATTTAAACGTCCACTACCATCTTCTTGTGTATATCCGTGTTTCCAACAACCTAAAAAACAATATTTTTAAAACAATTTCTTTTTTTTTACTTTTTTTTGCCAGAGTGTCTGATAGTGTCTTACCCAACATCTTAAGTTTATAATAAAATTACAAAACTTTTGTATTTTCAGAATTACATATATGACTGTACACAATGTTGCTACTACTAAATCTATGGAAAACATTTGTACTTAAATGGTCAATTCAACTCAAATCTAGAGCCTACGTAGGGTTATATAAAAACTTAAACATTTTATTACTGCAAGAACCACTGGACCAATTAAGGTGAAAATCCACACAATTATATCACTGCTGTGCGGAGAATTGTTAAAGTCTTATTCTTGTTCCAATATACTTGTCCACAATAACTTGTGGCTCTGCCCTTTGGACTTTTTAAATGTCAGAGATGGATCTTAGGAAAGTAGATATTGAATGCTTTTCATTTTGTCCATTCAAACAGTAGATTACAAATAATAACATTATATATCTCTTTAGAGATGTGCTTATTTAGGTAAACTACACAGTCTAATAAGAGGTGTTATAATTAGTGTTTTCCTAAATAAAATTACCGCTTATTAAGAAGGATTACCTAATTTAACCCTGGTCATGTCCCATTGTAAAGCACAGATTAATCCAATTGTGTCTTCAAATAGATAAGAAACGTAAGTTAGGTTGTAAAACTTAGAAACTGATTAAACAAAATTAACGTTTAGTCCACAATATTTCTAACAAACTTCCACAGTACTTACATTGCAAAATTCTTCAAAATTGATTTTTCCATCTTCGTCCTTATCTGCGAACAGTATGGTTTTGTCCACTATCTGCTGTAGCTGCGTGTCTTTCAGGTTGTTTCCCACCATCATCTTCAACACCTGACCCACACATAATTCAATCTCAATATTTGTTTAAAAATCTATCCATAGATTACTGCAGGCCCAAATAATATAACTGTTTTACACAGTGCCTTAAAAATATAAGAGTAAAAATTCATGGTTTGAGGTGCAATCCACAACACTTCAACATCACAATGTATCAATACAGGGGTGCCCATCCCCCCCTAGACTCATGACGCACCCCCCCCCCCCAATTGAGCAACAGCCCCCCCCACCACCATAAATGATGTACACAACAAATGAGAAACATTATTCCCCCGCCCAGCACTATTTGTAAAACTATAAAAGAAGTTTTATAATTTTTTTAGATATTTAAAATTCAAACCCAGTTGATATGAATTAAGTTATAGGTTTGTCTGTACATTGCTCAGAATCATACATATTTTGGGTTATTTATGTTTTATACATTGAAGAAGTTGAAACATGTCTTATCTCAATTTATGTCCGTCTGTCACGGCCCAGAATGCATTTTTATACAGCCTACTCTAAAGAAAACTAGAGTACCGATTATTATTCTAATGGTTTAATTGTATCCACAGGATTGGCGAGAGAGTCCTTATAGCCATTAAAATATGGCCTCACTATTTTGGAAATAAAATAACGGACGATCAAAAACACAATTTTGTGTGATTTTTCTAGTTTATTTTCTCCATGTTTACTACATACGTCATTAATTTATGAAATGCTAATAATCTGTTAAGAGAACACGTCATATATGAAATTACGAACAGCTGTTTTGATAAAGATTCCTTTTCCTAGCTGTCACTGATATGTTTACATAAATGTTGTTTACGACTACTGTGTAGGCCCCAACCATTTCCGATCACGTTTGTAACCATTTACGATCACGTTTGTAAGCAAATCCAAAACCAAGTGAGATTAATCGTGTGTGGCTTTGGCTTATATAACGGATTTGATTTATCACGGGTACTATGTAACTGTAAATTAAATTAAATAACTAGCCATCATCCAGGTCGGGAACCGGAGATTCTGTGTGTATCAAGTTGTACTTGAATTTTGATTACAGGGAAAAGACCGTGAATCAGTGTTGTACAGTACTGGAAAACTTATCTTTCTATATAAATAAAATTAGAGTTTTATAAGTCACCTCAATTTAAAGGAATTTTTTATTGCCAGAATATCCATATAGCGTTCGTAACCTCTGCTTAACGAATTGTCAGCATCTTTTCTCGATATAACGATCCCCTCTCCCTCCCTTTAGAAACATCACAGCTCCTTTGATGAAAATGAAATGGAAACAACGCTTGCGCCAACAATCGTCTGCTCCGTTTTAGGCCGGTTTCACACGAGCCACAAAACGCCCGACAATCGCGAAACGCTGCTTCTGACAGTTGTGGCACGCTTGTGGCGCGAGAATCGCTGGCTGACGCAAAAAAGGATAGCCCCATTCACTTAACATAGGAACGCGGCGTGCCTTTCGCACGAAGTGGCGTCTTTTCGCGTTTGGCGCTAGAACGCGCTGCAATCGCGTGCAGTGGCTCTGTTCTCGACAATTTTGGCGTTTGTAGCTGGTTAATTGCCACTCAGACAGTCAAAACAACCAGTCACCCTGTATTGTTTCGAATTTTTATTTCACATTAAATACATCTGACTTTGACACAGACCGTTTTATCGTAAAAGTAGGGTGTAGGCCAGTGTTGTGGGTACAAGAATGTAAAGATTACTCAAATAATTACTCTATGACGTCGTACCGCACGAAGAAGCATTATAAAAATAAATCTTTCTCATCGTCCATTGTAGCACTGAACTGCACTCGTAGTTTTTCCAAGCGGACTGGTGTTTTGGTTTATTTCAGGGAGGTGCGGTATGAAATGGCGATAAACTGATGGAAATCGCGGAATCATGCTTTTGCCGTCTGAAAGGTCCCACGCGATTGAGCGCTGCAAGTGGCGCGTTTCTGCCGGCGATTGTGGCACGTTTGTGGCTCGTGTGAAACCGGCCTTTACACTTCTGTCTGCTGTGCGCTATGTTACAACAGATTTTAGATACAACAGCTAGGGAATGATGACGATATAATGCTTAGTAAACTGTGTTTGAGTGATTAGTAACCATGGTAACTTAAGTAAGGCTGTGATTGGCCAATGAGTAGGCCTAAATATGGTGTTTTGTTGAATTTGTGTATGAATTGAAGAGAAACCTATTAAAGAACAAAGAAAAAGAATAACAAGATTGTTCTCGTTACATTCTTTTTTAAGAGTGTTTTAATTATCTCTAAATATAATTTTACACTTTTTTATTACTTATCTATCAATTCCTATGCTGTGATACAGCACCTATTGGTAGCCTATCTGTCTATCATGAGCAGTACCTTATAACACTTTCTAAAGGTTCCTTTAATATTTACGTTATTTATAGCAATGCAATGTTTGGCTGGTGATTAGTAGAGTTTGAGTTAGCCATAATTTTAAACGTTAACGTTTGTACAACTGAACCAAGATAAATGATTTGAAATTTACAATAATAATGTTATTGCACAATAATAATGATTGTGCAATATTGAATTTTGTTTATAAAAATGATAATCGTGACGTTAATGGCGGTTTACAGCGTTTTAATGAGTTTGTCATCTGTTTTTATAATGTATTGGATTAACCGTATTTTTCATTACCCCCTTCTCTCACTATTAACTCAGGTAATCTAGTATCTACACAATAGTGTAAAGTATTGTAGCCTATGATACTTGATTGTATTTTAACGAGCTTTATGTCAACAAATCGTTCTGTGCTAAGTCGCGGTGTAGCTGGACGTGTCTGTACCACGCGTTATCTTTTATCTATCACATCATTTTATCATTCAAATTTGGTGAGAATATATATATATATATTTTTTTATATTATCGATTGTGTTTTTTAACATAGAAGGACTTTATTAAATATCCTCATCTGTACATCAATGTACATGCAATTGCTATCCTACTGTAATTAGTGAAGGTTTAATTATCATATAACATTTAAAAATATTATATAGACATTTATGCTTCAAATATTTAAAATTTAAATAACTATTTTTTCTGTGCAATATGAAAAATAAAACAAACAAGTATCCCTGTGGGAAATGTCTTGCAAATGTAAGTAAGTGCAGCAAAGCAGTGCTATGCAAAGGCAGCTGCAATCAATGGTTGCATTTAAAGTGCACTGATTTAAGTAATGAGGACTATGAAAAAATTAAAAAATCAATCATTAAGAAGTGGTTTTGTTCAAACTGCCAATTGTTAAACTCTAACGATGTAAACGACAATGAGGATAGGGTTATATATGAAGACATACAAAAAGAACTGGAATCCCAGGAACTTATAATTAAAAATTTGTCAGACGATCTTACTAAAGCATATGAAGAGATTACAAATCTAAAAACTCATACCACAAATCTTGAAACCCTGGTTCTCAAAAAAGAAGAAAGCATCGAGTTACTGGAAAGGGAAATTGAGAAAGCTAAAAGAAACAAGTCTGAATGCAAGTGTTTTGATAATCACAAAGCATCTACAAGTAAAGGTCTTGCAGCAAAACTATTAACCCCTGTCAGCAGCACTACAAATAAGACACATTTAGACACAGAAAAAACTAAAGACCATTCATTTACAGTTGTTAAAAGTAGAAAATCAAAACTTACAAAAGATATCATTCCTCAAGATAGAAATGTTAATTTTATCTCCAAAAATCAATATGAGGTGCTATCAGTAGAAGAAGAAGAAAATAGTCCAAAAGAGCAGTTAGTATATGCGTCGTCACCAAAAAGAAAGAAGAAGCTCCTTATCTGTGCGGATAGTCATGGAAGAGACCTTGCTTGGAATCTGAACCAAATTCAACGTACATATGAAGCTGTGGGATTTGTCCGACCAGGTGGTCACACATTTCAAGTTCTCAACAACCACAACATCGAAGAAGAAAAATTGGGAAAAGAGGATGGTCTAGTGATTCTTTGTGGCACCAACGATGTGGCAATAAATAATGCTCAAGATGCAGTGAGGAACATCGAGTCAGTTCTAAGCAAAATAACAGGTACTGGATCCAAAACTGTTGTAGTTGACATACCAAATAGGTATGACCTGGTGGATTGGTCCTGTGTAAACCAGGAGGTGAAAAAGACTAACTGTGCACTTAAAGAAATGTGTAAAAGTTTTGAAAATGTGAGTTTGGTTGAGGTTAGCAAAGCAGAAAGACATTTACACGCCCAACATGGCATGCATTTTAATAAGAGAGGCAAGGTGTGGCTAGCAACTCAAATAGCCAAAGCCCTGGACAACATAAAGGAGCAAGAGCCCAAACCAGCCCCAAGGACCGGCACAGAAACATCAACAGATGACATTGTGATGACACCGGAGAACAGCACCCGAGCTTCTGAAGACAACACAAGGCCAGCGGGAAACTCACCTTCCCAGACGCCGATCCACTCCAGGTAGACCTACCCCTGCATTGTACTAGAGACTTAAGTGTATACCATTTAAATATACAATCGATTCGTAATAAGGTAGAAGCTCTAGAATTATGGTTAGACAAATACCCCTTTGATATATTGACAATAAACGAACATTGGCTTGGCAAAGAGGAATCAACACTGTACATACCAGCTGGCTATGCATTAGGTAGCATATTCTGTAGGAATGCGCAATTAACTAGGGGTGGAAGCGCAATTTTTGTTAAGAATGCTATTGATTTTAAACTGATAGACATTGAAAGGTTCTGTGTTGATCTTTGCTTTGAGGCAGCAGCTATAATTTTGTCAAAGATTAATGTCATTGTTGTTGTAGTTTATCGTACTCCTAAGTCAGATACCAATACATTTTTTCATAATTTGGAGTATCTCCTAGAATTTTTAAATGAAAGGTTTGTAAACTTAAAACTTATTTTAACTGGAGACTTTAATATAGACATAAAAAAAGAATCTAATGAATGTTGCTGTTTTCTTGATTTACTTAGATCCTTGAATTTGTATTGTTTAAATGACCAAAGCACAAGACAAGAAGCTTGCTTGGATAATATAATAACAAACCTTGATAGGTCAAGCATAGTGTGCCGAGTATTGGAACCTAATTTGTCTGACCATGCTGGTGTGTCTGCAGTTTTTTTTAACTGGGGGGTAGGCCTAATGGATAAAAGTACTGTAAAAAATGCATTTGTATTGAAAAGAGTGCTTTCTGCTAGCTCAGTTTTAAAGTTTAAAGAAATATTGTCACAATTCAACTGGTCACAGCTTAAACAATACAACAACGTTGACCAAGCTTTTGAACACTTTTTATTTGTTTTGACTACTTCTTTAGAAGAATGCTGTAAAATTAGGAAAATAAAAAATAATAAATCTAAAAGGTCAAAAATCACATGGTTTACACCAGAATTAAAGAACATTAGAGACTTCATTGTTACTTTATATGATAGGTATAAGTTGTCAATAGGTGGTGAAAATGAACAAAGGCATAAACATATCTATAATGAAGCAAAAAGAAAATATAGGGCCAAAATTAAAGAAGCCAAAATATCTGCAAATGACAAAATTACATAAAACATTCTAAGAATAGCTGTAAAGCTGCTTGGGATATAATAAAGGTTGAGTCTAATCGTTCTAAAGTTAAACAAGAAGTGCCTGTGAGCACTAATGCTTTTAATGACTATTTCATAAGCTCTGTTTCACATACAACGATAAATAATACTGCAGCCATTGACTTAGTAGATAATTATATTTCTAGTTGTAATGGAGGAATCAATTGTTTCAAGTGGCAAAGCATTGATCATAGCAAAGTGTTAAAGAGTGTCTCTAAGTTAAGTTCATCCCAAAGTGAAGATTATTATGGGTTTTCCAACAAATTGTTAAAAGAAGTAATTGGGGATCTTGTAGACCCTTTGACATTCTTGTTCAATATGATGTTGGATCATGGTGTATTTCCTCAGGCATTAAAAGTTACAAAAATAGTTCCAGTTTATAAAAAAGGGGAGAGATCACATCCATCTAGTTACCGGCCAATCTCTCTAATACCTATATTTAGTAAGGTTTTTGAAAGTTGTGTGAAGGACCAACTTAGTTTATTTTTTGGTAGTAATGGTTTGCTATGTAAAGATCAATTTGGGTTCCTTAAAAACTTGAACACAACCAAAGCCATAGAAACAATAGTAGAGAATGTTTTGGAAAACTTTGAAAATAAATATTTATCATCTGCAACTTTAATAGATCTCACAAAAGCTTTTGACACAATCTCCCATGAATTAATTGTAAGTAAATTGTGTAGTTATGGAATAAGGAACTCTGAACTACAGTTGATATCTTCTTACTTAAGTAACAGAAAGCAAATGGTTGTAAAAGATCAAGAACATTCTGATTTCAAAACAATTCAGGTAGGGGTCCCCCAAGGATCGGTATTGGGCCCTTTCCTATTTATAGTTGCAGTAAATGATTTTGCCTACAATATGCCATGTAAAGCAGTATTATATGCCGATGACACCACTCTTCTGAATCAAAGCAATGATTTAAATGGTTTATTAATTGAAGAAAATAATTCAATGATAGCAGCTGAGGAATGGTTTAAAGTTAATGGGTTACTTGTTAATAATAGTAAAACAGAAAACATTGTATTCTCTTTAAATAAATCTATAAATGAAAGCATTAAACCAGTAAAACTATTAGGATTATACCTAGATAGCAGACTTGACTGGAAATCCCAAATAAATCAGCTGTGTAGAAAACTATCTAGAGTTACTTGTTTACTTAGAAAATTAAAAAAATTGTGTTAGTTCCTCAATGTTAGTTACAGCTTACTATGCTTTTTTTAATTCCCATTTAATGTATGGAATAACACTTTGGAGTAATAGCTCAGATTCTGAAAAAGCATTTATATGGCAAAAAAAAGCAATTAGGATAATGGCAAACATTCCTGACAGAGAGTCATGTGTTCCACATTTTAAAGAATTCCAAATAATGACTCTACCGTGTTTGTATGTATATTTTAGCTTAGTTAGTGTTAAGGGAAACTTAAATAGCTATAGTTTTAGAAGTGAATTTCACAAATATAATACTAGACGGAACTATTTACTTGATTGCATATCTATAAAACTAGAAAAATCTAAAAAAAAGCCATTTGTTTATGAAAGTCAAGCTTTTTAACAAGCTGCCAAAAGAAGCCTGGACTGTGAACCTAAGCAGATTCAAAATAACTCTGTCAAAGTGGTTAAAAGAAAATGTTTTTTATTCTGTTAACGAATTTTTGGCCTGTGATATTAGTACATTAAGATTTTAACTTAATTAGATAGTGATTTTGTACTTGTAGCTGTTTTTTCAGTGTCTATATCTATATGTCTGTTTTGATTTATTATTTTGTATTTGTCCATATTGCACATTTGATGTCTTATAATACTGTATTTGACTTTGTCTATTGCCATGTGCTTAACGACAATAAAATTCTTGATTCTTGATTCAGCAGTTGAGCCATTCCGTGCCCTCCCTCTTAGATCTCACGTCTTGCTAATCTTAAATAATAACTTCCTACACGAATCCTAAACTATCCTAAAATCCTATTTTAACTAATTGAATTCAATAATATAACTATTGTCATTAATTAATCCACCTTCTATCTGGCGACTTCGTAATATATTTTGGATTGTCGTCACGTTGAACACTGTTGCAATTAGCTTTAGCCACCCCCCCCATTTGAATTTTTTGAGCCCCCCCCAAGAATTCCAATGACGCAGTCTGCGTCACAGCCCCCCCTTGTGGGCACCCCTGATCAATATAATCCAAAATAGTAAAATTCCAAAAAGCTCTATAGTTAACAAATAAAACAATGAAATAACTTATAAATACATGTAGTTAAAAAACATAAATTTTAGGGTACACTTCAGTTTAACCTTTACATAAAGAACAAAAACAAATCTCTTGATACAAATATTAGTGGCAGCACTGGCACTACTTTGTTACCCTAGTTTCTACCAACTGAGCTACTGATTCAGTAATTTTACAAGTATTAATGTAGGGCAGCCACAGAAAGCACATGTTCATGATTATACCATGACCACATGTATTTACGATTTTGCCACAACTGCAGACAATGTTTATGATGTTTTAACATTGGGGTTCTTCATGCGCTAGAATTTCATGAGCGGCAAGGCAAACAATCACAGTATGTCGCTGGGTATTAAGTTATTCTTAAATCCATACTAAAACAAAATAACTTCTTGATCAGCATTGTACGTGTTATTAAATTTACAGAAAGTAAATAAAAGAAACATCTTATAACACTTAAAACATATATTTACGCTTATACTGTTACTCACAAGACGGTAATATAAAAAAAAAAAAAAAAAGATAGTAAGTGGTGATCGATTTCGATTGGACACTCCAATCATCATCAGACCCAATAGGCGAATGTCACTAAAAGGTTTTCTTGGAGAAATGTTAATATTCCTGGCACAACAAATTCACGCCTGATTTCCTGAATTCTTAGGTCTGTGACCAACCTGTAATACTGAGTTAACCTTCTTATAACAAACAGTACACTTCAGAATCAAAGTAAACAAGCACAAAACTTTATCGTCTCATAATGCCTCTTTCAGTGAAGAAAAGACTTTGGGGTGTGGCCCTCACCTGGAACAGCTCCCCGTTAGAGATGAACCCATCATTGTCCATGTCGTAGATTCTGAACGCAAACCTCAGTTTCGACTCCTTGTCTCCTTTGACACTGAACTGAGACACTCCCTGAATGAACTCTACAAAAAAAAACAGTATGATATTCAATCTAATGTAAACTACTTAAGATCTATTATATTATCTTTATTAAAATTCCTAACTTTTGGAGTGATATCTTTGGTACAGAGATAGTTTTACGGAGTACTTAGGTTGGGTCAGAGCTCTGAATCACATTATCTCAGAGCATTCACTGGATCTGGGCCGCAGCCCAAGAACATAACAGCAAACTAACCAATAGATCTGCCAAGCACTATCCTTTCCACTACTTTCTGGTTTCTAAATTTATCAAATAAAACCTACCTAAGGAATACTCCACTTAAACTAGTAAACATATTGTTTAAATTACCTTTAGATTTTAAATGACCAAAAAGGTCACATTTGGTGTGTTGTTTTTTAATTTTATTTAAAAAGTTAAATTTTATAGATTAAATGGATACAATAAATTGGTCATACTTTGGACGTTATATTATAAATAAAGAGTGTTATTTTAATCTTTTCCGTAAGAAATTATAATATAAATAAAGACTGTTATTTAATCTTTTCAGTAAGAAATTATAAGTTATATTGCAACAATAGTTTAGCTCTTGCATACTTGGTAGTTGGTACTTGGTAAAATTAGAAATTAGAGCTCTTACATAGCATACCAAATTAAAAGAACTAAACAAATTTCAAAAATCATTCTATAGTTTTAAAGTATTTTATAGCTCAGAACTATTAGTTTGTTTTTTTTTAAGTAATTTGTAAATACCTTTGCTGAAAAAATTTTAACTGTCAAAAACTAAAAAAGTTTTTGAATTAAAAAAATAAAAGTTTGTATTATGAAACAAATTACCTGTGTGTAAATAAAGGAAAGGCATTCAAACTCATTATTTTGCATTTTAATTTTAATATCCCTCTTTTTCCTGGGAAGCCCCTCAAACCTCTCGTTCCCCGATCAAACTCCTTCTTAATCCTTGTCAGGCCTACCCATAAATTATTCCTGGAGCCGCCCCTGAATGTAACCTAAACGGTGTTTTAGCGAATTTCCCATATAGGGAGTAAGCTATTACCGTAGGTCTCATGGCAAGACCTAGACCCGGGACCGATTTACTTTTTCGTTTTGAGGTCCCCAGAGGCCAAAAACACCATCCGTTCAAATTCATATATATATATATATTTATATATATATTACTAAGCAAATCAAAATACCACAGTACCCTAAAAACATTTTATTTTATATTACTTACATGTTTCGGACATTAATGCCATGATCACAGTATAGTATAACCTAGTAGTTTCTTTTATTTACAAACATTATTAGATATTTCTTATTAAAGAACAGGTGATAATTTTTATATTAAGGGAAGGAGGTGTTTTCTTTAAGATGTATAATTTCATTGAATATTACGTTTTGATTATGAATTTGTGTCAAGTTTAGTAAATTGTCTTTGTCATTAATATGATGAGTATAAATATAAAAGTCTTCCTTTGTATTCATTTTTTCACCTTTATTTTCAATATCCAGAATGTGCATATTTTTATTCATTTCTGAGTATGTATGGTCGGTTTGAAGTATATGTTCGGCGTATGAGGATTTTTGTGTTGTCATATTGTTTGATCTGATTGCCTGTATATGCTCTTTGTATCTGACTTCAAATGTTCGACCTGTTTGACCAATATAGTATTTTTCACAGTTGTTACATGATAATTTGTAAATTCCTGATTTCTTATATACATTTGGTGGGTTGGGTATCGTATCGGATTTGTTCTTTTTTGTATTATGTTAAAAGCGTTATTCCTTGTTTTATAACTTAGTTTAAATTTTGAGTTCGGTAATGTCTTTCTTAAGGTTTTGTTTAAGGATGAGCTGAATGGAATACATATAAATTCTTTCTTTACGTTTTCTTGTTCTTCTACTTTCATTCTTTTAGTTTTTTCATTTTTTATTAATTTTTCTATCATTTTTTCTTTGTATCCATTTGTTCTTGCAATTCTTTTTATAGTTTTCTTTTCTATTTCAAAGTTGTCTTAAGACATTGGTATGTTAAGTAGTCTAAATACCATTGATTTGAATGTAGAAATTTTGTGTTGCCAAGGATGGTTTGACTCAAATGGAATGATTAGGTCAGTTTGGGTAGGTTTCCTATATATATTGAAATTATGTCGATCGTTTTCTTTAGTAATTGTTATGTCTAAGAAATTTATCTTCTTTTCTTGTGTCTCCATCGTAAATTTAATTGTTGGGGAGATAGAATTTAAGTATTTCAAAAAATCTTGATATGAGTCTTTATTGCCGTTGTATAAGCATAATATATCATCGACATATCTATACCAATAGATTATATCTTTTTAAATGGATTTTCGTCGTTTATGATTTTTGATGATTCTAGATGCTGCATATATATGTTTGCTAGAATACCAGAAAGTGGAGAACCCATAGCCAATCCTTCTAATTGTTTGAAAATTTTGCCATTGAATTCAAAATAGCTTTGATTGATTGCTACTCTAGATAGTTTCATAAGATCATTTAACTCATTTTTTGAAACCTGTTTATTTTTGTTTAAAGTTTCTTGAAGGATTTGAAGGGTATCTTTTGTAGGAATATTTGAATACATATTAGTTACATCAAAGGAGATAAAAATTGCATTTTCAGGTATTAATTCATCCTTAATTTTTTCAATTAATTTATATGTATTGTTGATACTGTATCCAGATTCAAAGTTTATCTTATGTTTTAGTTTATTATTTAGGTACTTACATACATTGTATGCGGGGGCATTTCGGTAGTTAACAACAGGACGTATTGGTAGGCCTACATTTGTTTTATGTGTTTTAGGTTGTCCTCTAAATTTTGGTATTATTGGATTTATCATTTTTAGTTGTATCATGTCACTTTTATTTAAAGTTTTACATTTAGATATTGTACTATTAATTTCTTTACTGTATTCTAGTAAATATATATATATATATATATTTATATATGTGTCCGTTAGCGCGATAACTTGAGCAAATATGATCCGATTTTGATGAAATTTGGTACAAACGTGTAAACTTACGTTTATTCGAACGAGTTCGCGAACCAGCATAATCGGACGATGGGAACAGGGGTTTATGGGGTAAAAATGGGTTTTTCCCATTTTTAACCCTAAAAATAAAAATTTTTGCAATTTCTTTCTCAACCATTTTGTAGAGCTTAAAAAAAGAAATAATTTAGTATATTGAAGCGCTGTTTTATGCCTAACGGTCACGGAGAAAATTAAAAAAAGTGTAATTTAAAATTCCCATGTTATTCTTATGGAGAAAATGAAAACTGTTGTAGTTTACTTGTTTATGGATGTATGTTGATAATACCCCCGCCGCAGCAAAACTGCAGACTAAGCGAATTTCCATTTGACTGATTGGATTTACACTGAAATGTCTACTTAAAAATATAACATTTAACTTATTCTTGATTTAAATAGAATTAGTTTAACAAGTACTTAGGTTTGCTGCATCAGGGAGGGTAAAACTGTTTTTTTTTTTTGTAAAATGTGAATAGTTAGTAAGAAATAAAAACATTTTCCAAATTTGATCAAAATATGTTCACAAACAAGCAAACTACAACAGTTTACTTATTCTCCATAAGAATAACATGGGAATTTTAAATTTACAATTTTTTGGAATTTTCTCCGTAACCATTAGGCGCATAATAACGCTTCAATATACTAAATTATTTGTTTTTTTAAGCTCTACAAAATGGTTTGGAAAGAAATTGCTAAATTTTATGTTTTTTGGGTCAAAAATGGGAAAAACCTATTTTTACCCCATAAAACCCCCCGTAAACCCCCGTTCCCATGGTCCGATCATGCTGGATCGCGAACTCGTTCGAATAAACGTACGTTTACACGTTTGTACCAAATTTCATCAAAATCGTTTCATTTTTGCTCGAGTTATCGTGCTGACGGACACACACACATATATATATATATATATATATATGAATTTGAACGGATGGTGTTTTTGGCCTCTAGGGACCTCAAAACGAAAAAAAAAATTGGTCCCGCGTCCAGGTCTTACCATGAGTACTACGGTAATAGCTTATTCCCTATATGGGAAATTCGCTAAAATTTGGCAAACTTATTTATTTCATTCTATGGTATTGACATATGGTCAAAAAACACTTTTTACCTTCCCCGTAGCAGCAAAACCTAAGCACTGGTAAAATCTAATGTTATTTAAATTGGGAATAAATATGTCTTATTTATGGAAATATTTTAGTAAAAATGAAATCAGACAAGTTGAAATTCGCTTAGTCTGCAGGTTTGCTGCGGCGGGGGTATTTATACTTAACAGTAACATCAGTAGCGTACTGACAATGACTAAACCAAGAATCTTTTCTCATTTTTGACTAAACCAAGAATCTTTTCTCATTTTTGACTAAACCAAGAATCTTTTTCTCATTTTATTAATTTTTAAACAAAATGTGTATTGGTAAATATTTCTATAATTATATTTAAATTAAACCCATATAAGTTAACTCAAGTGTGTCATATTCCATGTATAACAGCACACACATGATGTAGGCATAATTAATAATAAGTTAGGCCAATACAAAAATTAAAAAGGCTTGATTTGTAACACAAGTATGGTAGCCTACCTACAAAAATCTAAATATTAGGTTAGTTCTACGTAATTGTTGCATACGGCACCTTTGAAGTCGACCTCGCCATTTCCATCTTCATCAAATATGTCTATGACACGTTGTACCAGAGGGTTCTGTTGAAGTTCTGGTAATGACATGAACTCATCTATACTCAAGGCTCCTGAATTGTCAAGATCCAACTTACGAAATCTCTTGCCTAACCTTCTAATTTCATCGGCATCAACTAAAAAGGTATGGAAACAAATATTAAGATTGGCTATAAAACCAAGATTTTAGCCCCTACGATTATGATAAATGTGCTTTAAAAACAATTTGGAGAACCAATTTCTCAAAAATTACAGATAAAATAAACTTGATCTAACTTAAATAAGTTAAAAAGGAAACTAGTAAAAGCTAATTAGTGTTTACCAACTTGAACAAGTACTGAACTGAGCGCCAAGCAGGTATTAAATGAGTAGTACCCTAAAGACATGTTTACTTGCGGTCAGTAGACAGGCAGATTAAGTTACCTGCCCTGCCTCAGTGTATTTCAAGTTACCTGAGGCCTAGGTAACCTGCCTTCCTACTTGCATGTAAATGCTGCTTCAGTTTAAATAGGCCTAACATCGATTATGAAAATAAATATAAATTACTTGAGCAGAGTCAGTTTTTGTAAAATAAACCTCAGATATCAAAGTAAAGTTATTTAGTGGTTTTAACTTAATTGATTGAATATAAAGTTAGGCATATATTTAAAAGTTGATTAAGATGTAAACTTGATATAAGTTATTACAGTAGACTCTCTCTCTCATCCAGACACCTTTTAACCGGACATCGGTTTAACCGGACTACACTCGGCAGGAATGTCATCTCTTTAAACCGGACAACTTTTATTAGCACATCGGTTTAACCAGACTTGATCGGCAGGAAGTGGGCGGTACTGAAACGATTGTTCTCTTGGGAAAGATTTGAGACCAGCGATAACGTGTATAAACACAATGCTCTTCTAAAATTGAGTCAAATATTTGGGTTGCATTCATTAAACTGGTCCGTTTAACGAGTTTTTGGGGATGTCGGTTTAACCGGAAAAACCGTTATCTGGACTGCCCTTGGTCCCGAGCAGTCCGGATAAGAGGGAGTCTACTGTATAGCTATGAATAGGTCAAGCGATTATGGATAGTGCATACAAATAAATACTTACAATTAGAGCAAAGCTCCATTGGCAAGGAACTTTCATTACCCTGTAACAAAGGAAAATGTTGTTTTATGGCTAAATAACGTCATTTATATTTTGAAATTCGCATGCAGTAAGTTAAGTTTAGATGGTCAATAAAATCTATCTCTGTAGATTAACAAGAATTTTTTATGGATCAAGAAATTATTGTAAAAGTAAAGTACACAAGGACTTAAGAATGATTCACTTTGAAATTTGTAAATCTGCCACTGTAAGTTACTAGGGCTGACATAACTTAATACCAATGAAAAAACAAATGAACATTATCAGTATGCACTGAAGGCAAAGTAAAATAATTTGAATTGTTAACTCAACTTAAGTAACTTAACTTACCCCAAATGCAAATCAAACAAAAAAATCTGTTGTCGTAATAAACAACATAAGGATTATATTTCGTTTCTTAGCTGATTGCAGTTTTCTGGCTGCAAAATGTTACATTATTTTTCAATGTAAATATTTGGTATGAATATAATTAAGTTAGCCTACCTAATTTACCATAAAATCTCCTAACATGAAACTTAACTTAGTATAGGCCAATTATTTTAGTAATTGAATAGTACTACTGTATTTAAAGCTGGGTTTTCCTAGGCGCGGAGTCGGCCAGCGGAGAGAGGAACGCGGAGAGCGGAATTGAAATTAACATGGCATTCCGCTCCGCTTCTAGGAAAACAGTAACATTAAATTGCCTAAGACAAGCTGAGTCCGCTCTCCGCGTTCCTCTTTCCGCTGGCCGACTACGCGCCTAGGAAAACCCGGCTTTACTGATATTGGACATTCATCCAATGCATGTATTGAACATTCATCTAATGCATGTATTGAACATAGTACAATACAATACAAATCATCTTTATTCATCAAGTATTTTACAGCAAATACATGAATTACGTCACAGAAAGGAAAAGATAAGCAAAAAATTAGGTATACAAGTATCCTAAATAATAGATTACAAACATAAATCATAACATAACATATTATTTCTAATCATTTAAATTCCAAAACTCTTCTATTGAATATAATGATTTAGATTGCAAATAGTTTTTCAGTAGTTTTTTAAAGCTACTGTAATTATGTTCATTGACAATATTTTTGGGTAGGCTAAATACAATTTTTTTTCCAATGAAACTGGTTTTTTTCTCAAATAACTTCAATCTGTGTTGTTCTACATGCCTGGTGTTTCGTAAATTGTAACTGTGGAAATTTTTAGTTTGATAATCTGAACTTTTTACATGTAGAATAGTTTCAAAAATGTATAAATCATAGATGGTCATTATACCCAATTTAGAAAAATATTTTTTAACTGATTCCCTGTTTTTTATAGGCTACTAAAGATAATTCTAAGAGCTTTTTCCTGTTGACGTAGAATTTTGTCTAGGTTTTTTTTGTGGTACCACCATATAAAGCTATTCCATAAGCTATATGTGAATTAATTAAAGCAAAATAAATAGTTTTAAGAGTTTCAATGCTTGAGACACGGGACATTTGTCGCAAAGCATAAATACCAGCTGTAGATTATTTTACCACATGTTTCACATGCTCATCCCAGGTTAAATGCTGGTCTAATATTAGACCAAGGAATTTAGTGTGCTCCACTTGATTTAATTTTGAACCATTAAGATATATATCTGGTTGTAATTTTAATCTTGATTGCCTTGTGGAGAAAGATAAAATATTTGATTTATTTGAATTTATTAGTAGATTTTTGTTATTTGTGAATTCATTTACTGACAATAAATTTAAAAAAGACTTTAGTTCCACTTCTTCTTGAGATTTACCTGTAATTGTTATGTTTGTATCATCTGCATACAGACATACAGATCCTCCAGCATTTACAACTCCTGGAAACCCCCTTATGTAGCAAAGAAACAACAAGGGACCCAGTATAGATCCCTGTGGGACACCATACTTTACTGTTTTAAAGTTGGACAAGACATTTTTGGTGTATGCATATTTGTAATTTGGATAGTGCTTAGGCCTACGATGAATAAAAATCCTTGATTCTTAAAGTGAGGTAACTTAAGTCATAAGTAAGTAAGTCATAAGTCATTTATTCAGCCAAATCAACCAAATACAATTAGCGTTAGCTATGTCAAATAGATTAAGTTTCCTAGTTAATAGTCCTAAGTTCCTAGTTTAATAGATTCCTTACAATAAGTTAGGCCAGCTGGATGTAGGCTAAAATAAACATGTCATGGATATTGTTCAGTAGACTATCAACAAACATCAATAGTCTTAGCAGCATAAGTGGAAAAACCCAGAAGTAGGTTAGATTTTCACCAATAATAAAGAAGAAGCCTGTACAATACGATTGGTAGGATGAAGCCTGTTAAGTCAACAGACTCCCCTCCAGCATTTGATGACTGGACGACCGGAAGTTCAAGAGTGCTGTGAAAGACTTGATGATTAAGTTAATAGACCATACTAAAAAGTAGATGATTTCTTTGAGGACAATTTGGAGCGGGACAGTTAATGTTTTGTACCACCTACTGCCTGCCCGCCATGTTTAATACACAAGTTTTAATTTATGTGTGTGTGTAGTCTTTGTTTTTATGTTTTTTCATATTAAACAACGACGCAGTCTATTCCCTCACCAGAGGCTCAACGACGAAGGCCAATGAATAATGAATAAGTCATTTTTAGGCATAAACTTATTGCTTGGCTTTGGGTAGCTATGATTGTAAATGCTGTACTAATGGAATGATAACATTTAGGCCTAAAACCTGGTAAAAAGTCTGTCAAGTTAGGGGACCTAGGACAGTTATTAGCCATAGCCCAAGGTATCATGGTCATTTTTTAGATTGAAGAAAATTTTATCTTATTGTATGAAACAATAAAAAAAGCAGTTGTATTTCCCTATTTATTATCTAGAGTATGAAAGAAATTACTATGTACGTTATCTCTGGCTGAAAATTATTTTTACTAACCAAAGGAGCTGCACTAAAATTCAGCTTATTTATGTGAGAAGTAAGGCAGAAAACAGGTTGAAGTTTCCTGTATATGTGTATGTATTTGATGTATGTGGAATTTATGGTGTATAATAAGGAATAAAGTGAATGCAATTAGTATATTTCATAAATAAATCACTTACCATCTTTAATAAAAATACAGATTTCTTTACTAAGATGGGAGAAAACCAGAAAACACAGAGCTAAATTAGAAACTACGCAGCTGATTGATGATGTTTCTTTTCGTTGTCGACTGCAAACTGCAATGCAATACATTGCCTAGTGCCAACAGCACAAAACTGAAAAAGCTAGTTTCCCTGAGTGTATTTTAAGCATTGATGTTATGACCTTAAATGTTTATGAACAATAATTAATTTTGTTATAATGGTGATTTGGAAATTTCCATTTTCCAAAGTTACATTTCTCTGCATACATCCCACCGTACACAGCAATGCTTGCTTAGACTTGCTAAATCATTTACTTTATTCCAAATTCTGATTTCACGTATTACATGACCGTGGGGAATTTGAAATTCATTTATTTATTTATTCATATCAACGGTCAAACCAATACATAAACATGACAAATGCATATATAAAACATACTCTCTCTTTTAGCGAATTTCCCTATAGGGAAGTAGCTATTACCGTAGGTCTCATGGTAAGACTTAGGCCCGGGACCGATTTACTTTTTCATTTTAATGTCCCCAGAGGCCAAAAACACCATTCGTTCAAATTTTTATATATGTATATATATATATATAGGTATATATATATATAGATTTATATATATATATATATGTGTCCGTGAACACGATAACTTGAGTAATTTTTATCCGATTTTGATGAAATTTGGTTTGAAGGTGTAAGGCGGGATAAACTTGAATGAGTTCGCGATCCAGCATGATCGGACCATGGGAACAGGGTTTTATGGGGGGTTTTATGGGGTAAAAATTGGTTTTTCTCACTTTTTACCCTCAAAACACAAAATTCCCCAATTTTTCTCTAATTCTTCTTAAAGAGCTTAAAAAAACAAACAATTCAGTATATCAAAGTGTTTTTGTACGGTTATTGGTTACGGAGAAATCTAAAAAAATTTTAAATTTAAAATTCCCATGTTATTCTTATGGGGAATATTGTAAAATGTTGTAGTTTGCTTGTTTATGGATATATTTTGATCAAACTTGGCAAATTTATTTATTTTATAGTAAGCTATCAATATTTTACTAAAAACACACTACTTTATTAGTTTCGTTGTAGCAGCAAACCTAGGTACTCGTTAAACCTAATGTTATTTAAATAGATCAATTGAAAATCAATTCGGCCAAATGGAAATTCGCTTAGACGGCAGGTTTGCTGCGGCGGGGGTATTTTATAATGTGTACGGTTACGTACATACTCAATGATATTTTTTTAATTCAAATTCTTTCCTGGATTATGATTGTCTTTACTCTATGATGTATACGGCTTGCGCGTTCTGCATTCTCATCTTAGTTAACCTCAACCACAACTAAACTAACTTGTTCAAAACTAAAACTTCATATAAATTATAGAACAGTTCTGTTGTGTCGAACCATAACATTGCAGCATTTATTTACTTTAGAGAACTGTAAAACAATTTGGTACCATGAGTTCTATTGGGACCGGGGTAAGTTTTCAAAGTGATTATCCACTCATTATCCAATAGGCCTATTTATTTTCTCTCCGTGCAACCTAATAGCCTAGATCTTTGACTTACCTCCATCAAATCAAATCATTTTATTGAGCTAAATTGACAATACATTGCATTAGCTAAGTCAAACATAAATCTGTTAGACTTAATGTTAAATCCATGTTAGGCTTTATGTTGTTCAGTACCCAAACACTGAATGATACAACTTTTGCTTAGGTTTTATACTTATCTTCTTAATCTTTGACCAAAGATATTAGGGATGATATCAAGTTCAAATTAAAATCGTTAAATCTAATTTGTTCTTGGCTGTGGTACCTATGCAAGACTAAGTTTTTTTTTACCCTGACATAAGCGGTAGGGATGAGCATCGATAGGTCAACCATCAATGTTCACCAACGATGGTAACATTTATCCCGATAACATCTTTTTATCATGCCATCCAATAGAAGGCCAAGTTTTTTTATAGTAGCCATTTTAGCGAATTTCCCTATAGGGAAGTAGCTATTACCGTAGGTCTCATGGTAAGACCTAGGCCCGGGACCGATTTACTTTTTCATTTTGATGTCCCCAGAGGCCAAAAACACCATTCGTTCAAATTTTTATATATCTATATATAGATATATATATATAGGCCTATAGGTATAAGTTATGTGTCCATCCGCACGATAACTTGAGTAATTTTTTTCCGATTTTGATAAAATTTGGTTTGAAGGTGTAAGGCAGGATAAACTTGAATGAGTTCGCGAACTATCATGATCGGACTATGGGAACGGGGGTTTATGGGGGGTTTTATGGGGTAAAAATAGATTTTCTCATTTTTGACCCTAAAAACACAAAATTTCACAATTTTTTTTAAACCAATTTGTAGAGCTTAAAAAAACAAATAATTTAGTATATTGAAGCGTTATTATGCGCCTAATTGTTACGGAGAAAATAAAAAAAAATTTTAAAATTCTCATGTTATTCTTATGGAGAATAAGTCAACTGTTGTAGTTTGCTTGTTTATGAACATATTTTGATCAAATTTGGAAAATACATTAATTTCTTACCAAACCACAGTACCTTTTAACATTTTACATTAAAAAAACTTTTTTACCCTCCCTGTTGCAGCAAATCTAAGTACTCATTAAACTAATTCTGTTTGAATAGGAAATAAATGTGATATTTGTAAATGTGATATTGATATAGACATTTTAGTTTAAATCCAATCAGGCAAATGGAAATTCGCTTAGTCTGCAGGATTGCTGCGGCGGGGGTATTTATGGTTTTGCAAATATTGTATATAGTTTTATTTTATTTTATTATATTATAAATTATGACGCAATCTATCAGACTAGATCTGTCAAAGATGCAGGATTCAAGTAGGCTATTTAAAAAGATCGCTGTTTTCGGGTTCGGGGCTGCTCTCTGTACTGCCTCAGCAAGTTATTAGCGCTTATCATGATTAAACTCAAACTCCTTTGCGTTGGTTAGTCTATGCTGCTAGCTAGGCATTCTCGATGGCAGTTTCACTTTCATAGCATATTGGTAACTTATTATGCTGGGGAGCAGAAGTGCTGCCATAAAAATTTATTACAAATGTAGAGTGACTTGCTTAATAAGAGTGGCCTGACTTAATTGATGTTTAGGTACCGGTATCATTTAGAATAAGCACCTCACAAATATAGATAGTAAAGGTAAGTTACCTAGCCGAAAACATCAATGTAACAAAAACATACTTGCCATCGATATTTAAAACATGGAACATTGATGTTTCGTATTCATTTAAAATGTATGCTCATTCCTAATAAGTGGTCAAAACGATCACTCTCAGATTACCCGGGACCCTTATTAGCTACTTTCTGAACAACCAACTATAAGGATGGATTGTGTAAAAAAAATGCAATTGTAATTAGTTACACACCCTAGGCCTACCTATTGTGCGTGTGAGTTTATTTAGCCTATCACAGTCTTGGTCCTTTGCAAAAATTTAGAGGTTTCTTCGACTCAAACTGTGTATTTAAACTACATTAAACTATGTTCCCATCAATGCATTTCACCAAAATTTGTTATGCTCCATTTGTTAATACAGAAAGAAGTGATAAGCAAAATCTAATAACTTACGTTTCTTTTCAGTATGACTTATCCGCCTCTCAATTTTCACCTGATGGAAGAGTATTCCAGGTAGAATACGCTCAAAAAGCTGTGGAAAACAGTGGGTAAGTTAAAATCTTAGGCGTAATACAGTTCATTATGTTAGGTTGTTCTCTAAGGCAAACAGCCCCAAATTTCTAAAATTTAATAAATATATGTACCTATCTATATTTGTATTCCTTGTAATGATCTAATCTTAAATCCATAGAAATGTATTTGTTTATTTCCAATGGATTACACCAGTTATACATGGAAAGTAAGTTACAGTAGACACCCTCTTAACTAAACTTGCATTAACTGATAATCAGATTATCTGCCATGCTTGTTAAATATTAGGCTACAGTTTGTTTTAACGGACCTTGTTTTGAGAGCAGTTCTGTTTAACAGCCGCTTTCTAGGAATCTCGGCATTCCCGCTACCACGCTCGGCGATGGAAACAAAACGAAAAACAGTGTAGGATAGTGTAGCTCCCAGATAGGGGGGAAATGATGATGGAACAGGGAACGGTGTATCAATGCTGTGACTACACGTTCATCTTGTCAATTGTCCTCACCAAGAACAACGCCAGAGAATTGACTGTGCCGCAAAATTTGTGCATGTTTAGTCTCGATATTGTATCTTTCTTTGTACGATTGTACACATAATAAATTTAGACCATGGTATTTTCAGCAATGTAGTGAAATAAAGTGAGAGAACTAAATCTTAGCCAAATTCTGTGGTCATTCAAAAATCATCATAGTTTCCTGCACTCAAGGCAAAACCCTGAAATTCTCCTATCCCAGGTTGGATATGAGGGGTTCCACCGTGTAGCATTTATACCATGTAGGCCTAGCAATTTTTGTGGAACGAGTCATTCATTTATTCATAAAAACTATTAGCCTAAATATAACAGAGATCAACAGGTTTTAGATTCGTAGATCAGGTTATATTGCCGTAATTCAATGCAGTCTACATTAACTTTAATATTTATTTATTTAGGGAGTATAAAATATGTGCTTCATGTAGGGTATAAAGATTACTCAATTTGTTGAAGGCCTACAATTGATTGGTTTTGTACTCCTCTTTCAGCACTGTTATTGGCTTGAGAGGCAAAGATGGAGTTGTGTTTGCAGTAGAAAAATTGATAACATCCAAACTCTACGAGCCCGGTCCAAATAAAATCTTCACAGTTGACAAACATGTTGGCATGGTAAGTAAATTATGACGAAACTCTATTCACTTAAATTTTAGTCTAATCAGTAACGAATAATATTATAGCACAATTTTCAAAAAGTGGTTTAGACAAAACAAATAATAACCTGTTTAGACAAAAATCAGCATTCTTCAATTAACAAATCAATGTAAACACACTAACCACAGGCTTAACTATATGGGTAGTGTAATACATGGTTTTGGGGGTAAAGTAATAGTAAACAAAATTTAAAAAGGTACATGGGAGCTTTCTATCCTCTGTAGAAACCAGTCTATATAAGGATCAGTAATGTAGTGGGACAGGAACGCAGGGGAACGGTGTTCCCAATCTGCCTTTTCCAAGATCCTATATATTAGTCAGATTTTGAACAATGGTGAGTGTACACTTACTAGAAAGATTTCAACACTGTTAAGGGTCTTTTACTAACAACCTACTTTCAAGATAAATATTGTTAAATCGGGCTCACTGCATGTTGTGATAGACCAATGTTGTATCTTCTGCAGGCAGTAGCTGGGCTGATCTCAGATGCCAGACAACTCGCAGTTGTCGCCAGAACCGAATGTTCCAACTATAGATCGACGTACGGAGTCAACATCCCACTCAGCTACCTCAATGACCGATTGTCCATGTCCATGCATGTCTACACACTGTACTCGGCTGTACGGCCGTACGGATGCAGTGTTATCTTGGGGTCTTACGATGAAGACGGACCCTCTATGTACATGATTGACCCTTCAGGCGTCTCTTATGTAAGTTCAGAATCATATTTTAGTAAGAGACTTTAGGGATGCTAATTTTTACATAACTGGCAGGTTGTTAAACATATTAAAACTCAGAGAGAAATGGTTTAAAACTTTTGACAGCTTTTTGACAAACCAAATATCTGTCTAGTAAACTCTTGCCTAATATGTCAATCAGATCCTAAAGTATAGCCAACATATCAACAAAGGTCTTTTTTATAAGCAGAGAAACATTTAAGTTTTTAAAAGAGCCCTTCAGTCAGGGAATTAATTTGTGAATGCAATATTTATATGTATGAACAATTAATGGTCACGAGTATCTGTCTTGAAAATGGTATACGGTACCTCCTGTAAATTATAGCCATTAAAGCCGGGTTTTCCGAGGCGCGGAAGCGGAGAGCTGCTGAGAGATGAACGCGGAGAGCGGAAAAGAGATTAACACGTTCGCTACTGCAATAGTACGAAATTTTCCATTCACATGGACCAGCGACGCACATATGCGACGGCCGGTTTCTACCCATAGACTGCCGTCGCATATATGCAACGGCTAGTCACATTAAAATAGACTGCCGACGCATATTTGCGTCGGGGTTCTAATGTTATTAAAATGCTTATATCTTTGTAGTGGTCTATTTGAAGGCACTGAATTCCCTGCAGTGGTCTACAGAGATGTCTGACGCACAACTGCGTCGCTTGGTCTGTGGATATGATGATTGGTGACGTCATATAATAGTAGGAAAAAGTGGTCTTTACTTTTCTGCATCACTGTATGTATGTATGCTGCATTATCCTATGTAGCTTTTATATTTGTTCAGTTATAAACTGTTCTTGAATAATCTGTTTATTTTTTTACTTACTTTCACCTTAAAACACAAAAAAATGAGCCGTCGCATATATGCGACGTTTAGTCTATTTTAAGAAAACTATGATAATTTTCACTATTGTTTTCGCTGTAGACCGGGCGTCGCAAATATGCGACATTACAAAAGGTTATAAAAAATACAAAAAAACAAGAACAATTTATTTACAAACACTATTGTAGCGTATTACAATGTAAATGATCACTCAGGGTTGCCACCAGCCATGAAAACCTTGAAAAGCGTGAATTATGCGTGAATTTAGGTGACCATGAAAAAGTGCGTGAATTATGCGTGAATTTCGTCATTGGACCATGAATTCTCAAAATCATTATCAACAATTCAGCCAAAACCCCTAAATGTGCTGAATCAAATACTCCGTATTAAAACCATTCTCGAAATGAACACCGAGATAAAACGTCAAAGTGGGAGTGTCGAGATAAAAAGTTTTGTTGCCATGCCACGAACAGAAACGATTGCGTAGTTTATTCAAGGTCAAATCCGATCGTAACCGACGTCTGCCGAGTAGTCTAGAGATGGGAATTATCGTTGTTTTCCGGCAACGGTTATAACGATAACGCACTGCCCAATAACGTGTTGCGGCAACCTGTTATTTCAATAACGATTGCCAACTCAACTCGTTGCCGCTATAAACCGTTGTCCGCCGGTCGGTGTTGCGGCGTTCAGTTATCATTGTCGGTTGATCAGTTCAGTTTTCAGTTGTAGTCGCGAGTCGGGCGTTGCCGCGTTGTCCAGACAGGATGCGTTATTCTAGTTCGTTTCAGAAGTTATCGTTGCTCTGGTAGCGTTGCGGCAACGGCACTAATGGCAATGCATGTTTTCGTTTTCGTTGTCCGCGCGGCTTTCCTGCAACATTGTGTAGATAGATACGTTATTATAATAACAGGGAGTTCTCCGCAACGTGTTGCCGCGATAACGTTGCCGTGGCCGCAACACTGTTATTCATCCTGTTATGTTATAACGCCCATCTCTACCGAGTACCGATCTACCGATAAAATCGATGCTTTCGGAGCTAAAACATCGATCACATCGATGTTTGTTCCGAGTTTCTCGTCTGTTCTCTGCACTGTAACAGCCAATTAACCTAAAACCAATACAATTCAGTTACGGAAAACATCAATATTTCATTACTTTTGTTGGCCTAAAAGACCGATGTAACAAATCAAATCATCGGTTCGGTAATCTACCATCGATGTAAACAAATAACTTCGAACATCGATAGAAAAGACATCGATGTTTCGAAAACATCGACAATCGGGATTGATGCTCGCTCTCATTCTCTACTCTCTACTCTAGTGTTCGTGTGGAAGGAAATTCAGAGTAACCATAACCTAAAAGTTTTAAACTGATGATCTGAGTGATCTGAAACTTAGAAACGAGTCAAACGTTTGAAGTAGTGGTGGACACTGGACAGTAAGATCACTTGTTGCACTCGTGATTCCGTTTTGTGCTTCTTATAATTGATTACCCAACACTCAGTGGAACAAGTGTTCAAATTAAATATTTTTTATTACTGATATATTATACTTCCGATACTTTACAACGTTAAAATAAGAAGTACCTTGCCTTGCCATAAAGGTCAAAATGGCTTGCGCCGGCTGGAACTTAATCGTCTGCTGTGTTTGTTTTGGTCAAATATGTCGTCATTTCAAACTACTGTCAGTGTTTAGTAAATGTGTTACAACGTGAGATTAAGTTTATTTATTTAGGCCTAAGTTGCAAGAAGTCAATGTTGTGCTGAAAAATGGTGATTTCGTTCTGAGGAAGGTAAATGTAAATGTTTTTTTGAAGCATTAACTAGGTGTTTTCAGTCAATACGAATCTAACTAATGAGATGTAAATTTAATTAAATAATTGTTTTAACTGTGATTTAAACCTGTGTAGGCAAATAATAATATATAAACTGATCCAATCTGAAGAAACATCCTCCTAACTAAGTTTATTTTAACCTTTTCTGTAATGTAATTAATTATTTTTTTATTACTTAATGTAAGTTAGCCTATGTCTAAACTTACATACATTCCATAACTTTTGTTTCGTTCTTAGCTTTAACTAAATATTTATTTACATAATCTTACCTTTTTAGAGTGTTATTATCAGTCAGTCGGTAACCTTTAATCTTCTCAATAAATAAAAGTTGGTTCAGGCCTAACTTAGCCTAGATTCAGCTTTGGATTACAATGTTGTAGGCTAGCCTACTGTGTTACTGTATAAAGTAATAAATTGCATGTGCGTTTTAGTAGGCCTAGATATGGCCCATTACTAAGATAACCGTTTCTTGATCATGTTCTTAACATTTGTTTTTATAGTAGCCTATTATCTTAATTTGATGTTTAGACAGTAAAGTTGTGCCATTGCTGGATTAACTAAGTTAAACCTTTTATGTTTAGATGCAATGTTTTTTAGGTTAGGCCTAGACCTAACTACCAATCCGACTTATTTTTTTATTTATTATTTCTTCTAACGTTTGAATTTATCATTAGGCCTATGATGTTGTTAAATCAGATGTTTCAATTTTTTAAATAATTACATCGTATTATCACACACAAGATTTTTATTAATATCCTTTTTCATCTGTGATTTTACTTTTTTTAGACTGGATAAATGATATTAAATTCTTATTTTTAACTCTAAAATAATCGCATGAAATGTGTTTTATTTGATAGTAGCACACAAAACTATATATTGTCGATAAATTAATGTACAATTCTGAACTAGGCAACACTCTTTTATGGTGAAATTGTGCGAGCATATACCCCATGAATTTTTCAAAACTACCAATGAAAACCTTGAATTATGCATGAATTTTTTTATCTCACTTTGGTGGCAACCCTGTCACTGTTTTACAGGTTTTCGCCCGTGGTCTGTGTGTACATGTTATCCAAGTGACAGCCGGTCTATGTGTAAGATTGAAATGTATACCTCGGTCTGTGGCAAAGACCGCGGCGTCGCATATATGCGACGCTCAGTAGCGAACGTGTTAACATGGTGTTCCGCTCCACTTCTAGGAAAACAGTAACATTAAATTACCTAAGACAAGTGGAGTCCGCTCTCCGCGTTCCTCTCTCCGCTCTCCACTTCCGCGCCTAGGAAAACCCGGCTTTAGATTGACTCTTTTGAGAAAACTTATATTGAAATTTGGTCCTTAAAAATTAGACATTAATGTTTAATGTTATAATATATTCATTACAACATATTAATTCCATATGTACAGCATTGTTCCAGTGTATCCCAAACCATAGATAAAACATACTCCCCCAAGTAGATTTCTCATCCTTATGGAACAGCTGAAGACAATTTTATTGTTAGTTCTGTACGGTTTATGTAGAGGTCGTGTTTTGTTTACAATTTGTTTCCCGTTATTACAGTAATTTGAAGCCTCGTTTAACCAAATAATACGATCTAATCATAAACAATAACTTGTCTCCTAGTTATATAATCAAACAGTAAAGCAGAAATCGAGAAATTAGCCCTAAAATAATAGCAACAAAATTTTGTCGACACTAGCGCCCAGTGTCACCGTACATGAACTAGACGCGAAAAACAAGCGTCAAAATTTACAATGGGATGACAAGTCTACTTGTGTTGGTTAGTCTATGCCCAAACTTACTGTTTATTTTGTCTATTTGTGGAACTTCTCATACATTCAACCTAACCATAAGCCTGCTGTCTGGCTGTTTTCAGGAGTGTTTATTTTATATTACATAATATCCTTTGCAGGGCTACTTTGGCTGTGCAATTGGCAAGGCCAAACAAGCTGCCAAGACTGAAGTAGAAAAGTTAAAGCTGAAGGATATGACTTGCAATGAACTGGTCAAAGAGGCAGCTAGGATGTGAGTTTGTTATAAGCTACAATTTCAATTTCAACATGATTTTAAGTTGTTGATATTCACTGTATATTTGTGTAATACAATATTATACCAGTATGTGATTTTTTTTCTTTTTTCTTTGCTGAACCTAAAACATAAACCAAGTCTATTTAACAATCTTACAATTGATTTAGGCTATTGGATGTGTGTTTTACCTATAAAATGGGGTTTTTATGTAGTATATTTTCAAAGATCTAATCATTTTATTGATAAAGTAATCACATAACTTATTCTGTTTCTTGTAGAATTTACCTTGTTCACGACGAACTAAAGGACAAACAGTTTGAACTGGAGCTCTCGTGGGTGTGTAAGGAGACCAAGGTAAGAAAACTTAACTTGTAGATACCCTAATCACGTTTTTTACATTTGACTTATTATTTAACGTAACATTGTTAATAGACCAAAGAATATCCCAAAGAATAGTTTGTACTCGGCCATATTTAGCTCCCTAGCCCATTTTGGCAATTTTCCCTTTATCATTTCCATTAATGCAACATGATTAGACATTAAAATTAGATATAACTGATAAACTTCAGTCATATAGCGATTAATGTCAGCATCGGACTTATGTTTCTTGCACTCAAACATGTGTCACAGACCTAATGTCACAAGCGGTGGAAGATTCAAGTAAACATTAAATTTTTTTAATTATTAATAGGCCTAGACACTGGGACTGCGAAGTGTATAAGTCAGCTACAGAGCTGCAAATGGTGTCATTCTGTTCAGAAATGCCAGTAAGCGGTGAGGAGCCCCATTGCGGTGTACACGCGAACTACGGAGCTACACACAAGAACTTCTTTCCTTAAAAAACAACCCTCGTATTAGGTAATAAAATATTCCTGCGAGAACCACCCTCAGGTTATCATTGGTGTTGCAGGGGCTACATGAGCGAGTGCCGGCCGAACTACAGGCTGAGGCAGAGAAGGCAGCACGAGCTGCTATGGAGGAAGACTCTGATTCTGACACCGACGGAATGTAACCAATAAAAATACTGTTGTCTTAATTTATGCTACTAAATAAATTTTCTTTTTATAAGCAATTTTGAACATATTTTTATCCTTCTTGTTTCATTTTTTTTTAGCATTTCCTTAGAGTTAGGCTAATTTATTTATGACCAATGTATGAAGAGGGAGGGCGTTACAGACGTCACGGTACTTTTCTATTACTCCGACCACACCTGTTTTAATAATGCAATTTTCTATGCAACTAACCTACCGGTAATTCAGTAACGAAGCAAGTGTTTAGAACTCTGTTAGTCTACTTCTAAAGACATGAAGTTACCGTACAATCAGCACTGTTAGATCCTTCTTTAGTTAACACATAGTTGACAGGTTTAAGTTACCGTGAATGAAAAGCTGTATGTACCTCTTAGATTCCTCCAAGTTACCATCAGAACCACTAAATTATGAATTAGCTTAACTTAATTAGTTTTTGTTCCTTCCGGAACTTAACTTCTGGAGGTTTCTGACGGATAAAAATGTTTGGCATCTTCATATCCAGAGTGGGAAATTCTTTTGGTGAAGATTAAAAATATCTATAAAATATCAAAAGTGTCTTTCTGTTTGATAAACACTGGCATTCTTATTCTTAGATACAATAAAGATTCGACCTGTTACGAATATAGGTAGACAAAATTGTGATTTAGTAAAAATTAAACATATTGAAGGACTAAAAAAATGACAAATTAGGATGAAACAGTGGGAACACAATCAAAGACTAGGTCACTAGGCTGCTAACTTGTATTTAAATTAGTTATTACTTAGTTACATAACAGATATTCACATAAACTAATGAGTAGTCAGCAGTGGCGTTGCTTAGTTAAATTCCAGGGGGGGGAGAAGCCTCAAATTTCCCAACTACTTAACATAGATTTCCCAACTATTTTTTTTTTTTAGAAATCAATTTCTGTACTATTTTTAAAAATCTACAAATTATTATACCACTAAACTGCAGTAACATTCAATTCAGTATTTATAAACTTGCATTAACAAAACATAGCTAGTTTTCCATATATACAAAACTACTCAATTTCTAAAACTTCTATCATTTCATAATTAAATTTTATGACTAAAAAAAAAAACTTGAACAAGTAATGTTTCAAATCCAAAAAACTTTACAAACCATTGTGGTAGCAGACGTAGCAGTGTAAAACTGTAGGGATATAAAATAAGCCTCAGAGTACAAATTAGTATAGAAAAAATATTTTATTGCAAAATAGTGAAATTAAAATACTTTTAGAAGTTAAGATCAACATTTTAACTTTCATAAAACTTACAACTAGGGAAGGCCTAAACAAGTTTGATATGATGAAATATTAATTTTAATGTCAGTGTTGTGAATAATATTATTCTAGTCTAGAAAAGAATAAACCTAAAATAAGACTCGTATAAAATAAAAACGTTCAACTTGGTTGATAATAAACAAACTTATACATACAATAAAAATGTTAACCTTCATCTTCATCAAACTAGAACTTAGACAAAAATAAAACTTATAGTGAAAGTCAAACATCAATTTTAGGTTATGTTTTATCCACGTAGATCTGTTTAAGAGTGATTAGTTGATTCATTTTTGTAAATCCTTAACTAGGAATGATAAATAACTTGTGTAGATTTTTAAATTTATTCAGAGAATAAATATTCCATTTAGGTTATTAAAAAATAAGAGTTTTAAAGGTAATACCGATACACAAAACCTATCTTTAATGTTATTTTAATCTGCTTATTAGCAAGTACTCTGGTCAGTTAGCCTGCTCCAAATACCACGAAAAAGGTATAAAATATATTTCATGTGACTGACGTCAAAAATATTTTTGAATTTCTTGTAAATACTAACAAAAAACATATTTGAACAGAAGAGCTACATTGCTTGCACTTTCAAAATTCAAACTCGCAGTCTCGCAGACGAATCATTCGGAATCCTCAACACATGACAGGATCAAGGTAGCCAACATACGTCCAATAAGGAACAAAATTTCTCGTAAACGAAATTCCAACAAGCTATACCGCTAATTGATTATTGATTTCTTAAAATAATGCGTGTTTAGCCTTGTTTAATCCAAGTTAAATGAAATCAAAGAAGCGTCAAGTTTATTCGTCCAAGTCAAAGAAATTTTTATCTTTGATGGATTTTCGCAAATATTTAAATTTTGTTTAGTTTAAAAATATATTTTTCTTGTATCTGACTTCCCAACTGTCCCAACTCGTGGCAAGGAAATTCCCAACTTTTCTCTTTTCAGATTCTAGGGGGGGGAGGCTCCCCCCCCTACCCCCCCCAAGGTGACGCCCCTGGTAGTCAGCATTAGTGATGGGAGAATCGAATACTTTAAAGAATCGAATACCGTGAATTCGTAGCCTCCCCTGTATTCGAATACTTTTACGAATACTTGTATTCGAACACCTTTGAGTATGCAAAGCATGGGAAATGAGTGTGTAATTCTTTTTTCCCGTTCTTTTGGCCACTGTTATTTCGTTTTACAGTAATTAATTCATTAATATAATTTATTCTATGTAATTTTAAATTATATGATTTTTAAAAGGTACATTTATTTTGACTTATAATTATTTCATGGTCAGTTACAGTCTTATTAATGTATTATTTTCTATTATATTAACTAATTAATATCTTAAATAATATGTCTTATTCATTTGTATGGATAATTTACATCAGATATGCATGTTATTTTGCCATGTAACTATATAAATCGGTTGTAGTTATAATAAATTCTATTCAATTGCCCTCTACCAGTAGTAACCTAATATTTTAAATATCCAATATATTCTAAATGTTAACGATTAATAATAATCTGATGTAAATTATATGGCTAATGGTAAAACTATAACGAATAGATGAAAACAAATGCTGCAGTAAAAACATTAAATACTCTTACGAAGGGAATTCAGTAGTTGAAAAAGTGTTGAATACATTTTTGAATCCCCCGAATTCGCTTTCTAGATGCAAGAAATCCTGCAAAATCTGAGGTCAAGAGTATTCACAAAAAAGTATTCGTACGAATCTGAAGTATTCGAATCTACGAATACTCGGGCTGTATTCGAATACTATTCGATTCTGTATTCGATTCTCCCATCACTAGTCAGCATCTCAAGCTCTTTTTGGGTTTTATGCAATTGTGTTGCTAACAAGTCTCTTTTGCGTTTTGTCCATCGGATCCTCCACTCCTTTGCCTTATATCCAGCAGCAAATCCCAAAGCAAAAGTAAGACCTAAAAGTATGGTAAGTTTCAGTTCATGAGGTTCCATTTTCCAATGCAGGCTATGTTCTACACTGTAGGCTATGTGACAGATGAACAAAAAAATACAAACTAAACTTTTTCTTAATACACATGCATTCAAATAACTCCTTGAATTTTAAATAATGTATAAACATTTAATAGTTGGTCTGAAATACTGCTGCTGTAAGACTGTTCTAAAGGTCATGGAAATGCATTGTTTACATTAATAATAATAACCTCCAAATTGACACTACACACTACACTATTTATTCCCGTCCACTTCACAACTTTTTTTGCAATGGCAATGCCAACATGATGTTGCTTTTTCCTCCCCATATACAATACAGTACTATAACTGATAAAGTATTTTTCGATAACATTACTCGTTTGAGCTTTGGGATAAAATAAATACATAATTACATATATTAGTGGTGGGGGAGTATGTTTTCGGATCCCGTTTTATCTATGGTAGTGACTAGTGAGTTTCGTCTGGAGACGGCTGTCACTTAGGATGGGCGTTCTTTGGTCTCGGGGCACTCCCTCCATATTTTGCTATGCAATGCACTATTGGATATGTTGTCCATCTGCATGCAACTATGCATGTGCACTATCATTGACTATACCTACAGGTATATATAGTCAATTCTTGTTATTGGTATATATAGTCAATGGCACTATGCAACAAAATCGGTACTAGCTACTAGCATACACCTCAAGGAGTATGTTTTATCTATGCTACTAGGCACTTGAAACAGTTTCACTATGATATTATACATTATGACACATTTTCACTTTTATAATTCAATTTAAAAATCAGGCTCTGTTGGATACACTATGACATGCCACCCAAGAGCAATTAATAAAAATCATTATAGGCGAAATTAATACATTGGTTATACAACTCCACTTGCTTGGGGAGTTGTATAATCAATGGTACATGACATTTTCATACCTGGCTAAATTAAGTTGTAAAGCTACATGACATAGGGTCCAAGTCTATTCCAAAATAAAGCTTCACGCTCAATATTAATGTCAGCTGTCTGTTATCTGTCATGCATCTTCAATCTTCATTCCATCATTATTGTCATTCCTACTTTTTCTTACAAAATTGACATTAGGCCTACAGCAATTTATTGAAATTGATTGAATTGAATTTAACCATATCTCTATTCTACTCTATTCTCTATGACAAGACGTTGTAACCAACTTGTACTATCATCGAGTGAGAGTGTTTTTAAATTTGAAATTTTATTAGAATTTTGATTTTTTAAATGTCTTCAGCAAATTACAAAGTACTTTCTATTCAAAGTCATGTTGTATCTGGTTATGTTGGAAACAAAAGTGCAACATTCCCTCTTCAGGTAGGCCTAACTGCTTTGGTATTTGGGTTGTGGTAATATAATAAAATCATAACTTAAAATGGCTGCACTTTACTTTGGGTCCTACACAAACAACCGAATGAAAATATGGGTACACTTCCATATCTGTTGGCACAATCAACCGAATGAGTAAGTACTTAATATTGATTATTCGGTTGTTTAATTTGATGTATTCCTTGGTTAGTTAGGTTAGGTTAACATTATTCATTATTCATTAGCCTTCGTCGTTGACCCTCTGGTGAGGGAATAGACTGCGTCGTTGTTTAATACAGAAAAAAAAGACACAAAAACAAAGACTACACGCACATATAAAATAAAACTGTGTATTAAACATGGCGGGCAGGCAGTAGGCGGTACAAAAAATTAATTGTCCCGCTCCAAATTGTCCTTAAAGAAATCCTCTACTTTGTAGTATGGTCTATTGATCATCAAGTCTTTCACAGCACTCTTGAACTTCCGGTCGTCCAGACATCGAATGCTGGAAGGGAGTCTGTTGAAGAACTTGATGGCTGATGTAGGGAAGGAATTGAGCGTCCTGCTCAATCTCGCACGGGGAACATCGAGATCCTGCCTAGCTCTGGTATTATGGGCGTGGATGTGGCTTCTGGTGTTGAGAAGAGGAACACTGCATTTTATTTCAACCAGGCAGGCGTAGATGTAGTGGCTGCAGACGGTTAGAATTCCAAGTCTCTTGAATATCGGTTTGCAGTGTTCTCTAAAAGGGCTCCTTGAGATTATACGGACTGCCGCTTTTTGAAGCTTTAAGACTTCCTCCACTTCTGACGCATGACCCCAAAGGTTTAGTCCATACGCAATGTGCGAATGAAACAGGGCATGGTATACCATGAGCAGGTACTGCTCCGTGACACATTTCCGGAGGCGCCTGAGGAGACAGTTGACTCTCGCAAGCCGTGTGGCAACATGGGCAGCATGGTCATTCCAGTCGAGTCGGCTGTCCAGCTGGAACTATTTAACTGGAACATTACCTAACTAACTAAACTATATACCGAATAATCGATATATCGATTGATATTTTCATTCGGTTGTTTGTGAAAGTGTACCCCTTCAACAAATTCTCATAGACCTATTTAATTTATAGGAATTTTAACAATCTAAAATCACGATTAGGCTAGATCAGATTCAAGTAATCAAGTTCAGCCAGAGCCGTCCTTATAAAATGCGAGGCCTGGAGCAATAAATAGTTGTGAGGCCTTGTTTAATAATGCTTACTTTGGGGATGGAATACCCCCTAGCGAAAAGGGGGGTCTGGGGGTTCCCCCCTGGAAATTTGTGTAAAATTGTAGGCTTACTTGCAAAGTCGTCATTTTAAGCACTTTGAAGAAAAAAAAGAATCTTTTACACTCTGAAAATGGGCATTAATAAGTTATTATTGCAAATTTCACATTATACTTATTGTTCCAATTCCAAAGTGGATATCATAAATATTGCCCACAAAGTTCTTTGCAATCGTCAATAAAAAAAATAACACTTATCTTCACTGTGGATTGTTGTCCCGTCACTTTGTATGCTCATAGGCTATCTTGTTTATTTACTTTTTGTCAAGTTAGGTTAATTGTGTTTTTGGCAGTTGGTCTGGGAAGGGGGTTTCAAAGATATAAAAAATATTACCTATAACTATCACTGAGCGTGACAGTAAGAGTAAGCGTAAAAGTACGACCCACTCACCGGGGTGGCTGCCGCGAGGCACGGGTTCCCTCATCCCGTCGCCGAAGCTGTAAAACGATGTTTTTATTCTTTTGTGTTTTAAATGTTTTTCGTATGTTAAATAAATAATAAATAGGTACAGTAATTGAAATAATTCATAATAAATTAGACATATTTTAGGCACGTATATCTATCTGTCCTTTATTTTATTATTTTCATTCCAAAACTTTAACTTAGTTTTAGCGAGAGTAAGGCTTTGCCGGGCGTGGCCTAACCAAAACCTTAAAGGCCTCGCACGACCGCTCCACCCTAAGGACGGCGCACTGGATTCAGCCAAGTCCCTGCAAAAGTTTTGTTTATTTAACCACAGATAATATAACCCCTTTAACTTATTTATTATGTAATTGCATGTAGGTAGGGTCAACCGGGGCTAATATGAACACACCAAAATATTGGGGCTAATATGAACAATGACTTAAAAAGTCATTTATCTGGGATTTTTAATCATGAAAAAAATATAATTAGAAAGGAAATTTATTGTATTTTTTGTGTCCATAATGAGAAAACTTCAAATTTGACTTTTTAAAAAAAAATACTTTGTTAAAACACTTTTTTTCCGCCCAAAAAACTTTTCCGCGCAAAGTGAAAACTTTTGTTATAACAATTTTTACATTGGTTGTAGGAATAATCTTAAGCCTGAATTTTGTTAAATAAGAATTGGGGATTATTTTTCTTTTCCCAAAGTTAAAATATATTAATAACAGCCAAAGTTATAAGCTTTCAAAGTTGGGGGGCTAATGTGAACAGTGAATGGGGGCTATTATGAACAACAATATATACAGTATATATTGTACTATATATACAAGCTCAGGCTGACGGGGAGATCGAAGTGATGGGATTTAAATCCTGTGATGAGGAAAAAAAATCATTCCTGAAAAAAGAAGATGATATATTTATTGTTTCTACCACTGACATTTTGGGGAAACTTCCAGCCCCTAATGTATGTGGAACCAGTGATGGACATAAGTATGTCTTCGACAAAATTGTCGAAGTTTTTGAGGCGTAAGTTCCTCAATAAACTTCTTTGAAGGCCTTACAGTGATAAAACAGTTTTAATTTTACAAAGACAACAGTTAAGGTGTTGAATAGGCCTAGCCCACATTTTTATATTTACCTAATAGGCCTAAAAGTGCAATAAACTGTCATTTGCCTAAACGAACAATTTCCATTGTCTTAAATTATTGTTTTTTTAAGTGCTTTAAACAATTTGTATGTGGAAGAAATTTTTAATAAATAGGTACTCAGGTATGTTGACAGATAATTTTTTTCTTGTTTATATCTTATTATTAGCCTTGTATAATATTTATAAATGGTTTTTAAAAAAAGGGTTACCGTAGGGCGACCCGCGGCTCTCCAAAGATACCTTCATATCTCAAAAACTATTTGAGATAAAATATTGAGACTTATTGCAACTGGTAGACTAGACCCTAGGCTTGTTCACAACAGCCCCCACATATGCCTAGTGTTGTAAATAACAGAGTTATTAAGAGTGTTCACATTAGCCCCATGGGCTGTTCACATTAGCCCCTTTTAGCGGGGCTAATGTGAACAGTGGTTTTTAATTTTTTTTTAAATAATGGTTACATTTATGGTTTTTTTTAGTAAATAAATAGATTCAGCTAAAAGAGCTGTATACACTACTATTTTTTCTTTTCTTCTGTCATTTACCATTTTTGAGTTAATGTCAAAAGTTTACTTTTTTTGTTCATATTAGCCCCGGTTGACCCTATCCCAGAAGTTAATAATGATGGTTTCTACAGCTTTGCAAAACCTTGCATTACGGTATTTTACTTCTTTTTTTAAATTTTATTTTATTTAAGTGATATGGGTACAGCTTCTTAACTTGTCTACGCTAATATCGATTGAAACTATCGATTTGATTAATAAACCTTCATTTGATTTTTTCATTATCAGCAAGTTTGTTTAGTTATGTTAGGGTATGACAGTTTGATTTTATAATTGATATATTGTAGTTAAAAATATTAAATTATTAATCAATATTTCCAGTATGGAGGCATTGCCCAGTTTAGAAACTGTACCCATTTATACATCCCAAAGGCTTAAGATACACACTCCTTTTATCTATGGTTACACATACCATAAATTCAGACATCATTCCCAAAACTTTGTGTTGACACATCGTTTATAGGGGTACAGTTCCACAGAGAACCTGCTATATATTATCAGATTTTATATCAATATCTTATTAATCGACCATAATTTGGTTCGATATTAATATTGCATTGAATTTAATTTTACCATAATAACTTATTATACATAACTTAAGTTTACTTATAAGTTTTAAAACATTGTGAAAAACATACAGTTAAGTTAGTCCTATAGGCTACTGAATAAAGTTGTTTATTTTTTTAATCATTGGTTTTATCCTAAATTTATAAAGTTAAAGATAAAAGAAACAACCTAAACAGTATGCGGTAATCATATCAATAAGTTTTGGTTAGGTACCTAATTGTTTGTTTTGTTAAGAACGTTTGTATAAAATATACCGTAGTCTAATTTTATTTTGTTTTGATTGAATGGATTTATGGATGTATAGGCCTACAATATTTAAACCAATAATAACTATCTCTGTGGAACTGTACCCCACATCGTTGATGACACAAGTACGAGAGCTATAGGCCTAGTATCATTTTTTGCATTATGTATGGGCCTAATATTTTATAAGTACCTACCTTCAAGAGATGTTAAAGACCTTTGATCTCTCTCTATGATCTTCGTAGATTGATGAATTAGACAGGATAATATTTGGTGGTAGAATTTGGTACTATGCCGTTTGATTTCCTTTTCCATGTAAATTAACTTCAACTTTGGGAATAACACTTCCCCTCCGTGTATCTCTCAATTGACTAGCAGACAAGTAACTTTTTCTTGCACTGTATCAATTTAACTTAGGCTATATTCTAAATTTAGTTAGGCCTACAACTTGCTATTCTCAAGGAAGTTTTTAATTCTGCTTATGATTATGTCGTCAATATCATGGGTTTACTTTTAGAAATACACTATCTAAATATATCTTGGGATCACTTTTAAGGCAAACTAGTCAAATAAAAATTGTTTGAATTACTCCAAATAAGATTACAAAACCTAACAATGTATGTTCAGCTTTGTAGTAGGCCCAGAGTTGCCTCCAGGAGTCCTCCCCTCTCCCCAGAATTTAACAAAGACATAAACACAGGCGAAAAGGAACCGAATTCGGGACTAAAAGTTAGGTACTTAAAGTCAGGACCAAAAGTTTTAGGTAGCCTAATTTTTTCATTTTCATAATTTGTCACCCAAAAATATTTATCAGGCCTACTATATTAATTTATTTTGTGTTTATCTACGCCATCTTGGTGTTTTTGACATATTTTCAGTGGCGGATCCAGAGAGGGGGGCGACCGCCCCCTTGGGCATACATATACATATATTTTTTACTGCATGTAATACAGTAGTGCATACAAATTGTGTAAAATAATTTGTCACACTAACTTTAGACAAAGAAATGGTATAAAACTGCAAATTTTTTAGACTTAGTTTACACCAATTTTTTGGGGGTGTACCCCGAACCCCCCGGGGTTTGGGCCCCCCCCCTTGTGACTGCTCTAGATCCGCCACTGCATATTTGTCAGGGAACTGTCTAAACGCTAGTTTCATTATTATCTGATGTCGTCCTTTTGCTATCTGGCATCAATAATAAAATAGCTCAATGGTAAATTACATCTGAGTCCGGAATCAAACTTGCTTGGAATCGAACCAGCGACCTTCAGATTTGAAGACTAGCGGTACAACCTACATTGTATGCTCAGTTTCATTTATTTGGTAGCTTTGTAAAGTCATGTTTACGGAAATGAAGTCATGAACTCTGAGTCAACGAGATAAGATAAATTTTAACTCTCTTAGTAATAGTTGACATCAACCGTATTCATGCATCTTTAAAAAACAAAAATCAACATAAACAATGTAACAACTCTAGGCTCATAAAAAAAACTTTAAAAAAACCTTATCTTACTTTAGACCAAGACCAAAATATGTAATAAACAGCCTGGATAATCATTCCCTTATAACAATATGCAATTTTTGTTGAGATTTAGTCAAATATTCTTGATGAAATAATACATATAAGATAACATGACTTTTTTCATCAGTTAATTTTTTTTTTTATTATCTGGTAATCTTAAGTAGCTTATGCAATAATAAGTCAATTGTTTGATATTTGCAACAAACTTCCGTTGATAACTTCTTATCAAATATTTTCATTTCATTGAAAATCCTTTAAATTTTAAAAGTGCTGAAGAAAACATTGGACATAATGCATAACAATATCTTCTTACTAATATTCCATAGTGTGGTTTATCGAATATTTATAAATTTGATTAGTGTGATAATCTATTCCACTATCGTTGGTAGCTGAAAAGAATTATCCTTAATGCTATTAAGGAAGGGTTTTAATGGATTTTGGAAGTCATCTTTTTCAATTCTATGTTCACTGTAGCTCATGAATTTAGAAAGTTGGCCGTACCAAATTAAGCATACTTGAAACATAAAGTTTTTGCAATGCAGATTGCTTCAACTGATCTTGTGACACTTGTGAAGACCCTTAAGTACATTTCATTTTCTTCTGTAACTAAATGTTTTTATGAATTTGTATTTTGACAGAAAATGTTGTGTGTTTTGACTTTGGTATATTGTCTAAAATTTATTAGAAGTATATGCCTACTCCTGATGTTATGAGCACGTCATGTGTTGTGACTATCATTTGGGTTAATGGGTTGTAGTTGCTCTGTACGTGTTCATACAAATTGGAGTTTATGATGGAGCTCTGACGAAACTTTACAAAATATATGATTTACAAAGTGGGCTGCTAAAGAGTTAAATGTTACTAGGTGAAACCCGTCGAAATCGACGGTTAATTTCAAGGCTTACGCTATTCTTCTAACTGCGATAAATTGAGTGAAGTAATACAAATTTTGAGCATTTAGCATGATTTAATGAGTAATAAGTTTAAAATAATAATGACTATTGCGTTATTTACAAAATATGGTTGACCATTCAATGAATAAAATATTGACTGAACTGAATTGGCTGATACGTAAATAGTGAAGTTTACACGCATTGTTGTAATCAAAGGATGATGTGATCTAGTTTAAAAGTAACATGTCCTTTCTATAGTGACAGTCTCTGCTTAAATGGTAATTAGTATTTTTGCCATTTTTTACAGTCAAAGTGTATTGTTATTTTCAATAATCTCACCAACCCAGTGGGCCACGGTCCGTAATATAGGCCACTGCAAATAATTTGTGAAGATAGGTACCATTTTGGGCAAGGTTTCTGTGTTAGGATGTTATTAGACACGATAAGAGCATAATGAACTTCTTCTGCAGATGAATACTCTGTTGGTTAAGAAAAATATAAGCCGAATTTTAAATGTCACAATCCGAGTTTGAGCATTTTGTAACTATCCGGATAGGTTAAATAGGTAGTATTTTTTTAGGCTGCTGTTCGGTGCACTTTGAGAATATATTTTTAGAGATAAATTAAATGGTTTTTGTTTGAATACATATCTACATTATGTTTTCTTTAAGCTGAATGAATACATCAAAGTAACCTCCCTTAAAAGTCTGCAGTATATTGCAGTTTTTCGGCTTGATGACTTTCTAAATCATCCACATATTTCTACATAAATATTGTAAAATGTTTTATCCAGTTGCTGTAAACTACTATTAGTTTAACAAAATATGGACACGGCTCAAATGGGTTCCCTTCATCACTTGTATTATTTTGTATTGTATTACACAATCAAAGATTTTTCCAATGATGAAAACATGTATGACAATAATCTCATGAACCTATGATGATCTGTCTAGAATAATGATAAAATATAGGGAAAATGTGTGAAAAAGTACACCAACCCGTAAAATAGATAAGATAGTTCAATAAGAAATAATTGTAAGAGTTACTGTGATAAAAGGATTTTCAACTGATTTCGTAATGGAACGTTATATTGCAAAACATGACATGATACGGAAGAAAATCAATTTTAAAATCAGAAAATAACATTGCAAATACTTCTTTTGGACAATTCAGTAGCTCCTGGATAAATGATGTGTGTTGTTTGAAATACAATTTTAAAATTAACAGCTGTTTCATTAAAAAATATTATCCACATGGCCAAAATGTAAACAAATCTGTGGAGGAATCTTTAAAGGCTTCTGGGGCAGAGCCCTGAGCGAATTTACTTCGTTTTTCTTTTGATAACTCATCTACAGGCCAAGACCTTTCTTTGGACACCTCTACCAAGTTTCTAAGCCCAGCCGTTCTCTCAAATTAGTGGAGACAAAGTTTCCAATTAAATATTAAAATTCCCCCATGTTAATCTTATGGGAGAAAACCCAACTTTGATGGAAGATACTGCCCAAACTAATAAAGATATCAAAAGACGAAAAAGACTTTGCAAAACTACAGATCAGGGCCATTTTTTTGACACTTTAATCATCAAAATCGGTCCAAAAATGTGGGAGGAGTTCTGTTCACAAAAATCGGCTTAGCGTATTATATATATAGATGCTTCAGATTTTTAAAAGAGATTGTACCTATGAAGTTGTTAGTGTTGTTACCTATTGTATTTTATTTTACTAACTTAATTCTTTCATAAATCTTTGTTAAATGTGTGAAAACAATAATTTGTGTGAAATTGCATTGCTGATTTAACAGTATATTTAAGAATATTTCTGATTAATTAACTATCTCCCCACAGGTTACAACCATTTTTTATTATAATTTACACATGATCTTCTGTTTAAGGTTTTGGGTTTTGAAGTGGACCCAATCAACTCTGTCCAGTTCTCGAACCACACCGGCTATGGTGTCTTTAAAGGCCAAGTTCTGAATGAAAATCATCTTGGTAAATGCCCATTTTGATAAAATGTATATAGGCTAGCCTTTGTTTTAAGAAAGTGTAAGAAAAGTATAAAATATTTCACCCTGTTTACAACAGTTATCTAATTGTTGGAATAGTACACATACATTTTAAACAGAGATATTTATCTGTGATGATAGCTTTAAAACGGAAAAAGTTAGCAATGGGAGGAAATCTTGAGGCTTTGAGGACCGACAATAGGGATTGTTTATTCATTTTAGCGAATTTCCCTATAGGGAAGTAGCTAATACCGTAGGTGGCACGGTAAGACCTAGACCCGGGACCAATTTACTTTTTCATTTTGATGTCCCCAGAGGCCAAAAACACCATTCGTTCAAATTTTTATATATGTATATATCTAATATATAAAATTCTCGTGTCACAGTGTTTGTCTGCAAACTCCTCCGGAACGACTTCACCGATCGTTATGAAATTTGGTGTGTAAATTCTGTAGGTATGCGAATAGAAAGTAAACTATTTCCCGTTTCGAAATTCTTAAAAGGGCTCCGCCCCAGCGGCTCTGGAGTTTCCCATGTTAACCTTATGAGAAATGGAATTAATGAATCTTAACAGCTGTTTCAATTAAACAAGTTGGTTCTGTTCTATGATGTTCAATAGCATTAAAGTTACAAGGATTACCAACAGGGTGCAGCACTATTATTTCTTTTACATTTATGACAACAGCTAATTTGCAACCAAAAGGTGAGTGAGCGTAGCGAACGAACTTCAACCTGGAGGCGAGTTAGCGTAGCGAACGAGCTAACCTGAAGGCAAGTGAGCGCAGCGAACGAGCTCCAACCTAAAGGTGAGTGAGCGTAGCGAACGAGCTCCAACCCAAAGGTGAGTGAGCGTAGCGAACGAACTTCAACCAGGACGTGATTGAGCGATGCGAACGAGATCATCTTGATTCAACCTGGAGGCGAGTTAGCGTAGCGAACGAGCTAACCTGAAGGCAAGTGAGCGCAGCGAACGAGCTCCAACCTAAAGGTGAGTGAGCGTAGCGAACGAGCTCCAACCCAAAGGTGAGTGAGCGTAGCGAACGAACTTCAACCTGGAGGCGAGTTAGCGTAGCGAACGAGCTAACCTGAAGGCAAGTGAGCGCAGCGAACGAGCTCCAACCTAAAGGTGAGTGAGCGTAGCGAACGAGCTCCAACCCAAAGGTGAGTGAGCGTAGCGAACGAACTTCAACCAGGACGTGATTGAGCGATGCGAACGAGATCATCTTGAAAATTAAACGTAACGGTACTTTCTTTCCATCGGTCTGTCTTAGGGGAAACCTATAACTTAGGCGATACGAAGTTCGCCGGGTCAGCTAGTATATATATATATATATATAGACTTATATATATCTATACTTCTATACTATTATATAAAAATCTAATGGTGTCTGTCTGTATGTGTGTTACTAATAGGTGCAAAAACTACTGAACCAACTTGGCTTAAATTTTACAAAAATATAGCTACCATACCAAGGACCATTATAGGACTATTCACATTTCGATACTGACCGTAGGCTTTGCCCCTTTGGCTTTAAAAGTTCTGAGGTGAACATTTTAAAAGTAAATATTGATTGGTCTCCATGGCTGCGATAAGAACACTAACAATGTTTGTTTACATTTGCTTTGATATTTAAATGTAAACAAGAAGAACTGCTAAACTGCATATTTCACAATCTCAGACAGCTGATAGTGTACAAAGAAATTAAATATAATATTTTCCATAACTATGAAGTAGGTTTATTTTAATCTAACCTTTTATCATGGATTATTTATTCTAAAACTATGTCAATGATTATAGAAAAAAAAGCTTCTATAAATGTTGCTGTATCAACTCCGGCTCCTCTTTGGTTTTTTAAAGCGTCTAAAGTTATGAAAATAATGTTATTGATATGTTTTCATGGAAACAGTATGAAAATTGCAATGTATAGATGTTTTGTATGAATTTGGAGGCTAATTTAAATAAATTTGAACTGCTTAACATGACGTGTTACAGTAGATTAACTTAACATAACTTCCACATCACATTTTTTTAGATGTATATTTAGGTATATTTAGTTATTGGGTTTTGCTAAAACTATGCTTAAATTAAGCTAAAGAATATCATCAATGACTAAATTGTACGTCGTTGATTTTTGTTTTCTAAAATCTGTTAAATATAGTGTGTATGTGTAACTATATTTAATTATCAAATGGTAATACAAAATACTCTTATTTTATCATGACATAGCTTTCAGTTCACATTTACTTTATTTAATACATTTATTACTTGTTTTGCTACACCACTGATTAAATTAAACCAAGGAATATATCATAAAACTAAGCGGTACACAGTGTTCTTTTGTTTCTAAAATCAATGAAATATCTACTATGTTTTCTTAATGGTAAGTGAGAAAATGTAAAGGCAATGGACGATGGAACTGATTAAAAGAACTGGTTTGTATATTAAGTTGTTTGTTGCTATTTTTGTAGAGTAGATTTAGAGATGCAATGAAACATATAGGCTATTGTATTTGCTATTACATTTTTTAGTCCTTGATGCTTTGATAGTCATATTAGTTTTGTCTGCTGTCTTTAATGCTAAATTATTTGTTTGAATTTTTTTATAGTACCTATAGATATAGTTTCTTTAATATTTCAAAAGACTGTATTGATAAGGCAAAAAACAGCTGACTTAGTTTTGCTAAAGATTTATTGTGAGTGAAGAAACTGAAGATGGAAGGATTTGTGATTAATATAAAGAAGAGTGAAATCTATATATATAATACGCTAAGCCGATTTTTGTGAACAGAACTCCTCCCTCATTTTTGGACCGATTTTTATGATTAAAGTGTCAAAAGAATTGCCCTGATCTGTAGTTTTGCAAAAGTGTTTTTCGTTTTTTGATATCTTTATTATTTTGGACAGGATCTTCCATCAAAGTTGGATGATTTTCTCCTATAAGATTACATGGGGGAATCTAAAAATTTAATTGGAAACTTTGTCTCCACTAATTTGAGAGAAAGGCTGGGCGTAGAAACTTGGTAGGGGTGTCAAAAGAAAGGTCTTGGTCTGTAGATGAGTAATCAAAAGAAAAACGAAGTAAATTCACTTAGGACTCTGCCTCAGTAGCCTTTAAAGATTCCTCTGCAGATTTGTTTACATTTTGGCCATGTGGATAATACTTTTTAATGAAACAGCTGTAATTTGTAAATTGTATTCTAAACAAGACACATTAATTGACAGTAACTGAATAGCCCAAAAGAAGCATTTGCAATGTTATTTTCTGATTTTAAAATAAATTTCATTCTGTATCATGTCATGTTTTGCAATAAATAACGTTCCATGACGAAATCATTGGAAAATCCTTTTATCACAGTAGGCCAAACCCTCAAAATTATTTCTTATTGACCTTATATCTATTTTACGGGTTGGTGACTGCCCTTTTCACCATTTTTGTCTTTATTTTTTTATCATATTGTTCCAGACGGATCACCATAGGTTCATGAGATTATTGTCATACATGTTTTCAATCATTGGAAAAATATTCAATTGTGCAATATAATACAAAAAATAGCCTACAAGTGCAGAAGGGCACGGTGCCCATTTCAGCCGTGTCCATTTTGTTAAATTAATAGTAGTTTACAGCAACTGGATAAAAATTTTTACAATATTTATGCAGAAATATTTGCATGATAAAGAAAGTCATTAAGCTTTCAGAGAGGTTACTTCGATGTATTCATTCAGCTTAGTGAAAACATAATATAGATATGTATACTAATAAGAACTTGAATTCTTAGAGAGCCTTTGAATGTTATTAGAAAAGGGTTGTGCATGTTTACTAGCGCTACTCAGCAACAAAAACCATTTAATTTATCTCAAAAATATATATTCTTACAGTGCACTCATCAGCAGCAAAAAAATCTATGTATCATACCCATATGTTATTGAAAATAACACAACATTATGGCTGTAAATATGACCCAATGAGTAAATAATATTTAAGCAGCTACTGTCATGACAGAAAGTTCATATTCCTTTTAAACTAGATCACATCATCCTTTACGTTGATACGTTAAGATACGTTGATTAACAATGCATGTAAACGTAAATATTTACGTAACAGCCCATTTACATTATTTTTGCTTTTTGGAAATGCCTAATTGCTGTGTCATTTGCATTATTTGTTGCCAATGAAGCCGCATATAAATGAGGAGACCCCTAACAGTTTAAGAATAAAAGCCAACTTCACTTCAAGTATATTCCACTACACCTAATATTCCGGAGAGAGATTATATTGACAACTTTATGTAATTGATATGGCTGAGACACTAACTGACATCCCCCATGTCAAGGAATTCCAGCTTTAACAGTAACCCCACAACAAATTTCTCAAAACTGTGATAGAGGGTTATTCATTAGCACAGAAGTACGATATGAACTAAAGCGACGTGACGAAGGAAAAATCAAACTTACATTGTAATGGATACCTCCCTTTGAAGTTAGAACGTGTCTTCCTAACAAACAGATATTTTTTTCAAATAAAATCATAGATTAATCTGCATTACACTGATGAAATCACGGAAGTGTTTAACTACAAAAGATCCACCAATACGATTTTAATACTATTTAAAGGTTCTTCAAAACGACGAGATAGCAGATAATATACTAATAACTCCGATGACGTACAGTATGGGAGATATTTTATTCATTGAATGATCAACCATATTTGGTAACTAATGCAATTAATATCAATATCATTATTGTTTACACTTATCAATCTTTAAATTTATCGCAATTAGATGAATTAGCGTAAGCCTTGAAAATAACCGTCGATTTCGACGGGTTTCACCTAGTAAATAAAAATGTTCATTTAAATTTAATAATTAGTATTTTTGGAACTTCAAAATTGAAATTTGAAATGTAAATAATAAATTAAAAGATATGTAATTAAGGGAGATGAAGGTAAATCATGTATGTCAAAGTTTTATTCGAAGATTTGGTCAGGTTTTCTCATATCAGCCTACACAAGATTTAACATTAATCAAAACCAAAATGGTGGTATCCACTACTTACCAGATTTGTACTAAGCTATCAATATTTTACTCAAAAACACACTTTATTAGTTTCCTTGTAGCAGCAAACCTAGGTACTCGTTAAACATAATGTTATTAAAATATAATTAACTGAAAATCAATTCAGACAAATGGAAATTCGCTTAGTCGGCAGGTTTGCTGCGGTGGGGGTATTTTAATCATTTTGGAAATCACCATGGGTTATTTATCATTTCCCTTGCTAACCGACCTTTAAGCTTTTCCAACTTTGCTGCAGCCGGTTTGGGTTGGATTAAAAATTAATAGCAAGTTATCTTGCTGAAGGCTAATACAAGATTGAATTTTCTCAAACCCAAAGATTCCAAACAATACTGTGTTGATGTGCAGGAGAACTGGTGGAAGGGCTGAAGATCAATCAGCTGGATCAGTCGTACACCCATCTACTGACCGGATACATCGGTAGTCCAAGCTTTCTGTACAAGGTGGCCGAAGTGGTACACCATTTGAAAAAGGTCTGCCATAACCTCACCTATAGTAAGTGTGGTTTGATAATTTCACACATCTTTTGAAATCTAATTTGAACTAAACAACGTTCTATTAGATCTCACTACTGTACTGTGTAGCCTACAGTAATAAAAGTTATCACCCATATGATTACAGTAGGTATACAAGAACTTACATAATGTAAACCACTACCTACATAACAAGGTTAAATAATATATGACTGAATAAGATGGGAAGTTTTGCTCACTTTAAATTACACACAGGAAACTAAACTTCTATACTAATGTATCTGGACAGTTGCATACAAACCGTTTTCACTTACCTATGTGTTTTTAATAAATAATTAGTAATTGTTTCATTTCATTTTTGTTCCTTTTAAATACAAATATTTATTTTGAAATGCTAACTCTGAAAATAAATTGATAAACCTTAGTAGCCTATCTGTGGAACCAAATTTTAAGTAGTTAAATAAAGCAAACATATCTTACAGTCTGATTTTCCCTGATAAATCCCTGTGTTATGCTTTATTCCACTTTGCTTATTTCACATATTGCGTCAAATATCTATATTTTTCATCTCTATGCCAGTTGTTTAACCATTCCCCAGTAGGCAGTGTTTTGTAACTAGTAAATAGACATTTTTTGTGTGTTGACTAACAACTATTCAGTTAACAATGAATGTTAATGCATGATGCTTAGTTGTGTTTAAAATTTTTGCTTTACAGTTTGTGATCCGGTGATGGGTGATAATGGAGCTATGTACGTTCCGCAAGACTTACTGCCTATCTACAGAGACACAATTGTTCCCCTAGCTGACATCGTTACGCCAAACCAATACGAGCTCGAGTAAGTAACTAAAAATCTCAAAACAAGACCCGAATGTACAACATGTTGTAAAATGTTGGTAGTCTCAACAAATACTAATATTTATGACACCCTTGTATACTTAAGCAATAAATAAATCATATGTCTGTTTCATTTACACAACTGTTAGGCCTAACTAGAAGTTTAAAAGTACCTAATATTTTACGCAAATTCAATTGCTGGGTAGTTTCAGTAAAAGAAATATGATATGTAGGCCTAGTTTATCAACCTGGTGTGTTTGTATTCATAATCCATGCAAACATCGTTAAAAGATCTCCAGATCCAGTAGAAGAGAATAGTTATTTTCCTACAGTTACCTAACAATGTACATGTTCTCTCACTGATTTGAGAAAGCAAAGTGGCCAATTCGCTCATCAGTGAGACAATGTTAACATTGTCTCACTCTAATTACTTTGTCTCACTCCAGATTTGCAACGTGAAGGCACGAAATAGTGAGCGCGTAACATGCAGGCAACGTCGTATGCGCGCGAAATACGTTGGCAGCACTGGCTGTAAATCAGCTGGTCAGCTGTTGTACTGTTGTATTTGTCACTTCACATTAAATGTTATATTAAAAGTTCACTTCTGTGTAAAAATAGGTTATGTTTCTTCACCAATTTATTTGTTTTATGGTAATTGTAGGAAAAGTATAATGTGCAACTCGAGTTCAAAGTACAATTGCCTCACTCGAGAAACCATTCCTCACTCGCCTACGGCTCGTGAGTAAGGATTTCTCTCGAGTGAGTCAATTGCTCACTTTTCTCACTAGTTGCACAAATAACTATTGTGCAACTAGTGAGAAAAGTGAACAATTGACTCACTCGAGAGAAATCCTTACTCACGAGCCGTAGGCGAGTGAGGAATGGTTTCTCGAGTGAGGCAATTGTACTTTGAACTCGAGTTGCACATTATACTTTTCCTACAGTTACCATAAAACAAATAAATTGGTCTTATGTTTCTTCAAACATAACCTATTTTTACACAGAAGTGAACTTTTAATATAACATTTAATGTGAAGTGACAAATACAACAGTACAACAGTTGACCAGCTGATTTACAGCCAGTGCTGCCAACGTACTTCGCGCGCACACGACGTTGCCTGCATGTTACGCGCTCACTATTTCGTGCCTTCACGTTGCAAATCTGGAGTGAGACAAAGTAATTAGAGTGAGACAATGTTAACATTGTCTCACTGATGAGCGAATTGGCCACTTTGCTTTCTCAAATCAGTGAGAGAACATGTACATTGATAGGTAACTGTAGGAAAAGAATGTAATTATCAGCTTATAACAAATTGTTTTTCTTACATTTTTTTCAGACTGTTGACCCAGAAACCTGTACGTAGTATAGCTGACGCCTGGGCTGCAGTAGATTGGTTTCATGAGAAAGGCATCAAGACAGTCGCTATCTCGTCTTCTCAGCTCAGTTCCAATAATAACCAGTTACTGGCTTTAGCCAGCACCATGGCAGGTACGTTGTGTTGGACATTAATTTCTGTTGCGTTACTGTCAATGTTTTGTAGATTGAAAAGCTTTAAAAAGTTTACAAATTGTGAATCAGCTGGTCTACACTTCACTTAACATTTATATGGATTAGTATACCAACTAATCCAGCTGAACACAATGTTTCCGCCAAAAATATTTTGTTTATTTAGTACTAGAACTTTTAGATTATGTTTATGTAACCTGATAGTAAAGTTATTTATATTGATCGTACGCAAATTAATATTTCCAATAGGCTAAACAAATTTGCGTAAGGTAAAGTGAGATTATCAGCTAATTGCAAATGCACTACTTAAGTAACAGATTTTAGCTGTGTAAACTTGGAAAAAGGCACAACTTATGCCTGGATATAAATTGTTACTGATTTACAGCTGGCAAAAGATTAGACTGAAATGCAGTTCTTTCAATACATTAAAGTAACCTTATTTTGTGCAAAATCATGTTCCCTAAGCTTAAAAGAGTTCCAGACCCAGACACCGTTTGTCATTGGGCAATGAATTAATGATGCCATCTAACAAAAAGGTTGACGTTGGAAGGTAACAAGACCTGGGTTTGGACCGTTCCCTTTCAAAACGTAAAAAATGCCACTGGCGTAAAAACACACAAAATTGTATTGATAGTGTTGTTAAAATAATAAATAACATCGAACTAGGACCTGATGTCACAATGAGAATTCACACACAAATCTTCACTAACAACACTAACCGGCCAAGCTATTCAATAACCTTAAAAATGTATTTTATCTTAAAAACTTTATTTTACATGATCACTTGTTCCACAGATGGAAAGTGCAAACGAGCTACAATTGAGATTCCTCTACTGGACGCCACATTCACAGGGACGGGAGACCTGTTTGCCGCTCTGTTCCTTGCCTGGATGGCCAAGAGCAACAACAATATCTACGAGGCGTTGGAAAAGACGCAGAACACAATACAAGCAGTGTTAAAACGAACACTGGACTATGCTAAACGTTAGTGATTTTTATTAGGCTATAAATATATATTGTAAATTCTTACCCAATACATTCACATCCTCCTCCGTTACGGCCTACTCTAATAACTACTAAGCCAATAGATTTAAACTGTTACTTCACTAGTGTAAAAAGGAAAACTAATAAAAACAATTTTTTACAGAGGATCTGAAAAACAAGAAAGACAAACCGAGTGTTGGACAACTTGAGTTGCGACTTATCCAAAGCAAGAAGGATATAGAAGATGTTGAAGTCTTGCTGAAGGCCAAAGTCATCAGTTAGCTTTTACCCCACCGGATGTGCCTCAGAAATATAATACGTTAGTTACCGACATATCATGTATGTACATATTCCATACATATAATCTAACGTATACTGTATAGTATACACATTTATATTGATGCCTAACAATATTTTACCAAGCCTAAGATGTTGGCGTTTAACTTTATATTCAGCATACATTATATTAATTCCATGTTGAGAGGTATTTTGAGTGTGTCTTCACCAACAAAATGTTACGGGAGCTGCACTCCTTAGTAACAAACTAATAATTTGATTTTGGGTATTAGAATCACTTACACTAACCACCAGATTGGAACGGTTTTTATTTTGATAGGTTTGGTCTTAAAACCCTTGCACTGAATAAACCAAATATTTATGGATCGCTAGAAAAATGCTACATCTTTCCGTTGGTTGGTTGGTGTGAGTACGATTACGATTTAGCAAAGTGTACAAGTTTTGAATTTTAGTTTGTCTTGGTTTATTTGGCCTTACATAAGGTTTGTTGCTCATGCCACTTTAATGGGTGCTTTTATTAAATGAATCTACCAAAGATTTTGATTCCCTGCTGGTGTCAGGCATTGTATGGTTGTTACATTTAGGTACATTGTAGCTTTAAAGTAATACGTCATATATAAATGTATTTTATTTGTTCAACTTCATCATATATTTGACTATTCCATTTTCGTGGTGAAAAAGATCATGAAGTTTTAATAATAAAATTAAATGTATGAAATTGTTAAGATAGATCATTGTTGTAGTAATAAATTGAAAATTAGTTGAGCAATTTGTTCCAACAGCAGAAAATGAATATATATATATTATATATGACACATAGACAATAGACAATTTCTTTATTACAATTTCATCAAGGAATGTTACAGCGTCAAATTTTACAGATACAAAGTGAAATGAAAAAGCTTCTTCAGTGTTGTGTGTGGTCTTGCCATGCAAAGAATAATTTGTAGCTTTAAAGTAATTTCATCAATTTCAAAAAATGGAAAACAGATTTTTATGATCAGCAAATAGTATTTTGGATCTTTTATGACTGCAAAATTGTACTCTAGGATAATTTTAAATTTGGTTTAGCTTTTTTTTGTTCATTTCACTCACTGTTACCAATAAAAATTGAACCAGTCGGTTTTTATATAGATTCTTGAAGAGTGTAAATGTTTGCATTCTTTTAATTCTGGTTCGATTGGCTTATAATAAGCCTGATGTTTTACCATTCCACTAATATGATGTTGTGATTAGTTACCTATCAAATTGTTATCGTCTAAGAAAATCTTGTTTCTTTTGTTATCTTAACCAAGTTGCCATAATATTGTTGATTATTTTAAATCTTGTTATTTAGTGATAAAAAATTGTTATTGAATTTTATTCAAGTTAGGGAATGGGTTTTTACTACCTAATATTATTTTGTAAAGCACTTTTGTTTATGATACTAGGCCTCGTTCAAGACAATAGACAATCGAACAGACTTGTATACTCTTACGGTAAGTTAAATGTACCCAGACAGCTGGCAAGTCTGATCACGTTGGAGGGGCCTAACATTCTTTTAAATGTTTCCTAAAAGGAAAAAGTATTGTGACCTTACAAATTGTCTTCCATAACCAAATACTTAAGTTATAGCTGTAGAAGGGATTGGATGAGTTTAAAAGCTTTTCAATTAGTTAAGTCATTGGTGTATTAGTTTAGGTTGTTAGAAAGGAGCTTATATCTTAGTCATACTATGAAATATGGTTTAGAATTTACGAAGAAGGTTAACTTTGTTAGAGAAATTAATTTTATGACTTGTTTATTCATGCTACTGTAAGTTTTATCATACAATACACTATTTTATGTACACAATGTTAAGTCTAATTTCTTTATCACTCCTCAGTCAAATTCAATGGATCTCGTAAATGAAACATTTTTTTTTCTGCACCCTACCTAAATAATGAAATCATAAAAAAGTTGATCTCCAAAACTGATATTACAGAACATATTTTTATTAGTATTTTCTCTATTTGATACTAGTTATTAAGACTATGAACGTAATGATTATTTACAAGACAAATAAATTATTATAAACTCCTAATAACATCACTAATAGTAATGTACAACAAAAATACAACCTGCGAATGGAACCTAACCTGTTACAAAGCCTATTCTAATACAAGGCTACAATGTTGATGTGTGGCAACTTTGCACCTCAACTCATAAACATAAAAGTAAACATTGCACAGAAGCTCTATTAAGAATTAGTGCAACAGCTGTTTCAGTAGGCTGGGGCTGCGGTGTTGCCACTTTTTACTCGTTACGACGTCTTGATCTGGATTGGTGAATATTGGATATTAACGAGTCCTAGAAGAAAAGGATCAATAAACACATCGTATATAAATAATAATTTATTTTAAAAAGTACAAAACTGTACAGAATAATGCAATTGAAAAATTTTAAACAAAATCGGTTACCGTAATGTTGATTTTGGAAATATAAAAGTGACAATTTTTTAATGTACAGATCACAGTCGATAGTTAAGCAACCTAAATCCATTATGGAAATCATAGTTAAATATAAAGCATTTAAGGTTTAACTAAATATTAAACATAAAATAATTACAGTTAAAAGCTATTTCTTTCTACTGTTATTTCTATTGAAGTAGAGTTAAGAACAAACTATTAATTTGAAAGACAACATGCATTTTAAAACAAATTAGCAATCTATTACAGAAGTATTTGCAACAAATCAAATATTTAAGTAGTCTAGAAAGTCTTATAAGGAATTGGCAATACACATGGCTTTTTATCGATATTACAGATCACAGTCGTAATGGCTTCATAATTATTTATACTATTTAGAAGGACCTTTTGTGTTAATTTACAGTTGAAATGTTGTAATTTTATCTACAAATTATGTCTATGATTAGGTAATTTAAACTAGTTTAGGTAGGTTAGAACCAAAACATAACTTAAAATTTTGCTAGTGTAATATAATTAACGGAAAAGGTCCCAATCTCCTAATTCAGGCATTTAAAATCAATTAGGCTATAATTTTTTTAATGTTACGTCCTCCAGTAATTTAAGCTCTTTATTTTTCACCTAAACATAGCAAAGTATTTTTACAAATCACGCAGTCACAGTACACAACACTTATAAAAAGGTTTAAAGTATTTTTGAGCGTTTCACTGACAAATAGACCTAATTCATTTATTATAGATCATAATACTGACTGTGTGTCTACAACTAATTAACATATACAATTTGTTTCTAAATATTTGTAAACTAGTTGAATTAGAAAACATACAACAAACTACCCTTAAAATATATACAAACATACAACAATTATAAAGTAACGTGAAGAGCATACAAAAGTGAACCTGACCCTATATTACAAGTGACATGTTACTAAATGCCGCGTTGAAATTGGAAGACAAGTTACTTTGAGATGAGCTGGCAAGAATACATTTTTAGTGCAATCTGAAACAAAAATTTGAAATACATTATTTTCATAACTCCGTACAGCAAGAAGCTATATTCGATGAAAGCTGATATGAAAGAAAGTAATTGTTTCCCAATTATTTAATTTAGACCAAACATAAAACGATCAGCTTATTTCCCCTTACTTTCAATTAGTTCTAAATTTGCTCACCATGCACACTAGCATTTCATTACCATTTATTTTGATATATTTTAATCAGCCACTTTCATTGTTGCACAATCTAACTGCAAACAGAATACTCATAATGGTGTCATAATGAAAAGTATCATTCATAATTTGTGCGAAATGTGATTTTCCAGCACTTGCTCCGACTATCCCCATCCATACGTGAAATTCACTCTTAATTTGGCGTTCATGTGTTTGGCTTTGCCTCACACATGAAACTTCAGTGGGTACAGAAAAGGTGAAAAATACCACTTTTGGTACTGAAATTGTTTTATGACCCTTAAAATAATTAGGAAATTTCTACTATCGGTACCATCATAAGCTGTTTTTCATCACTTTGGATTCACATTTAAGTAAGTTTCAGTTTGCTTACTTTTGAGAGAAAGAATAATATTTAAATTTAATTTAGTATACATTCGTTTTAGATTCTGACATCTGGCAGTATTAAAATCATTACTTAACTCCCCCAGATCAAAGATACAGTAGAACTCCAACTATCCGAATCGCCAATCATCTGAATTGCTTACAGAAATAATTTAAAAATTTAAAACTGCATAGGCCTAATAAGAATTGATTTCGCGATTGCGGTAAAATGATTAACATATGGTGGTCATGTAGACACCATCGTCACCCGCGGTCATGGTAACATGATCATCGTTTTTCCCATCACCGCAAAATGTTAATATCTCATGGTCATGTTGACAGTTCCCTGTAATTTTTCTGATCACGAAATTGTCGTAGATGTATTCTGTGATCGCAATAGTAAAAGATTGGCATGACTCGGCCTATTTTCTTTTAAAGACTCTATTCAATTATCCGAATGGGGTCTGGTCCCATATTAGTATTCACCCTTGTAATTTTGGCTAGTATATGAGCCCAAGTCACATAACTTAAATAAGATGAGAACCAAACCATTTACCTATTTTATGTTTGTTAGGAAACAGCCCAAACCCTTTTCTTGATACTTTCTAACCTCAACCTCTTGTTAAGTAGCAATCATTAATTGCTAGCCAAGAGAAAAATGGATTCTGGGTCCAGTTACGATCTTAAATTAAATCAGCGCCTTTCACATTTAAAGGCGAGCACTTAACCACTTGGCTAACCATACAACTCTTGGCTTGGAATTCTCAAAATTTTCAATTCTAGACTAGCAAAACACATAAAGGAGTTGGGAAAATATTTAAAATATACTCACTAAAGGCTAGTCATGGCAGGAGGTCTGGCATAGGCCTTGGGAATAAAGCCATATTTACGGGTCTTAGGAGCGTACGCCCACAACCAACCGTCCACTGTCTGGTTGTTGAGGTCTGCGTAGATCCAGTCACCTCTTCTAACTGACAGGTCGTCAGGCGCTTGTGCCTGCAAGTTATAATATGTTGCAAAGGAGGGTTCACACACTGCGTCTACTAGTCCAAGTTAGTAAAATGTCTTATTAAAAGTTACATTAAGTCAACATAGAGGATTTTTAAGTCTTTCATTTTCAGATGGGATAAACTGTTGGAAAGTAGGCTGTCGGATGATTGCAATAACTTAACTATGATATGTCTTTTATATTTTTGTTACTTGAATGTTTTTTTATATATATTTTAAGATGGTTCAAATAGTTTTTTAATGATTTTGGTTAGGATGGCAGGTTTATTGGAAAAGTGTCTGCCACATCACAAGAAACAAAACATTTGAAGATTAGATTCTCAGACTGAATGAGGTAGGATTAAAATGTGTCCATGTTTCTTTGTAAAACTAGCTCTGAAATTTTGTAGTATTCAGATTCTCACAAAGCTGTAAATGGCAGGACGAGTAAACATGAGTTACCACCACTGAAATTGATATTGATCACATCACTCTTCAGTTCTCATGGGCTGATAATAAATTGTTGGTGGTTTTATTCAATCCATTGTTATTGAATTAGGCTAAACACACAAAAACAAAAATGTTAATTTTCGTCAAACTGCAGCAAAAACAGTCGTTTTTAATGCATGCATTGCGAGTCTAAAGTAGCATTTTTACCCTCTAGAGTAAAAATAAGCTGTTGTAAGCAGTTGTAAATTTCGAATGTGACAATCGTATCTTTTAGTATATTGCTGTCGATATGGCTCAACATATCGATTGTATAATGTACTGACTGTAACAAAATCGTAATAAACAAAATGATTGAATCACTTATTAAATAGCTGCTTAGAATTGAAAACAGCAGAAATTAAAACAAGCTGGAAGTTGTTTTGAGAGGTTATCTTTAGATACAAATTATTTTGATTTCTAGATTTGTTTTTTAATTAATTAATGATGCAATATGACAAAAAATATAGTTTACCACACGGACAAAAAGTGACTTTTTAACCCTCGCTAATTTTCCTCAGGCCTCGTAAAACTTGACCTCAGGTCAGTCAAAAAGAGTCACTTTAGGCCCTAGTGATGAAATACACTATTATTTAGCACAAAAGAATGAACCTAGATGTGAACCACAAACATACAAACCTTATAATCGTAAAGCATGACCAGCTCAGTTCCGTGGTATCTGAGGTCGTCATTGGTTGCTGTGGTGAGGTGGTGGGGGGCGTTGGCGGCAGAGGCTGCATTGTGAGTGTTGTTATTGACATTTTGATTGTTGTTCATTTGATTTAGATGGCCTTGGATTACGTCAGCTGGATAAACAAAGCCGCTGGGAACGAAACCTTCTTGTCCGTCAGATCGTACTATCCAGTACCAGTCGGGGTCTTCACGGTTTAACACCGTAACAAACTCTCCTCTTTCAACACTTACGTCATTCTCGTCTCTGGCGATGAACGTGTACAAGACAATGAACCTTCCTGACGGATCCTGAAATTATAAGGAGAATTTGGCTCATTCAATTACACTCAGTTTATTGAAGTGAAAAACCTAATGCTATACAGCTATGGCTGATAAAAACAATTTTCTAATACCCCTAACATATTTTTCTCCTCCAAACAGGGCTCGGTCACAATTATATCGGAATACCAGAACTCTACTATTAGACCATTTGGCTTTACTTTCTTTGGACTATTTCCTAACTTCAAACTAATTAAAAAACATATACAAATTTATATCCATTACAAAATACAATGAATAATTATAACAACCGTGACAGTGAAAGATAAAGGACTACATTTAAGATTGTAGTACCTCTGCTACTGAAAATAAAGACTTACTTTTGATCTTAAAGAAATAATAAATTACTTGAATTAATTTCTCAACCATGAAATCAAAAGAGAGCCAGTCAGTTGAATGACTATTATAAGGTTAACTGTAGTGTTACTAGGCTCATAAGGATCGAATTTAATTTTATTAAATAGGCCTACTGAGCCAAGCCACATCTATATCATAGCCATTTTGATCAGTGGCGGATATAGAATATTTTGTTTGGGGGGGAGGCGAGAATAATTTAAGGTTAGGTTAAGTAATTTGAAGTAGACAGGCCATGATACTTAATCTCAGTTTTTCTGTGGCAATTTGCGCTAAATGTGATCTTTTCTTCACCAAGATCACGCTGTATCATTATATCGTTCCATTAAATCATAAAAATGTATCTATTCAAGCCAAATGAAGAAAATATCTCAATTACTAAATAAAAAAAACATTGGTTAAGATTTAACAGTGGGACATCCCCGACAAAGCTTACAGAGCTAGGAAATATTATAGTACAACAAACTAAAGGAAAAGACCAAATTTTGACAGCAGTAAGTGGCCATTCAACTGTGACCTATAATTTGTATAAAGAATTGGCTACAACTGGCCAATAGGGATTGTAAGTCTACCAAGAGGCAATGGTTGTAAGGCAATACTTTGGACAATCTCTGTGAACATGCACTTACAGAATGGATAGATACCTTGAAGAAGGGGTGGACGTCAGGCTGAAGGGACGATGCACTGTGTAGAGACGCCTGTGATGACGTCATGTTGACAGTCTGCTGTGTAGTGTTGGACAGAACCTTCTTGTTGTAACTCTCACAATCCGACAGATCGCCCACTCCTGATGAAAACAACCAATTAAGACCTCAACGCTACAAAACAAAGAGCATCGTAGACTTTGAAGAGGTAATTTCCTCATTGAAAGGAAAACTTACTTTCGAAAATCAAGAGGATGGAAGTGAGTTAATAAAAGAATTCCTCAGGACTATATGGACAAGCAAAGTAATACCTATATTACAAATAGACGTCACTTAAATTGATTCGTGATGAACAAATACATCAATGGAAATTTATATATGGTCATGAAATGGAATTAGAGAAAGAATGGTGAAACAAAAACATTTAAATTAATACAAATATACATGACAAATTGAACAGACCGTGCTGTTGAATTTTCAAAAATATTGGCCGATACATTGGACGCGTTGCACTAATCCATCAAAAGAGATACCGTAGCTACAATTCAACAAAATTTAATTTTCGTTAGTTCAATGACACTGTCATCTCCAGAAAAGCGAATTAAAAGTCTTGCCACTGTTATTAACGCACCATAAGCCTTTGAAATCCTAAGATAGGCCTACACTCACTAACCTGTTCGAACATCAGGGTTTATGTCCACTTCTACCTCCGTCCCAGAACTGATGTTGCACTGCTCCCGAGGCAGTTTCTTCTTGACATTGCTCATTGCCAGTTCCGCAAGGTGTGAGTTGTAGGGTGTGCAGTACGAGTGAGGTATGAAGCCCTCCTGTCTGCTGTCTGCCGCTATGACGTACACCCAGTCATTCTCTCTGTACAGAATGTTTACTACCTGCAACAGAGTATGGAAATGGTTTAATGCAAAAAAAATCTAATGAAATTCCTTCTATGCTTTTCTTTTATACAGAGGTTGTCAATGGATATAATATTACGTTACTAGCCCGGTAAGTTACCGTGCGAGCTCGACGCCTCGCACAGGATTTTTGTGCGAGTACGGTAAGCTTACAGGGTGAGTAACGTACGATACTTTACATCATACTATACAGAAAAATTAGTACATTTTAAACTCACAACACAATTTATTTAGGACATAATAGAAAATAGTATATTTTTATGTTTCAGAAAATAAAATAGGCCGTTGCAATTAGCTGTTTATTTCATCAGCTGACTAAGTGCAAGGTAAAAAGCTTTTAACGTGCAGTGCAAAGTAAAAATACATTACTTGACTTTTCTGTGTGTAGGCAAGGCAAAGGGCAACTTTTCAGCCTATCAATACGGATGGAAAAGTACCTTTTTCTGCGTAGTATGATGTAAAAGAAGTTACGGTATTGGCACATTTATTGGCATTGAAAAGTGTAAAATTCTTCAAAGCTACCTGTTTATTCCTAGTTTCTTAAAAATACATTGAAATCTCCTTTGGTTTGAGACCTGAATGTTTGTGTGCATTTAGAAGGATTTGATTGTACCAATATTTTAGAAATGTCCAGTTACCAAACATTTTAGCCTGACAATATTTTGAATTTAGCAAACTTTTTCGAATGAAGGAAAACTGTCTTCTTCTTCATGACATAGGCTATTAATACAATTCTTTGTGGTACAATTTTTTTTTGCCGTCCATATGAAAACAGCCAAGTCTGTGTTTTTGGGTCCACTCAACTCACATCTAAATGATGACAAAATAGTACAGATATACAAACTATAAGATGGTGAAAACTTTATACACACATTAATAAAAGGGAAAGTTGTAATTTGGATAAAATATCTTACTTTAATATTAGAGGACAAACAAACAAATGCATCCAACTAATTAAATTAGTTCGTTCACGGCTTCTCTTAGTCTATTTTAATTAACTTAATTCAACTCAAGTTTCAGTTGATTGATAAAACTGAAGTTTTTCTGCGATAGCATAACAACTCCATTGTGCTTCAGCTCTGATGTCGAATTTCACCATTACCGGTACTTTACTCTTTTAGACTCCTTTGTCTTCTGGGCTATATACAATGACAGAAAATATTTTTAAGGACATCAACATCATAAAACCTCTAATCTGTACAGTACTATCCTCTAGTATTTAAATTTAATATACTCCCAAAACTAATTCAAACTGTGCCAAGCACACAATCACAGTAAAAAACGTACCTGCCCTCTCTTGACTTCCAACTCATCATCAACACAGGGAGTGAAGTCGTGCAGGACGACCATCTTGCTGTCTGGAGACAATCCGTTCTCTTTCTCTATCCCGACACGGACCAAAGTCTCGATGGAGGCACTCCCAGTGATGCGACCCATACCTGGCGCTCGCACCACATCTTTCTCTACCTCGGTGCTCGCACCTGTGAAAGTACCTGAGTTTGTTAGTTAACATAACTTAATTTTTTTTACCCTCATTAGTCTGGACTTGAGTCCAAAGTTGTGTAATTTAAATTATGAATGCTTGCTTTACTACAACGGTGTTCTTTTTTTATCCATAATAATAACATCTAAAATTTATTGTTTTTTTGGAATTTCTATGTAGCCTAACGTTTAATTTTACAACAACGCTTCCGGCTTCAACATTTAAATTATTTGTTTTTTGTAGCGCTCTACACAATGACAACCCACTCCCAAAACAATTATTTTATGGGTAGCTCCTTTGATATGGATACCCAGGATTTGTTATTGGATCTAGTTTATTAATAAATAGCATGACCCAGATGCCAGTTGATTGAATCAATTGAACCTGAGCCGGGACAGTTTATTAAGCTAGAATAAGGAAGTGGCTTCGCACTTATTTGTAGAGTATTTAACCCGCAGTGGTCACAGCTGTAATAAAAATTGGGCATTTTTATGTTTGAAGGGTAAAAGTTGGAAAAAACAATAATAGCCTACCCAACAAAACTCTATAATACGACCCCTATCCTGTGATCCGAACTTGCTGCCTGCGCTCATACAAGTTTATCCGCCCCACACCTTCAAGCCAAATTTAATTAAAATCGGACCAAATTTACTCAAGTCATTACTTTCATTGACACACCGGTAGCCTATATAGCCTACATATAAGCCTACCCTACAAAAATTTTAACAATTAGTGTTTTCGGTCTCTGGGTATGATGAAAAAGTAATCGGTCCCGGGTCAAGGTCTTACCTTGATACCTACGGCAATAGCCACTTCCTTACAGGGAAATTTGCTGTAACCGCTGTTAGGCTAACCTTCCTAACGGTAAGGTAAGGTAATCCTACTGGAGAAAAAGAAGTCACACACAGCTGATTTTATGTAACTTATAGCTCCAACAAAGCTTTACAAAGCAGGTCAACAGTCGATGGAATACAGTTTTAAGTTAGTTACAGTACCGGTGCCGGTATCAAGTTTTGTGGGAATCAAAGTTTAGAGAGTAGTAACTCTCTAACATCTGCAGTAAGTATACTGCAGCTTTATAGATTGATCACACAATAATTGAAAAAAATACTGACCACTGAGGAATCAATCAGTCCTATACACCTGTTAAAGTCTCCAGGATGACTGGTCTGTCAACTTAAATGGCTAGGCCACAGATTAGGCTAGGTATCTCTAACATAGAGGCCTAGGCTTGAGCTTATAATTTGCTAAATTTCTTTAACTCATTTAAAATTATTACGGTATAAGAAAATAACCAAGTGATTGCATTATTAGACTCAAATAAAATTAGCAATGTTGCAAGTGAGGTGAGCTTGTGAAATTATTAAGTTTCTCCATTGTTTAACTTAGGCTAACTGTTAAAAATTATTTCCACATTTTTAAACAATCAGAAGGAAAACTATTTTAATGCAAATCCATTGTTTTTGCCGCAGGAAAAATAACTGCAACTAATTAAAACTGGGTCAATCAACTTGTCTATACAGCCATTGTTTACAACCCACAGCTTTACTTCAGGAAATCATCACATATTAGACTTGAACCTATTACCTTTTCGAGTGTATTTTTAATTCCAATAATTGTTTTAGTGGTATCATTAATAAAATGTATTTTTTTTAATTTCAAGATAAACATGGCCTAGGCTAAAATATTTTCGTAACAGATAGTAAGTGAGGACCTAGTCATCAGTCAATCAAGTTTCTTACGATAAAGACGAAATCGAAAACAAATGAAGTTATGTTTAAACAATAGTATGAATAAAAGTATTTATTTATAATTGTCTTACTTTTCTTCTTCTTTCCTCTTCGTATTCTGACTGGACAAAGAAAAGCCATGGTAACTACACTGCATTATTTATCGCCTAAACAATTTCCGGCCATTACCCTCAATCTTACTCAAAACTGCCGAGCCCGAGCACAACAGCAGCAGCACAGCCGACCCGACTAGTGAAAACTTACTATCGATAGTACTATCGATAGTATCGATAGTTTGAAAATATCGATAGTGGGTCGATAGTATTATACTATCGATGAGACTATCGATAGTTTTTTTTACGTTAAATTAAGTAAAGAAATCATTATCTGGTACTCTTACATTTCATTGTTTGTCTGTTAATGCATACCTATAGTTAATATTATAGACTATTTTTTTTTTAATTCATAGTAGAAAAGCTTGGTAGACAAGTAGGCTACCTTCTCAAACATTTGAAAGCGGGGGCATTTGCTAATTCACTACCGGACTTATGGGTACATTTGCCTCGTGAGTTTTAGCATACATAGTAGACACCGGTATACGGTATTTTCCTTTGATCTATGGTTTTAGATTGTCATAAAATATATGTATATATATATATTATTTATGCTATGTGAGTAAAAAAATATTTTTGTAGTGAATAATAAAAAGAAAATAGTAAGAGAATTTTTCTTTTTTTATTGTTGTAACCGTTAAACAAACTTATTGTTATTTTATACAAATGTTGTAATATTTTGGAAAAAAAACATAAAGGGGGCTCCAGGGCGTCACTCATAAATTGTTAAAATTAATAATCTGATACAGCTTTATCTTCGACTAGGTAGAAACCATTGTTTAAACTCATGCAGGCAGGATATATACAATATTATATGCATTAAAAATCCATTTGAGTGACTATCGATAGTACTATCGATAGTATCGATAGTTATTAAAAAACTATCGAAAACTATCGATAGTGTGACTATCGATAGTAAGTTTTCACTAGACCCGACTGGTTGAGTGGTTGCTTGCTTTGCTTGACGCTTCGTTTTCTTAGCATAGATCGACTGAAACTTGACTTGAAACGAAACTGAAACTAGACTGAAGTGAAGAAGAAGATTGTGTGTAAATAACAAATAAGCCCTGAGCCCTGTTAGATTGGTTGAAATAGAAGGGGAAATATTAGTTGAGAGATTTTGTATGGTCCAGTCTGAGGGCCATGGCTATGATTAGATTACTTTTTGATTTGTTGTCGTATTCAGCACAAAACAGATCGAAATTCGATTTTTATAGTCAGCTGTTTTCTGATACTTCGAGTTTAGTGAGAGAAAAGTTTACACAATATTTTCAAATATTTAAAATATTCCCGTTCTGCTAGTGCTAATTAATTGAAATTTATACTTTATGTTTCAAAATAATACCATACTATAACTAGAATAATTAATAATTATTGTTAAAATTTAAAAATCTGTTAGTAAGGATTTGTTCCTCTTTTGGGGCCTCAGCTGATTTCCTGGAAAGGTCAGCGACCTTTAACTGGACGAGCGGCCAGTTTAAATGCAGCACAGCGCTATGGTGTTTATAGAGCTTCAAGTGAATGAAAAATTATGTTTGTTGGTTGGACGAAATTATCCAAACAGAGATTTTGTTTCATCCATGCTAATGCTACAACCATTAAAATTTTAATAATAATAAATAAAATAGTCAATTTTATTTTCTTAGTTATTTAAGAGTTATGCCAAAATTAATAGGAACGTCTGCTACATCAATTGATTTGAATAAAGCTTTTGATTCAGTCCCTCATGAAATTGTTATAAAAAAATTATGGGCTCTTTATGGGGTGTCTGAAAAATCATTACATCTGTTAAGCCTAGGGAGCCGGTTTCAGTTTCAGCTGGTGCAGGTAAACAATTCTAGATCTAAACTGCTGAAAATCAAAATTGGCATACCTCAAGGATCAGTCCTTGGGCCTCTACTTTAAACATTGTTTTTTATTGTTAGTGATTTGCCTTGCCCTGTAAAACCACTCTTTACGCTGATGCCACGTGTACATTCCTCAAAAGTGATCAAAATTTAATCAAAGCACTTGAAAAACGGGATGAGGTGTTAATAAAGTTGGCTGATAAGTGGTTTCAAGGACAGACATTTTGATAATTGATACAAAAATAACTTCATTGCACCAAGGCCTTTGCCATGAGGGTAGGACAACCATAATGTTTTATTTTTGTATAACTATTTTTTTTAGTGCTAGTTATTTCATACATCCACCAACTTGTTCAAATGTAAACTTTATTTCAAGCTTTGCAGCAACAAAACCACTGTAATCAACTGGTTTACTTCCAAAAATCCAAGCCGGGCAAGACAAGCTATAGTGGGCTGTGGAAGTCGAAAGACGTGGTGTAGTGTCTTCAGACGAAGAGTTCTTAGTGCCAGAAAGGTACTTTGAAATCTTTTTGACAGGATGTCCGGACAAAATAGAGGACATCTGTTTGTTTTGAGTAGACACATGAAGTCGGCCATGTCTCGTCGAGATAAAACCCAAGTTTTTCATTTCTTGAATATGTTTTGTTTTATTTTTGTCTGAACGTGTAATGTTGTCTTCATACAGCTGCTTCATAATACAAAACCCAATGTCGTATTTTGATCATGTTGTGTATTACATAAGGAAACGACTTCATTTTGCCAGTACATCATACCACCCAGTACCACGCCAGAAAACCATCCTACACTGTCACTGGCGGCAAAATCCACAATAGCCTTCCATCATCAGTTCATCACTGAAGGGAAACACTGCTTCTTGCAATTTCACAGTCCATCCATGTACTAAGCCATAAAAATCTATGTACTAGTTTTAAGTTATATTATTGTATGACACCATTGTAATTTCTTGACGAAACTACACAGTTAAAGAATATTTTGATTTGATTTTGATAACAATCGTTTACCGTTGTTCATCCGACCCGACCATGATACTATTTACAAAGCGTGTGTAAATATTTTGTAAATCTATAGACAATAGTGTTAGTGCTAAGAAGACCCTGAAGATGTCACACAAGCTGGCGAAATGTACATGGAAACACAAACATCTTGCTCACTAACACAAGCAAAAACAAAGGTTATCTAATACAAACCCCCACCCCCAAGTAATTTTATAGATCTGAAACATGAATACGCTCAGTAAACAGTAAATTACTATAACGCTTTGCGGTCGAATGGCGAGTATAGGTCGCCGCCCGCCATTTTCCAGACTGCTCAAACGACAACCTATACTTGCCGAATAATGAAAAAAAATCCACTTCAAAGGGTTAAGAAGTTGTGACATTTCTCCTCATATAGTTTCTAACTGTTATCACATATAACAAGGGCAATTTTTAAAGGGAACATTCCTATTCTCATTTTGCACCTATATCAACATGTTTGATAGAGAAACAGTACAATGAGGAATGGCATCTGGATTTAGAAAAGATTCTTTTTTTTATCAAACTGAAAACGCTAAAGCAGCAAGTTATGCCTATGTTAGGATATGCCGTATTTTGCTATTAGATAATGCATAGCAAAAAGTTTCTTCATAGATTTGCTCCTTCTTGTAAGGACTTGGTCTTTCCTTAGACTGCTCGATAAATTCCATGCTAGAATGAAGGGGTCATAAAATACACTTAACAATTATAATTATACTAGGGGAAAAATGAAACTATTTAATTTTAATTTTGTCGTTTAATAATAAAACGTAAAACTATTTACATTTTAAATAACAAAACAATAAATATAACTTGTTGGATGCAAAATAGTTTTGTAATTATCATACAACTTACAAATCAGTATCTTTGTGTTACATTCACTGGTAAAAACACTTACGTTTACAATTTCTCGAAATAAGGAATGTTCAAAACATACCACATAAACACCCAAAGAGTCCTGCCAACTTGATTAATAACTTTAAATGCAACACCTTTAAAACATGATTTGAAAGGTTTAACGTTTACAAAGTATAATAAGGCATACAGACATCAAAAAGTATTATAATGTTCCTATTTACATTTGATATCTTAGTCAAAAACTGCCATCTTAGTTAATGTCTGAGCTGATTTAAGAAAAGTATATAAAAATACAAAACTTTCAACTTGAATAAATGTTAAAATTTGTTAAGTTTTGTTTTAGCAAATCTCTACTTGTATAGGCCTACTGTATTTTTTACCGTTACACAACGGTTATGTCAGTTTCAACTGTGGTTTTAAAAGGGAGTGTTGCACGACCTCCAAAATAAAATTTTTGAGCTGTCTCATGAGCATGACCCAATATTAACTATTTGACTGTTGCACACAAATCTCACCATGTCCAAAAGTACAGTCACTGCAATAAATATAGTCTTTGTACAAGCTCTGGACGTCATGAGATTGGTTGTCGTGAAACAGCTAAAAAATTTTATTTTGGATATTGTGACACTGACCAATATCATTGGACGCCGTGCAACGCATCCGTTTAAAACTAAAATTAAAAGCCACAATCAAATAAAAGCTGCATTAATCAATTGAATTTACTGTATTATTCTCCAACAATTACCGAAAGATTCACTGCTACTAAGTGTTTCCAACAAGGCTGCAATCAAGAAATGTATTTTTCCTACAGTCACCGGACAAAGTTGGCTTCCTTGTACTGTTTATAGTACAGAAAGCTGCTAATTGCTGCATATTTATACTTTGCCGTACGGTTTATACTTTGGCGCACATCAGGATTCCAACGAAACAACACAAAACAGCGTGGTTCTATTATGCACGTAATCCGTGTACGCTTGGAAATAGGTTGGCAACACTTAAAGATAATAATACTATGAGCAGCTGATTGACTATTATAACTACGATTTAACCTGTCATTTCGTGTTTATAGTTTCGGTATTTCTGAACTTTCTGGACTTTTCTTTTAAAAAAAACGTTTTTAAAACATTCCTAAAATCTTAATAAACAAGAAAATACTTTTAAAGCATTTTTTTTTAGGCGCGGAAACCACTTCAAATTACAAAAACATACGGAACTATATTCTCAAAACGCGGAGCACATTTCTTGCCGAGGAAAAATAGCGGAGTGATACGGACCGCGGGTACTACTTTCTCTAAAGCACCATTTGTGTTGCCAGCTGAACCTAAAAACGTGTTGTACGGTATAGTGTTTGAAAGACTAATTATTTATTGCTTTATAGTGACTGTAGGAAAAATATAATGTGTAACACGAGTGAAAAAGGCCTTTGCTGCACTCGAGATCATTCCTCTCGTGCATAAACATTGCTCTCGTGTGCAGCAAAGTGCCACTTTCACCACTAGTTACACAAATAACTATTTCTTACAAAACTAGTGTTCCAAACCTTTTGTGTTACTAGGTAACACATTATTGACAGTAACAAAACAATATCATTTCATTGTCATTTTGAGTCAGTTATAGACTGAAAACATACATAATAACTGTTAGAATATGATAAAGAGTTGCAAAAAAAAGTAGTTGAGCTCACTATCCATTCTTTCTTGAGATTATTCATTCATATAAGTTACCACATTGCTTTTCAAATAAATACATAATGAGTTTATGATTTCATTTTATTTTACAATTTCACTAACACCAGATAAGCTGCCTAGTTCTTGTTAGTTCTTGATTTAGTATCTTTGTATAACATTTAAATATACAGGTTGTCCCGGAACTCTCTACCAATATTTTAGGGCATTGCTCCTGGGTAAGAAACATACCTAAATATCATATTTAAATTGTCCGGAAGTCCTTAGTTACTCACACAGCCGCCATTTTGTTTTTTTCCCTTATTAATTTTTTTCTAAAGGATGGTTTAACATACGAAATGGAAACTTTGCACAAACATTTATGACAACTAGACAAAACTACAAAAAAATTATGAAGATTTTTCAAATTCATAAAACAAAATAGCGGCCATTTAAAGTTTTGTTTCTTAAATAACTCAAAAACCGTTGATTTTACAAAAAATTTAAATGGCCGCCATTTTGTTTTATGAATTTGAACAATCGTCATTATTTTTTGGTAGCTTTGTCTAGTTGTCATAAATGTTTGTGCAAAAATTTCCATTTCGTATGTTTAACCGTTCTTTAGAAAAAAAATAATGACTGAAAAAAACAAAATGGCGGCTGTGTGAGTAACTAAGGACTTCCGGACAATTTAAATATGATATTTAGGTATGTTTCTTACCCAGGAGCAATGCCCTAAAATATTGGTAGAGAGTTCCGGGACACCCTGTATAGATTGGCTAATTTTTACAGATAGTTTAATTTATGCATAAGGGTTTTTTAAATTAGTTCAAATTTGTGAAAAACATAGACGGGAAAGTAAACATCAATACACTGTGTTAGCATTCAATAAGCCATGAACTTTCTCAAACCAATGAATAATAAATCAGTTTGGGACTGGCCATGCCAATAAGTATGGATAACATTCTCACACCTGTGTTTTTACAAGGTCTTAGTTAAATGAAAACTTCTAATGGCTCCTGCCACAATTAAAAACTTGTTTAACAACATTTTCATTAGATCTCCAGACACTGAGCTGAGTATTCTGCATGGATCAGTTGGTATAAATAAATTTTACAAAATGCATTGTCTATAAAAAATATTTCTTATACAAAAAGTACCTAGAAACCTAAAACGCGATTTAGAACCGGTGAATATAACGCGTGCGAGAGCAAGGCACTGTCGAGGCAGATGGAAGCCTCAATCCTCGACATCCTCATCTGTCGTGAACTCGGACACATCGCTCGCCTCGCCCATCCCTCCTCGATGGCTATCCTCCTCCTCCTCGCTGAGGTCCCATTGAGGATGTTCCGTCGGAACTTCAGGCGCTTCCTTAACGTCCAGCTGGGGAAAAATATTTGTAAATTAGAGTAATGAGAAAGTATCCCTGTATACCAATAATTTTTCCAATTTAAATTTCAACAAACTTTATTCATTGAGACCTGTTTACAACAAATTGTTGAAAGTCAATTTTGAAAATAAGTTCTTGATAAACTCTACCACCTTTCAACCTATACAATAGGTTGAATTCTCGGTTCCCCGGTAAGAGGCGCGTCAAGTCGGTTTTAACAATATTTACAAAACCAAACGTTTCACCAATTCCATTATGTGGCATCCTAAGTGGCAAAGCATCAGTGATGACACCGGCCGCTTAAGCCTACACTAGGTTGATGATTTTAATAGTCATCACAGCAGGTAAGGCTATGCAACAGACAGTAACACGATTCTAGCCATTTGCTACAAATCAAACACTATCTCTCTCTTTTACACTTGTAAGAACGCTGGCATATTTTGTTCAACCTGCTGATACATAAGCTACTTTCATTTTTATAAACAGTGATTAGTTTTAATCTCAAAGACTCCCTTAGACCTACTCTCACCCCTTTCACACAGAGTTGGGCTTATTCCCCTACCAACTTTATCTCACCTTAATATCGTGTATTTGATCGAAGCCTATGTAGGAGTCTGAGCGCAGGCATACAGTGAAAGTGTAGACGCCGGGCCACTTTGGTGCCGTAAACTTGAGCTGTACCTCCTCGTACTCTACCAGGTTAGTAATGTGGAACGGTGACGTTAGCAGCGAGCGAGACTTACGATCACTCACGTAAACCCACCAATACTCTTGCTTGTCCTGTGATAACAAAACAAAGCAAAGCACAAATTTTAAAATGTAATTTTGAAGAATCCCTACTAAGCCCACTAATCTAAACGTTTCCCTACTCCATACTAGGTGTATAGTAATGTTGTGGTTACCACTATTTTTTATCAATAGCATACAAGACACTGGGTATAACAGATTTTTGGAATTTTTGTACTGATAACGTCATATTTTTATCACCTTAACTTGCTATTTTCTTACAATTCTTCCTAATGAGTTTTAATTAGGAGATTTATGTTAAACATAATTATCTTGGATAGGAGAAAATGGCAGTCTAGTTGACATCCAGACCAGGGAAAATAAACAGTATCAGCAATCTGACACATACTTTCTCCCATTAGATTCTCAACAACCTTTATCATGGTAAGCACGCGGTGGGAGTATGACATTTTTAATGGGGAACATCGCAAAAAGTTAAATTTACTTTAGAACCGCAATTTTTACAGCAATGGGGGGTTCAACTATTTTGTTTAGAGTTATAAGGGCCATGACATACTAATTTAATCAAAACAGGTTTTTTTTAAAAATCCAATTTTCATTATTTTATGGGTTTTTAAGGGAAAATAACATTAGTTACCATAACTTTTGAACCGTGTTTTTTTCAGAATCTAAAGTGCTATAACATACTAAGTTTTGATCAAAATCGTTAAGGTCATTTAAAAACATTGTACATACCTCTGGGAAATACGGACTGTGAACAGAGTGTGACATTTTACTCCTTCCCTCCAAAACTCTGTCTCTCTTCCCCATTCCAGTTTGGAATTTGTCCCAGTCGTCATCATCCTCGTCAACTGCTGAAGTCTGAAATCGCAAGCCACACTTATAGTTAACTGGTCTGCATTTGTCATTGTATGATATTCAACACTCATTCAAAATTCATGGGCAATTTAAGAAATCCACTCATGAATCATGATCAAGGAAGTGTTTCATGGACAGTGTCATCCCTCAAGTTTCATGGTCATATGACTATAGAATTGGATACTTTCAATATTTAATTTAAAACATCTTAAATCCTACAGGCACGTATACGCGTCCAAGCATACATTAGCCCTTCCGCTAACCCACAGACTTATATACGTGGTCGCATGCAGTTTGAATTTGCCATACTAACTATGATTGCAGAAAGAAGAATATGCAGTGTTTGGTACAGTTCTATTTGGGGGAAAACGCTTATTCTCGTGGTATACACTATACAGTAAACACCTGTTAACTGAATTCGGGTTAACTGAAATGGTTCCATAAAATCAAATCTTTGCTAGCTCTTACCGCTTTCGAGCTATAGACGTTTAGAATTTCTAAAATATAGAGGGATTTAAGGGCATTTTTGGGGGGGGGGGGTGTAATTTGAAAATGTAACTTTTATTTAATTTTCTGGTTGGTTTGGGACCGAGACGGACCTACACAAAAAATTGTTTTGATTTGATTTGAGAGTTACACAAGCGGCTGTATAACCCATTAAATTTTGTGCACAGGTGGTCTGATTCCCTCTGTTCACTGTGTAAAGGATTTGTTTCTACGGTTTTATAGACATGCCAAACGTTCTCTGACAACTTACTGCAGCAATGTCTGACAACAGATATGACATGGTAAATGGTTCACTGATTATTTAACTATAAACTGACCTTTTTGCTGTCTGTCTGACTTTCCTCGTCATCACTCTTCTCTGCTTCTGCTTCATCGTCTGACAAATCACTTTCGTCAGCATCACTTTTATCCCCGCCTGCATTCTCTATTGACTTCTCCTTCTTCTTTTCTGACTTTTCCTTCTCCGATTTCTCTTCAGCCTCGTCTGACTTTTGCGTTGAGTTTTGGTTAACTTTGTCTTTACTGTCTTTGGTTTGTTTTACAGCATCTTTTGTGGGTTGTTTTTTGACTGGAGCTTGCTTTTTATTGCTCTTCTTGCCTTTCTTTTGCTGTTTCTGCCAGACTGGCCTTTTTTCTTTTACCTGTAAAATGATTTTTAGTTAAAAATTATCCAGAGGTTCTAGCACTAAAGAATGTGACCTACGATATCAATGTTGTGGGTTCAAATCCAGGTAGCCGCTAAAATGTTAGTAATGTCTATACTCTGGTGCTTCAAAGAATTATTCCTGAATTTGCTTGACACACCCCACTCACTGACCTTGAGGCTTACAACAAGAAAATAACATGAAAGAGGCCCTAATCTCATAAAAGAAACTTATATCATTCAAATGCCTCATATTCAATCAATCAATTTTATTCAATTCAATCCCGACCCCCCATCATCATTCAATCACCCAATCAATCTTTCAATTTTACCCTCATATTTTCAAAAAAATGCATGACGACAAAGCACAAAAGTTCCCAGAATAGGTCTTGATCACCTCAATTGAAAAAAAGCACTGTTCAAGTTCTTGACTTGAAGCCTATCAAGAAAGTTGAAAAAAGAACCCAAAAATGATTGTTTGCTTTTGATAAAAATGTAATCCAGTCTTTAGATTATTTGATCAATTTATTACAAAACAAGTATGGAGAGGCACACTGAGATCAAGATTAAGATGGAATGACTAAATTGTTGAAGATATGAGGAAAATCAGAGGATAATTTGACAATGTTGAAGGACAAATGGGTCCTTGTTGGCAACATAAAAAGTCAACTTAGACTTGAAGAAAAAAGGGCTCACAAAAATCGCTCTACGCACTTGACAAAAACTATTTATTACATTATTACCTGTTCATCCTTCTTCTCTTCTCCCTCCCCCTCATTGGCCTCTTGTTTCTCCTCTGCGCAGTGTTTTTCGACGGCAGACTCGTCACCAAACAAAACGCTCATATCCTGACGACGCAGCGTACAAGTCACCGTGACTATGGCACCCGCCGTAATCACCGTACATGCCTCGTCATCCACAACTAAACAGAGATCAAAATAAAGCTATAGTGGGTGCCAATGGTAATAATCTGGGTTATATGACAAAAATAATGTGAAAAAATGTAAAATCACACATTGAGTGTTTATTTTAATTTCTTGCTTTAGTACTAAACAACTGTTCGTACTATTCCAGTAACAGATGCCAAACTGCCCATTTTCAATACTGGAACATACCAGGGTCCCACCAATCCTTACATACAACTGATACAAAAACCTGTTAGGGAAAAAGCTTGAACCAAAAACAAGCTGTGTCTTCTCTCAAACAGCAATTTTGTGTGAATTTTGTAAGAAAATTTTGAAAACCCAATAGCCTATGTTTGAGCGACCATTGAGAAGATTGCAATTGCAGATGATTAGGATTTGTAGTAATCCAAGATCAATATATGGCTATTTACAGTCATAAAAATAAATTGTTTTATTTTGAATCCCATTTCAAATTTTCGATGCATCTGGCCAATCCGAACAATGTGGTGATCCAATCTTAGTCTGGTTTGAATTAGATTGAATTAGAGGGTCTCTGGTGTAGTTGCTTCCAATATTTTTATTTTTGAAATCAATAGGCTAACTTCAATCTAGTGACACGATTAAATAGACAATAACTTTTAACTTTTGTTAAATGTAGAAGTTAAATCCCACCCAAGCACAATATTAAGTTAAAGAGTAACTTAATTACACAAACCTTCAGTCTTCACTTGGAAGTCTATCAGTGGCATCCTGGACACAACTTTGATAACATCTACGAACTGTTGGTCTGTGAAGTGTCGCAAGATGTTGCGCTTGTCATCTGTGCTGAGTTGAGCAAACTGCTGTACACTCTTGATGTACCTACAATCATAGTTTACGATTAAAAGAAATTACAAATTAATTATTGTCTGTTTCAACTACTATTTGGATTAAAAAAAAATGTTAATCGTAACATGAATTTCTAAGAAATGCAAATTTAATACTAGAAGACCTTTTGCGTTAAATTATTAGATGCACCAGAAAAAATTCCTAACATGTTTAGAGCATGTTCCAAACTTTGCTTTCAAAACTAGTATGAAATAGATGTATGAGCCCCGTGCATAAGTATCGTAAATGTAATGGATGGGTTTGAAAGCAGACTTACCTTAATGACGAAAACAGAATAAAATGCACAAATAAACACACCATTTTTGGAGCAACTAGCTCCTGCTTTAGTAGTAGAGTATTTGTTCTTGTAGGGTGTCCTCGGTTTTGGAAAAAGGAGGAAAAAACTGCATTTTAGTTTTACCTCTTCCCACAAGCCGAACATCTTACAAATTAACCCTTTCAGTGCTATGTGACGATATATCGTTGTGCGTCTTTTGCCCAAAAAGTGCTGTGAAACAATATATTGTTTTTTGCGTTTCATTCGAAAAGTGCTAAGCGACAATATATCGTGCTGGTGCGATTTTCGATCGTGTGAGTTTAAATGGGCATATTGGTTGACTTGGTTGTTGTTTTGAAAAAGCAATGGTTTCTTTCGATTCCTCATATGATTGAGGCTCGATATATCGTTTCTTAGCACTTTGGAGATGAAACATTTTATTTTTACTGAATTTTTTCTCACACACTAGACTTTGCCCCTGTGTGAAGCCTAGCACTTTTCTGACAAAATAAGTATATATCTTTAGCACTTTATGGAAAATTACAAACAAAATCCTAGCATCGAAAGGGTTAACAAAGACCCTACAACTGAAAGAAGCTAGTAGCTCCAAAAATGATTTGTTTGTGCATTTTCTTCTATTTTTGTCAGTCAGTAAGGTTAGCCTGCTTATTAAACATACGCTAACCTTTAAAAAATCCTTTAAATCCCTGCACTAAAGCCTAATTGGTCAATAACCTCAAAACCTGAGTCTTTTATTTTAAATTAGAGTAATGAATGATAACCCGTAAATATCTTCTCTAGATTAGTAATGTGCTGGAAGCTGTGATGTTAATAACTTATGTTTAGCCAATGAATGATGTAAGAATTAATAAAATGATAATACAAGTGGTAAGAAATTATAATTAATAATGCTTGATTGATAATATAAGTGGTGATGTTTGTTTCCTTACTCCAGTAAAAATAAAAATTCCCTAAAGTAACAAGCATTACCTTAGCAAAGTACTATAATGATAATGTTTGTGTTTGTACAGGGTGTCGATAAAGTCTTAACACACTCAAAAATAAACTAAACGGCGTAAGATAAAATTTTGCAACTTCAACAGAACCATTACATCATATAATGACTTTTCTAGCTGTATGCAAGAAATCAAAATGTTGCCCCTCCCCCTTAAGGGTAGGTAGGGAGCAACTAAATATTTTAAAAAATAAGGACCCATTTTGTGACCCCTCATTTTAAAGGTCTTAATTAGTAGAATACAATGCCGCAAATTTGAACTCAAACGAATAACTGAGTCGAAGATGGCAGACGTTCAAAGATATCTTGAGTCTGCCATTCTGAATCTTTGGCTGCCATTTTTTACTCAGTTGTTCTTTTGAGCTCAACAATCCCAGGTCTGTGTCCAACAGAGTAGAGGGTGTTTTTTAGTGAGTAGTCTGATCTTCTCTATGAGTCTCACACTACAGGTGTGCCTGTGTGCGTAAATGCATTTTCCCTCCTCTCCCTTAAAAAAAGTTGTGCGGTACTTCCTCAGGGGGTTAGCCCTTATCTACCCTTAGGAGGGGGCAAAATTTGTATTTCTTGCAAAAAGCTAGAAAAGTCATCATATAATGATATGTTCAAGTTGAAAAATTTGATCTTACACCGCTTAATTTATTTTTGGGTGAGTTAACACTTTTTCAACACCCTGTATAATTTTGATATAAATACATTGAAATTTAATTAATTATTTAAAATTTAATAATTTAAAATTATTTTATTATGAAATGAATATAAATTAATATAAATGAACAAAACACATAATTTTAATACAAATCCAGTTTGTAAATCCTTGACATAAGTAAAAAAAATTATGTTAGAAGTGATTTTCCCATTGTAAATTAGTTTGATTGCCCACGTAAAAGAAAATTTCATACTTAGATTGTCTTGTCTTCTCTGACCCTGGCCTGTAACAATGTTAAAATCTATTTATTTTGAATACTGAACTTTTTTTTGTCTGAGTAATAAACCAAAATACTACAAATCTTATTCAATTGGTTCAAAGTCTTTGAATTTGTCTGACTGCAATTAACTGTTTTCTTACTCAACTAATTTTTTGAAATTTTTATTTTTAAACAACTCTCCTTCAGCTACAAAATATTTTCTACACAAGCTACCTGATATTTTTTAAATTTTAACTATGGTAAATGTTTGTAACGTAAAAAATATTAAATTTGTACACAGAAAAGAAAATAATTACCATATTAAATTGCACCTAGTATAGATAAAAAACCCAAACATGATAAAACTTTAATAAAATCATATTTATAGAGAAATAGTTAACTGAGCTCTTTTCTAATCGTTGTTTTTAATCTGCATTTTTCTAATCAGTCACTTGGCTTTCTTTAAACTATATTTGACGACTTTACCGTTTCTTGCTGAGGAAGTATTTGAGATTATCTTCGTTGACGTGAGGCAGCTGCAGTAGCGGACTCTTGTACTCCCACAGCGCCTGCACGATCATCGGGCAGAGCTTCATCACACTCTCGATAGTTTCTACTCTGATGACTCGGTGGACTGTAACAAGATGTGTTGGTAACAATTGTTGCTCTAATTGATCATGTAAATATTAGTTCTGGTTATACTTTCTTTGAAATATATCATAGGCCTAACAAAGAACATTCAACAACAGCATTACTGTATACAGCAGAATACTCTGCAAAATTTGTAGGGTAAATTTTGTTTTTACTACCAGATGAGTGAATGAAAATGGGCTTCATGTAAAGAAATAATGAAAACACAAGAGGGAATATTGGGAATAACATTCTCACACACAAGTTGCAAGTTGCACAATATGTTACTTTTTTCTAAATGGTTTCTTAAAGGGATAAACTTTAATCAGGAACACAATCGTTAGCCAATTTCAAATCTAACTAAACCACTTGTTGAAAAGTATCCGCTAGATTAGAAAAGTATCTATAGTTGATTATCCGCCAACTGTACCCATACCACATTAACACCCCTCTACAACACACACCCGGGATCCCAAATCCCTTAAATAAGGACAAAATTGAACTTGAATGTAAAATAGCTACCTATCCGGTTTATTCCAACCTCATCGAATTCAACCAAGACAAAATTGGAAGTAATACCACAAAAATGCTTTGAACTAAATTGACTTCCGTACCTCTTCTAGCGTAGCCGAGCATGATCAGCTGGGAGACGCAGTTGACCATCTCCTGTATGAGATAGGGACACTTGCGCACGATGTACATGCGGTCGCGGTCGAGTGTTAGCGGGTTAAGCACCATGCGCGACAGATGAGCATACAGGAGCGCTCGAGCCTTGATAGAGTACAGGTAGCATAGTGGACGCTCCTTGTTCTTCTCTCCCAAGTTACCAATCTGTCGAATCAACTGCCAACAAAATCTTTTATGAATAATTTTATAGAATATTGTCTAAGGGCCAAATCAAGAAGCTCGGTGATGTAGCAAAATCTACTTTTCATTAACTTTACAAATTGTGGACTTATTACAAGTATTTTGATTCAATGTTGTATTGAAATTTAGAATTTACTCTACACCAAAGTTAGAATCCTGGAAGTAGAATCATGATGTATTTTAATTTTACTGTGTGAAAAAATGATATACTCACTTCTCTTTTGTAGGGTAGGTAGCATTTTTATAAATTTAAGCATCTGTGCAGCATAACTAAATATGAAATATGTTCATACCAATTAAGTATCAAAATTATTCCTCCAACATTTAATGAAGATACTTTTGAAAGGTAAACCAAATAAATTCAGCCATTAAACATAAAACTTACATGAGGAACTTCTTCGTTGTCAGATTGTCTCTCAACTATTTCACTGTTATATTTCTTCTCAAACTCAAGTGAAGCCGCAAGTATCATGATCACTCGTTTTAGCGGCATCGAAGGTGTCTTGTGGAAGAAGAAGTAATACATTTGTGTAGTATCCAGGAGTACCTGAAAATTTTCAGAATTATTACTATGACACAATAAAGTGTAGAAATAGTGTAAATTATAATATTCTTTATTTTTCTTTCCTTTACATATCTGAGGTAATCATGAATTTGAACTTGTAAAGTAATCAACTGGATCAATTTAGAAGATTTTATGAATTGTAAAGAATAGAAGAATAATATCCATTATCCAAGTAACTTAGGCTAGAAACTACAGATAGAGCTTACTAGCTGATTTCATTCTGTCACCCCAAAAACACTGCATTAAAAATTACAACGGCCTATCAAAACCATGTCTTCACTCTAATATGGAGAAAGACAGAAAAGGCTTTCCAAAATCATGGTATCAATCCTTGAAAATGAACGGTATCAGCAATCTGACACACCCTTTCTCCCATTAGCTTGTCAACAACCTTTATGATGAGCAAGCGGTGGGAGTACCTATATTTTGTAGGGGGAATCACAAAACTTGCAAAAACTTTTGAACCCAATTTTTACAGCATTGAAGGTTGTACCATTTTGTCTAGACGCAAAATGACTATAACTTACTAAACTTGAATCAAAATCGTTTGTGCTATTTGTGTACAAATCAGATTTTCCACTTTTTCATAGGAAAATCACCATAAAAATTAAATTTCCAAACTGCATTTAAATCAAATGTACAAACCTGGTCACCGGTATATTTTATGGAACGGTACCACCACATCCCAACTACCGTAGGTAGAGCCACCATGAACACAAGGGCGTACAGTCCGAGTACCTGAGAAAAGAGCATGAGAACCATTGATTAACATTCGACAGAATCACAACATTCTCTTGGGCTCTCATCCCAAAGTAAAGCATTAGGTAAACTAGTAAAACTATGCCAAGCTTAAGTAACTTATACAACTTCTTTTCTCAAATTCAGCATTCTTTTTCCCCGGAATTGTTTTTCACATTACTTCAGGCTAGACCTAGGGGTTGTGGCATTATCACTTGATAAAATCCATTGGTGACTTGGCAGGATTTGAACCCGGGACCTCAGGGACTGAAATCCCGCGCTCTAACCACTAGACCAGCTTGCTCCCCAATTCAGCATTATGGACATAAGGTAACTTAATCTAGCATGGCAGAGATACTTGGAGACAACTAACACAAATTTTTAAACAACACTCAATATTTTGTCTACACAAAATCATATTCACCGTAGCAACAAACAAGCTCACTTACCCAAAATGAATTCTCCTTCTCGACGATCCAGGATGGAAGCGCAATTCCAAAGCTCATTGCTCCAGGACCATCCGGATTCCCGTACTTCTCCCAGTTGTGACGGGACTCCTCAACCGTTAGTGCCTGATAGGCTGAAGTCATATTTGGATTTATTTATTAGTTAGAGTAGTAGCATGTACAGAAAAAAAAGTCATCTTCAAATAGATTGTACAGCAAAAACTATTGCTTGATTTGTAATCACCCATGGTGAAATTTGGCAGATACATCATACCATGAGTTGAGACTAGCCTACTATAGATCTTTAAATGTTTACAAAAAACAACAGCATACCCAAATATGCAAAGATTTGGAAACCCTGATACATTTGAATTAAAGCATGTTTTACTGACATATTTAACAGCTAATTTCTTTTTCATCCTAAAGATCAGAAGTTACGTACCTTTAGTAAGTTTCATGAAAGCTTTTTCGTTTCCAGTTTCCTTGTCTGGGTGAAGAATCAGTGAAAGTTTTCTGTACGCCTTCTTGATTGAGGCTTCAGAGGCTCCCTGTAATAAAAACATGAAACACAATTAGTTAGAATGAATTATAAAACAGCAATATGCTGATTCTGCTATTTCTTTTTACTGAATTAGTTGTTAAATTGTGTTTAGTTTTATATACGGTAATTTTAAATAGGATACAATACAACAATATAGCCTAATACAGGTTATTTAAAAAAATTCAGATTTCTATTATGACTATGGTTTGGTAGCAATGAATAGGTGCACTTACACCTAGGTGAACATTTTTAGCTGAATGTGAAACTTCACCGACTTATGCTTGCCACTAGACCGCTAAGGATTCTAACTCTATCTTAGTTCTAAAAGTGGGTAAAACTTTAACAGATAATTGATTTAGGTCTGATGGAATGAAAACAATGATTCCAGTTTCTGAAACTACAATATTCTATCAAAACTTACCAAGGGTACACCAAGAATTTCATAAGGGTCAAAGTTGGCATACTCGTAGTCAAACTGTGACACTTTGTAGGCCAAGAGAAAGAGCAAAATCCATCCTCCCACAATTACGGCTTTCCTAAAAAAAGTTTGGGAAAATTGTATTTTTCTTACAAGTTCATCAGTAAGTTTCTGAACATTACTAGTGATAGATTACACACATAATAGATGTTTAACTAATTGAAGACCTCAACAAAGAAACTTGCATATTTGTGCGATTCACAAATCAGTTATGATTAGTAATAACGGTTACTCAAAAAATATAATGTTTGAACATAGGCCAAGTAGCCTAGGTAGCTTAAGACTCCAAACATTAGGCCAAGTAGGTAGCTCAAGACTCCAAACATTACCTGACTTAAAAACTAGGCACAGGCAGTTAAATATTTTTTTTTTTTTTTTTAGAACCTCAATAGTAATAGTCTTAGGGAGTCTTGGAATTATCAACTGGATCAATTTATGGAGATTATCTTATACCATTTGTGCCTATAATAATAATGTCCATATACTCCCAATACAGTAGACTCCCTCCCTCTTATCCGGACGCCTTTTAACCGGTTTAACCGGACTACACTCGGCGGAAATGACATCTCTTTAACCGGATAATTTTTATCAGCACATCGGTTTTACCGGACTAGATCGGCAGGAAGTGGGCAGTACTGAAACGACTGTTCACGTGGGAAAGATTTGAGACCAGTGATCACATTTCTAAATACAATGCTCTCTTAAATTTAAATCATATACTGTACATACAGTATGCATTTAAACGGCACGTTTTAACGAGTTTTTGGGGACGTTGGTTTAACCGGAAAACCCGTTATTCGGACTGGCATCGGTTCCGAGGAGTCCGGATAAGAGGAAGTCTACTGTACAAGCACACAGTATGCCAGAGTGCTTGAGACGGTTGTTTATATGCCATCGCTAAACTAATTTCCACGCTAAAACATTTGAAACCTGGCTTTGAAATTAAAACTTTTGTCAACTATCAACTAACTCAATCAAACCATCTAGAATGCTTCACTCCCTAAGTTTAATAGAATGTTAAATTTGCTTATTTTTAAATTCCCCAACTAAAATAGGTAATTTCAATAAGCGGCAAGTAACATAGTTTAAAAAGTGGCTCTATTAGAGAAACAATTCGGGTAAACAATTGGCAGTTTAATAAGTTTGATCTTTTGTTTGACAAGTTTGGGTGTAAAAACAAAATACAATGTCACCATACAATCGTAGGAGACATCCTATTGCTATAACCTTGGGAAATACAAATTACGTTACATTGGTCAGACTGGATTCCTCGATGAACAATTGCATTGAAAGGTTTTGGAGAATCGAGAATCAGAATTGGCATGGATCCATTTTTTTTTAGGATAAACTGAGCAATTCTTGGTTCATTTACAGTTTCAAAATTTTCAACATTGAAAGGCTTTGATTGATTATCTTGGTCAATATCTGCTAAAAATAATTAGTGAAATAGCAACGCAATTACTATAGTAGGCTATATAATCACTTACGTAAGAAACTGCTTGGTTCCTTTCCAGGGCTCACTGCTTTGCAAAACAACTTTTTTCTTTTTACATCCTTCACATTGGCACTCCTTAGTTGATCTGTCTGGATCTGAATTTCGGGAAAAACAGAAATGATTAAAAACAAATCTAAATAACTTAACTTCTTTGTAATAAAGCATGGTAAGAGAAGTTACAATTGTTTCACAGGTTTAAAAAAGATTAAGTAGGCCTACGGTAAGTTTAGGCTTATTATATTTTTTATTATTTTAAGCAAATTTGGAATCATTTAAATGAATACGTCCGCAAAATCATTACCTAGTGATGAATGTAGGGGCCTATAAATGAGTGGAATGACGTACTAAAACCATATTAGGTACTGATACCTTACCGTACCTAAATTGCTATTAAATTTACTGTAAGTACCGGTACCTACTTTAAATAAACTTAGCCTACTTTTAATTGAAATGTTTACTATATAAAGGTAGGTATTTTATGCCAAGTATGAATGGAGATGTGTGTAGGATGAGTGACGGGATCTTGTATTCGGCTGCACTTTACTTGACGTCCTACACTCATTCGATTGGTTTTTTCGATTTGATATTTTCATTCGATTCTTTCATTCGATATATCGTTTGGTTAGTTAGGTTAACCTTACCTAACTAACCAAACGATATATCGAATGAAGCAATCGATTAATCGATATATCGATCGATATTTTCATTCGAATGAGTGTAGGACGTCAAGTAAGTTAAAGTGCAGCCTTGTATTCTTGTTACTGACTAAGGCCGACATATATTCCTTAGTTAGGACTGTTAATTAATAGTTCATACAGCTAATGACAACTAAGGGACCTACAGTCTTTTAAGTTAGTGGAATCCAAACCACATTTTTGCCTTGTAATTTACAAATTGGTCTAACCATCAGGATAGTACTGTAGGTGCTGCGGAAGTTATCAAATCAAATGATCTCTAACTTAGGCTAAATTGAATAAGTTAAGTGTCAAACAATGAACACGAATAATTACATGAGTAAGTAGACTACAATCAACGTGATTGGCAGGTCATTATTGATCAAACTACTCCAGGGGCCCATTTCATAATAAACTACAAGTTACAAGTTACAACTTGTAACTTGTAATTTCCATTAGATTTGCATTGGGCGATCAGCTGATTTACTAATAATATTAGTTTGTACTTTATTATGAAATGGGCCCCAGGTTGCTGTTTTCTGAATTTTAAGATCTAGGCCTATTATCTGTTCTTAAGTTTAAAGTCATCAAATGACTAAAGTGCCCTTTTCATACACCACAACCGAGGCATTCCTTCAAACAATGACATGATATCCTTTACCCTCATTTTTCAAGCTAATTCAAAAGTAGGAAAAGTCTTTAATTATTTGATCTAACAAAAGTTAAAAGACCCAGACCTAGGCCTAACTTACATTACAGAATTTGGAGCAGAATTCCAGTAAATAATTATAATCGTGGTTAGCCTGATGTTAAACATTATTTTATGGCCCTAACTTAACAGTAATATTATGAAACAAGAATAAATCATTATTATAAAACTGAAATGCATAAATATGCACATTGAGTCTACCTATAATGGAAGAATGAACCTACCTTGCTTCTGTTTACGTGGCCACCAATAATAAGTACCAGGAATTAAAAGTAAGGCTAGAAAAGATATTAAAAAATAAAAGAACGTCCCTCCACTTTCATCATATTGAAACTTTTGTCCACCCATAGTTAATTAAGAAACAAATTTAGAAATTATAATTTTCTTTTGACACAGCAGAAAGAGCACATCACATCAGTATGACGTTGAGAAGAACCGCTATTCGGGAATTCGGCTGGCTGGCTCCTGGCTGTTGGCTGCGGCTGGGCTACGTAATTAAACAAGCCTCCATAGAGTATACATTGAGCTTGTGTATAGAATGGTTGTTCACAGCAAGTAGTATTATGTTTTATCTATGGTATTATGTATTATGACATTCCATCCCACAAAAGCAGACTAGCTACTTCATTAAAATGAGAAACATGATCAGTAATTTTTTAACGGAAACCAAACAGATTTTACAGATTGCTACAGCCCATGTGTGGAGTAAGATTCCTAACATTTACTGGCATATTTTTGTCTCCCCAAAGGCTCCTCGTTGGAAGAAATATATGTGAAATAATGATTTGAAAAAATTAGGTACTTGTACATGCCCTGTTTAGGTGAATAGTGAGCTGCCCTGGACTGAAAACAGTTTTGGAGCCCCGCTCTTCCCTTATGCGGTCTGGATGCTCTCCTTAGGACAATGTTTGAAATTAATTATTAATTAATAGTTAAAAAGAAGGGTTACTGGAATTTGATCCCCTCGGAATTTTACCCCCTTAGCGGAGCTGACGTCACTGGATGTAGTAGTTACTGAGCGCTCTCCAAGTAAAAAAATAATCTGGAAAATCTGGCACTCCTAAAAAATTTGGATCTCTATATGCGCCCTGCCATCCATCCCTATACTACAAAGTGGGGTCGGGGTTTGAGGTGCGAGTTACAACACCAAGAGAGTCTGCCTCATCTCATCACATAACGGAGAATAAATAAAAATACGTCTAATAACGCTTGAAACATGTATTTACACTTATATAATGGTTTTAAAGAAGACGGTAAATATACTAAATAAATCTATATACTATGTCATTTCATTTCATTATAACTAGAGTACCTGTTGCTCGAATTCGAGCAATTGCGAAGCATTACAGGCGACTCACGAAGATTATGGAAATACTCACGATCTACACAACAGTTAGATATATAATCAATATCTTTTGTAAATATCTTATCTTTTCTCAAAAAGCTGATTTTGTTTTTTAGTGTTTCTACAAATTTTTCCCTCTCATAGCCGCATTAGGTTGTCTATAATAACGATTATAAATGAAAAGAAAAAAATATTTCTTTTCTTCTACTTGGTTGTGTTCTATGACTTTTTCTATGTTTCCATTGTTTGCAAATCGGTTATTTCAATGATTGCTCAAGAAATGTAGCATATTGTTAATTCAGTTTTATTTTTAGCCTATATCAAATTGTCCAGGATTTCTCGCTTTTACTTTCTCCCCCTATACCATAGTATATGGAGAAAGTATTGTTTTCGTCAAAATATTCGAGTTTGAATTTTTAGTGGATATATTCGTTTTGGGTCCCCCTGGACCCAAAAAAGTGGTTTTCTAAGTGATGTCTGTGTGCGTCTGTGCGTGTGTGTGTGTGTGTGTCTGGATGTGTACAAAGCTAGAGACTACACCTGTGGTCCGATTTCGATGAAATTTGGTATGTAGGTTCCAATCCATGGCATCTCCAGGCGTTTTTTTTCATTTTTTTGAAATTTTGATTTTTAATGGGGATTTTCCCATAAAAACCCATTAAAAACCGGAAATATCGAATTTTCTCAAAAATGGCCGAACGATTTTGATACAAATTTAGTATGTTGTAGCCCTTTAAATTCTGAACAAAATGGTACAAATCCCATTTCTCTAAAAATTACAGTTCAAAAGTTATGGTAAGTTATGTTATTTTCCCATAAAAACCCCATAAAATAACGAAAAATAGGATTTAAAAAAAAAATCGTTTTTATTTAACATTGTGTATGGTCCTTACAATTTTGATAGTTTTTAAATTTTTTAGAAATTTTGATTTTTAATGGGGATTTTCCCATAAAACCCCATAAAATAACGGAAAAATAGGATTTTCCCAAAAACGGCCGAAACAATTTTGATAAAAATATAGTATGTTATTGTCCTTTAAATTCTGATCAAAATTGTACTAATCCCATTTCCGTATATTTACTCTCACCGCTTACACATGATAAAGGTTGTTGACAAACTTATGGGAGAAAGTATGTGTCAGAATGCTGATACCGTTTATTTTCCATTGTAATAATTTCACCAACCCAAGTTTCGTCTACAGATGCAATACGCCAAAGAATATCACCTACGTACAATCTCCAAGAAGTGGTAAAAAAAGGCAGAAACCAAGCCATACAATAGATATAAGTTAACTCCTTAAGAAATAATTTTAAGAGTTACTGTGATATTAGGATTTTCCACTGATTTGGTAATAGAACATTATATTGCAAAACATGACACGATGCAGAATAAAATCGATTTTAAAATCAGAAAAACCCATTGCAAATACTGTACTTCATTTTGAAAAATTCAATAAATCACAATTTAAACATTAACAGCTGTTTCATTAAAAAGTAGTGTAGAATTATTATGCATATGGTAAACAAATTTGAAGAGGCATCTTTAAAGGCTTCTGGGGCAGAGCCCCAAGGGAATTTACCTCGTTCCTCTTTTGATGGCTCATCCATAGACCAAGACCTTTCTTTAGAGACCCCTACCATCTACGCCCAGCCGGTCTCTCAAATTAGCTGGGACAAAAACCCAGTTTTTCCTCCATAAGAATAACATGGGATGGGAATTCAAAGGCCACTGGGGCAGAGCCCCAAGGGAATTTACCACGTTTCTCTTTTGATGGCTCATCTACAGACCAAGACCTTTCTTTAGACACCTCTACCGAGTTTCTACGCCCAGCCGTTCTCTCAATTTAGCTATGACAAAGAAAAACAGTTTCAAATTAATATATAGATTTTTGATTGAGTAATTCAGTATTTTGAACTTAACTGATTAATTTTTATATGTTGGTTCTTCACCTTTTGCGTGTTGGCTTGAAACCCGTCCGATTTGAATAGCTAATGAATAGCTTAAATGAAAGCCGATTTTTCACTGAAGGTGCTTGACCAAAATATAGGATTATATAATTATAACTGGTGAAGGTGGAATACGCAGGGTGGGCCACCGTTTGGGTGAGGCAGGGGGGTCAAATGTTCATGTAATCTGCTTAAGTCAAAAATTGTAGTATGGTTTACTAAGAAATTTTTTACTAAAATTGTTTAATTCTAGTCTTGATTGTGAATAAAGTTGCAACTGTAAGCACGAGAATTAATCAAACGATCAAACATTTTAGATATGTATTGTTATTTCTGTAACAAAATTGCTGGACAAACAAACTTAGAAAAGAAAAACAAAAAATTTTATATATAAGATTTTATCACATTATTACTACCATACTGTGGTGGCCTGTGGCCATCAAGAGAGTTAGACACACTGTCCGATATCTTTCAATGGTTTCACTTGGTCCAGTATGGTGCCATATCCACAGGGCCGTCCCTAGGGTTGGCGGCGCCCGGAGCAAACGTAGTCGTGGCGCCCCCTCCTCCCCCCAGTAATAGTCGCATTCACATATTTGTAATACTATGTTAATACAAATAGCCACGGCAAGGAGCCCCCTCTGCTGTGGCGCCAGGGGCAGCTTGCCCCGGTTGCCCCCCCCCCCCTTCGGACTCTCTGCATATCCAAAACAGTGCACTTGTCTGCATGGGTTCAGTTTTGAGACCATTGACAAATTTTGTTTCACTAAATTGGAGATATTCTCAAGGTAATCAATTAATTGCTTCTTTCATAAGATCAAATTATCAACTTGCATCTTCCACTGTCAAATGACAAATGCAACTGAGAATCATCTGCATAAAATTGTTGCTCAGTTTTGCACACAGCTTGTGAAGTAGCTGTGTAAAGTGTGTAGAGAACAACACAGGGCCAAGCAGCCGCCTTGAGGAACACTCTGTTGTTTGACGAGGGTTTAGTTTGTTTCCATGCCTGCTACCCTGCAGTCAGTCTATGGGAAGATGAAGACGTTGATTACATATAGATATAATCCATAGTTCGTGTTAGCCCATAGTGGTTTACATTATAACCAAAATTTAAAATGCCATTACTGCATTGTTCACTAAGAAAGTGGGAAATTCTAAAATGACCAAGTTTCACAATGCTTTAATAACTATTTTTATATACAATATCAGTAGGCAAACTAGAGTGTATTCATTAGTGTAACATTCTGAAGTGGGACATCAGGCTTCTGAAGCGGTACATCAGCAGGCTTCAGAATGATACCCCAATCACTGGGAAGGGAACAGTGGGGCATAGATGTCTGGTACTGCTTAGAAAATGCCTGCAGCAGTTGTGGGGTGAACTTGCGAGCCGAGAGGTCCTGTATGGCTTCATCTGGGTGGGACGACTGACCAGCTGGTGCAAGTCTGTACCGATGACACAAACCATACTGCTCTCTGATAGGTGATGAGTGGAAACCTGTCATCAAACAGGCATGATGAGGAGCATAGCAACATTTATTACTGGCTTTATTGACATATTTACAGTAGTTTTAACTTTTAGTTACCTTTACAATAGGGAATTAATTGAAAGAAAGTGATCAAAAACATAGTGTTTTGATGTTGTAATGGTAAAATCGGATCTTTAAAAAATGGCTGGATTTTGATAAAATTTTAGTACCTTAAAGCCTGAATTCAAAACAAAACGTACAACCCACATTTTGCTCCAAAAATTACGGTCCAAAAATTATTTCTTCTTTTGTGATTTTCCATGCACAAAAAAAAAATCGGATTAAAAAAATGTTTGACTGATTTTGATGAAAATTTAGTACTTTATATTTCTTTCAACTCAAAACCAAATGGTACAACTCCGTTGTTGTAAAAATTACAGTCCAAAAGGTATTGAAGCTTTTGTAATTTTCCCCATAAAAAATACCGTAGTTACTCCCACCGCTTACCCATGATAAGGGTTATTGACAAGCCATTGGAAAGAAGGTATGTCAGATTGATGATACCGTTTATTTATTATTTTATATATATGGTCTGAGGGAAAATAACCATAAAAATTTAAATTTCAAATAAATGCAAAAAAAGCCTGGAGACACACAAAAGCATGGATTAGTAGTAGTACCCACAAAACAAATATTCTCAAAATTGGACCATACGTCAGGTGTAGTCTGTATAGCGGCTTCGTACACACACAGCACACATAGACACATTGCTTCGAAAACAACTTATTTTTGATTCAGTGGGATCCAAAAAACGGATATTTCCACCCAAAACTCACTCAGCATTTCGTATGAAAACAATATACTTACTCCATTTTTATACAAGGGGGAGAAAGTAATAAAAAAATCATAGTCATAACTTGGTTCAAGAATTCATATTAGGATTGCTAAAAAGTAAAGCACCATTCAAATTATGAAAAAATGAGTTTTGCCTTCAATAGAATCTTACAGTGTTGAAGCACATACAGCGGGCATAGCTCTTACTTTTATGATTCAAACTGTGAAGTACTATATTTTAAGTATTATTCCAAAGATTATTGTTTATACTATATCAATTCGTGATCAAAAACTGTTTTCCAAGGTAAAAATATTACCTGAAATCAGTTGCAGTTCCCTTTTCCGCAAGACTTGTAGCACAGCTGTGGGTTTACAAATAGCCTTTGTAGCTCTGCTACTGTCGATTTTCCGGTAAGTTTTGGATATTGTCATTAGATAGACACCAGTATTATAGTTTATCCCGTTCCAGTTCACGTCTGGTAACTCCAAATAGAAGTTTGCCACTTTAAACAAATACGCTGCAGTGTTTTTGCTATCTCTCTTTCCTTCGTTGAACCTGTGAATCCGTTGAAATAGTTAACGCTAATATTTCATTACAATACGGTACACACTAACTAAAATATAAAACTGAGCATTTCACTTTTCTTCATTATGATCATCATGAGACTACATAAATAGTATATTTCATCACTAGGGCGTAAAGTGACTCTTTCTTCCGAGTCGGAAAATGAGTGAGAGTTGAAAAGACACTTTTTGCCCACACATATTTCACCATATTGCAACATTATCAAACAAACTAAGAAAACAAAAATACTTTTCATGTAAAGATTACCTCTCAAAACAACTTCCAGCTCATTTTCAATTTTGTTTTTGCTTGAAAGAGGCGCAAGGAATAACCGCTCTGGCTTGTCCTCGCTGCGCATTCCCTATCACAGGACGACTGTGTATAATAAATAATTTGTAGTAACTGACTGATGGGGGGGCTGAGGAAATATTACTTTAACCGGATGGCCGTGGCCTAGCGGAATGGTGTGTGTTACGCTTGGGTGCAGCAGAGGATGTATGTGCGTGTGACTGTATGTTAGGGAAGTAAAAGAAATTCATGTTATGTTACTTTTGCCATTTATTTTATAACAAACTTTGTTGTTTTACTTGTTAGTTTTATGTTATTGTTAGTTTTATAGAGGTTAACTTTAAGAAAGGATCATACAAGGTCCTAAAGTTTCAGCTCAATAAAGAATAATTTTCCTTTTTATTTCATTTCATTTTCAACTTATTTTCAAACGTAACATATTACATGCCTAATAAAAGCACACTGTTTTGTATTGTTTGTTGGAATATTGGAGTGTGGCAAAAGTAAAATAAATAAAGCAATTAGCTACTTTGCGTGCTATAATCAGTGCAAGGAAGCCTGCTTTGTCAGTTAACTTAAGGAAATAGTTATTTGTGCAACTAGTGAGCAAAGTGAGCAATTGACTCACTCGAGAGAAATACTTACTTACTGAGTCAATTGCACTTTGCACTTTGCACAATAAAAAATCCCCTCAAGACGTCTTGAATGAAAAACTGAATTTTGGTTCAAATATTTTATTCGATAGAATTGCAAGCATTGACAACAGAGCTAATACAAGTCTTTATCAGCTGACGTACCCCCTCCCCCAAGGTCAATGTCACCAACTGGACAATGGTTAGTTCTGTCGTGTCCGCCGTGTAACCTGTGTCGGTTTGTCCCGTGTTAAATGTGGCCGGCCTATCAATCGTCTTATATGTTCCGTAACTTGTGTTTTTTAAATAATGAACTTTATGTGTCAACTTGTATTTATATACTAGCTGGCCCGACAGACGTCGTCCTGTCCTATTGTGGTTTTATGTCTCATGCTCGTTCATTTTCAAGATGTGCTCGTTCGCATGGCTCAATCACGTCCTGGTTAAAGTTCGTTCGCTACGCTCACTCACCTTTAGGTTGGAGCTCGTTCGCTGCGCTCACTTGCCTTCAGGTTAGCTCGTTCGCGACGCTAACTCACCTTTTGGTTGCAAATTAGCTGTTCTCATAAATTAAAAATAAATATAGTGCTGCACCCTGTTGGTAAACCTATTAACTTTTTAATGCTATTGAACATCACAGAATCAAATTGTTTAGTTGCACCAGCTGTTAAGATTCTTTAATTCCATTTAAATATGAGTACTCATAAGGTTAATATGGGAAACTCCAGAGCCACTGGGGCGGAGCCCTATTGACGGATCTGCACCAAACTTCACACAAACCACCCTTGAATAATGCTTAATAATGCCTGAAAGTTTCATTACAATCGGTCTAGCGGTTTTGGAGTCCATAAAGGACAAACATACAAATATACAAACATACAAATATACAAACATACATTGGATTTTATATATATAGATTGATGAAGACTTCCGTCGGATTTTTGACTAGCTTCTACATGATGTTTTGAAAAGGATTTGACAATGGGTCTTTGTACCCGAAACTAGTCATCCATTGATTAAAATAAGACTGAAGACGGACCAAGGTTACAAGTCTATTATATATGCACCTAGTAGTTAACCTATTATATATGCACTTTGCACTCGAGTTGAACATTATATTTTTCCTACAGTTACCATAAAACAAATAAAATGGTAAAGAAACGTAACATATTTTTACACAGAAGTGAACTTTTAATATGACATTTAATGATACAACAGTACAACAGCTGACCAGCTGATTTACAGCCAGTGCTGCCAACGTATTTCGCGCGCATACGACCTTGTCTGCATGTTACGGGCTCACTATTTCGTGCCTTCACGTTGCAAATCTGGAGTGAGACAAAGTAATTAGAGTGAGACAATGTTAACATTCAAACATTGTCTCACTGGTGAGCGAATTGGCCACTTTGCTTTCTCAAATCAGTGAGAGAACATGTACATTGTTAGGCAACTGTAGAAAAAATATATTTTTTCACAGATCCAAATAAAAATAATTAATAAAAATAATTAGAATGGCAAGTTAGACCAATTTGGTAGCTTTGCTACTGACTAGAACTAGAATTTTTTAGCCAGGACAATTTTATGATTCACAATTAGTAAGGATAGCCAAGTCCACAGTTTCAAACCATCGCTAGTGACTATATTTTGTCCGAATTTAATCTGCAGCACCCATAAATTTACTTTGGAATAAAGAATTTTATGTCATAACAGAAAAAAACTAACCTCAATAAATCCTTTAAAGATGAGGCCTTCTTTGGTACTAAAAATTCATCAATACTTAAAAACGTAGTGTATGTGTACTCCGCCATTGTCTGATAAAGACAGTCGTTGGATGCTGCATCATGGTCGTTGTTGTTTTGCCTAGCTGAGATTGGCAAATTCCAGTTCTTCACACTGACACGACCTTGCTTTTCATAATCAGTAAGTAAACAACGAAAATCCTCTGACAGAGACTTTACATAAAAAATAAAGTGATCTACTCCCATAATGGTGTTCAGCTCAATAAACTCAATCAATCTAATTTTCTGAAAATAAGAATAGAAAGGAATTACATGCTGATATAAAAATTTTAATTAACTGTTTCAACAGTGTTCAAAGTTTGTGTCTAAAAAAAAAAGAACACTATGTGTGTACCGGTACCAAATGAGTACAGAGATCCCATGATTAGGTTTTAAAAATGTGTATAAACATGGCCAAGAACAACTCTACACAATTTATAAGGCAGGTTTTAAAAATATTCTGAGAACATTTCAGCTCCCTACAGCTGGGTGTTCCTAGGCGCGGAAGAGGAATACAGATAATGGGGAGGAGCTATTTTCTACTTGTCCAGTGGCATTCCACTCTGCTACTAGGTAAACTACGATTAAATTAGCTAAGACAAGAGGAGAAGCGGACTCCGTACTCCGTTCTCCCCACCAAACAAAACCCAGCTTAACATAAATTATTGTACAAACCAAATGGGGAGTCATTCAGTATCATTTGCTTAAAGAATTCAATCGCGATCCACTTTCAATAAACTACTCACTTTACCAAACATCAAACTTTAACTAACCCACCTGACTGTAATTTTCATTTAGAGGTGTCACACACACAGCCAAAGTATCTGCGTTATTTTTCTTGAGCTTATTCCAAGGTTGGATCCGTTGTACCAGTAACATGTTGGAGATCTTCTGGTTTGAACTTGAATTGACGGAAACAGCTCTGGGTGGCTTCAGCCCTTCCGGTAGAGCACATGCTACAAACACCGCAACTAGATCTGCTTCCGTGTTATCTAAGGGCTAATGCACATGTACAGTGTGAGATTAAATGAGATGAATGTTTTTTATCGCCAATACACATCCCAAACTGATAGTAAAATTAAGATCAGAGGAAAAAATATCCTTTGTTACAAATATTTTAAAATAAAATATTTACAGGTGAAAAACATATTGCTAGTCTAGTGGTTAGCGTCCAGGCCATTGGTAAGAGACGGACGGGTCCAATAAAAAAAAAATGTAAATAAACGTCTGTAAAAAATAAAAATAAAACTGCTGAAATCAATAAAAAAATGCACAATTTTGTAACATTTTGTATTATAAATACATCTATTGATCTACATTAAAAACTATACACAGCAGTTTATCATCACCATTGTTGAGCTTCAGAAAATAACATAAATATTCACCAGGTTATAGAGGCTCATGTATTTTTATAATCATTGCAATTTTTTAATAGGGATATAGTTTTTTTTTTTATAATTACTACAAACCTGATCATAGGCTGAGATTTCAATTTCAGCATTTTGAAAATGGAGTTTACACTTTATGTCATCACTGGAACCAGGTTCAGAGAGACCTATGATGCGAATCATATTTCCATTATTTCTGTCATCGTAATACGCAGAGTAAACAAACATTTTGTGGCTAGAAACACAAATATTAATGAAGTACACCACTGTTAGAACTTGCTATTAATTGTTTAATTAATTAGGGTTAAAACCCAACAAAAAATGTATCTTGTACATCAAAAAACTTTTGCAAAGCTTATGTCAGCTAGCCTGACCATACTGGACTGATTTACACACGGGTTGTACCAAAAGAAAGGTTATCGGTCCTATATGTGCAGGTTTTACATTATTTGTATTTTGAGAATATTTATGTTAATTGGGTCAACTATGGAGATTAAACTTTTTTTATGGAGATTTAACATAGGGTTAGACAAGCATATTTGTTGAAAACCTTCTCAGCTCCTGTGCATCGCAGGGAAAATCTACACATACTGTTAGAAGAATATTTGCCTGTAGATGTGCAGAATCCCTTTATAAATTAAAATAGGCTAAAAAATAAGCAGAAAAAATTAATTAAAAGAAATAAATTAATTAATTTGATTATGAAGCTTTTTACAAAAGACACTCTATGTCGGTAATAAAGCAACAAGTAATTTGTTCAGTCTGCAGGTTTGCTGCAAAAGGGGGTATTGACTTTTGATGCATTATAAAGCATCAATTGCCCAGTGAAAAATTGTCAGTATTTTTAGTAGGATTTTAAAGAATTTTATTGCAGGTAATAAGTATACTGTTATTGGATGAATAGTTGATAAAAATAATGTGAAAAAGCAAGTCATACCTCATCCCATCAACTGGTTGCCATTGATTTGAATACAGTTTGTAATGGGTTTCAACTGTTTCATCCTTTAACAAACCAAAGAGCAGCAGGATTTAAATAATTACATCATGAACCACTTTGCTGATGCCTAACATAAACCTATAAAGCTGTGTTTAAACCAAAGTTTACAAAATGTGCCTCAAACAAAAAGTTTACAACAATCAAAAAATGTAAACTTTTTGAAATTTTATGTTTTCAATTGTTTTGCAGTGTAAAGAGATTTTTGCCCTTTATCATTGTTGTAAATGTAAACATTTGTTCACAGTACTTCTTTTGTGTTTTCTCAAGGAAGTGTTTATCAACAAAACATTTTGCAATCTCTGGTGTAAACGTAGTTTTACACGTTGTTTTTTAAGTTCTGGTATTCAGTGACTCTAAATTAATTCCATATACAATTTGCTTACGTCCACTAAAGAAATTAAAAGATCCATAAATTCTTAATCTCTTTAGGTTACCAGCTCTAAAAACTCGTAGACAATGTCAACACTACCCCAGAAATTATTTCAAATATTTATGAGCTAACCCCTTCACCGGTACTGTAAAAAAGCTCAGACCCCCCCCCCCCCGGACTAAAAGTCCCTGACACTGTCTGGGCGTACCAGTGGTTGGATATCCTTAAAATCCAAGGGATTATAATTAAATGCCAAGTAAGATCAGTTATAGACATAGATGTAATTTATCCTTGGGCTGTCAATTAATTTTAACAAAAGATGTTAGATGTTAGAGAGCAACAAGATCAGGATTTGAACTGCGCATTAACAAACATAAAAATTCCACAAAGAAATTTATAACACAAATAGAAAAGTTATGGAACAATAAACACTATATATCTAAATATTTAAGCTAGATACATTACATGTATGGAGTTAGCTGAGGATGATTTTTGAAGAGCCAACATAACTTCATACTGGAAGTATGCGATATTGACCAAGATTATTGTTAATAGAATAATGATTCCTATGAAGGCTCCTCTTTTGTAGAGTTTGCGGGAAGTTCTAAAAATGAACATCTTTTCCTAAAAAAAGTTAAAATATCTTGAAATCAAAGGAAATTGTGTCTTAGTTGTGGGTGCTCCTATGAACTTAGAAAGTTAAGTATTTAAGTAAATCTTGATCTTATAATTAATTGGTCAAACAAGTTTTACCTCTTACACAGGTTATTTTGTATGATTGAATTAAAACACATTGAACAAACTCATTACAGCTAATTGAAAAATAATCTGCATGTTAACACCACCAAATATCTATTACATCCTTCAAAAAAAAGCTAAACAAAATTTTGTTTACTAAAATGGCAACCTTAATGATGAACTAAGAAAACATTATCTGGTACTCACTTTTTAACACTGCATTAAAGTTTGTAAAAACAATTTTCAAAACCGAATAAAATATACACAACAGGACAGACAGAACTATCTTGATATCTGAATAAAAAAGTTCAAGTGACACTTCACGCAGAATAATTAGGCGACTGTTACGAGTTTAACAACCATCTGTGAAAGTGACAGCTCTGTTTGTTCGTACTATGGTTGAACACATAATTATCTGTTAGTAACATGTTATGCTTCCATGTAAATAGTTTTATTAGATTTAGCGAATTTCGCAAATAGAGAATCAGCACGATAACACTGGGAAAAATCATAAGATTTTGATTTCAATTGGTGTATAAATGTGTAAACTTACGTCCATTCAAACAAGTTTGCAGATTAGCATGATTTGACAAAGGGAACAGGGTTTTATTGGGTGAAAATCAAATTTCCCATTTTTGACCCCCAAAAAAGAAAAATGAGTTTATTGCAAAACCATTTTATAAAGCTTAAAAATAAAAAAATCTAGTATACAATGTATGAATGACATTTCATTGTATTCACTCCATCAAACTAGCTGGTACAATAATGTTTTCAACAAATTTTTTTGTCTCTTTCAAACAACTTCCGTTTTAGAATGAAGGGGAAAATCGAGATACAGAGAAGGCCACATAACATATTGTTCTTTTAATAAACGTTATGGAAAAATACAAGGTAATAAAACTTATAAGAGAGAATAAATCAATGGGGCGCTCTGGTTACAATGACCACTGCTGAAGGCACCAACCCTGAAAACATACAAATATTTGACGTATTTCCCAGTGGCAAGAACTACAATATTTAATTATTGAACTGTTGTTACCTTAGCCTTTGTTCTTGTAGAAAGATGTTAAAATCCTCCAATATATTTCGTCACAGTGTGTGGCATCATCAGGGAGACGAAAAGGCTCCCTTGATCTTCTCGTCGTCCCTGACACACTGTGGCGAAATGTATTGGAGGATTTTAACATCTTTCTGCAAGAACAAAGGCTAAGGTAACAATAGTTCAATAATTAAATACAAACATTTGACAAAATCAGATATACTTTTTCAGAACTATGTTCAAATTAAAAATAAATCTAGATTCTATATTATGAACGTGCAACCTCAAAAAAATTGGAGGAGAAAGAGTAAAAATTTTATCTTTGCCAATTTAACACTTGAGTTATATAACAACAGTTTTTTGGTAGTTTGTTAAAACACTGTGCATCAGGATACCTAATAGATTAAGAAAAGTATGACTGGGAAAGTTAAACAATATTAAGGTAAATATTTTGCAGCTTGTGGGAGCAGGTAAAAAATTGAGCAGCATAATTTTAATTTCAGTAACCATGTTTATTTTGTTTTAGAACACAAATCATGTGAAATTTTGTTTTGACAATGTCTACACTCTATACAGTCAAATGACTAGAAACATAATTACTTAGTTATTAAATGAGCTTGATTAGAATTACAAGTTGTATTTCACTGACAATGACAAATAATGCTTTAAGACATTATTTAATAAACATTATCTGTTAAATCAAGTGATTTTTGTGAAAGAATACACACCTACCAACTGACATCTTCCTTGTTTGAAAATGTTGTCATTGACAAAGAAATATTCTAACTTTTGTGTTCAGAGTTAGTTAATTTTATTATTTCTTGTGCCAGATTGGACTCTTTTTCCCACTCTGGCAAGCCTGCTACCATAACACTCCTTAAAACCTAGGCCTTAAAGCTCTATATTATATGTACTGGGTGTTTCATAAGTCAGTTTACCAGTTTACTAAGGTAAACTGACCTATGGAGCACAATGCTTTCGTAACTAATGCTGCACAACCTGTTTTTTGCAATGAAAAAAAAAACAGCTGTAAAGGTAATTGTTGACATTTTATGTTTTGATTTGAGGTTAGATTTAGATTTGCATTTGCATTTTGTGCTGACAGTAACCAGTGTTGGGAAGTAGCGCGCTACAAGTAGCGACGCTACAGTAGCGCGCTACTTTTTTTGTAGCGTTAGCTGTAGCTACGCTACTTTTAAGATTTTGTAGCTTTAGCTGTAGCTAGCTACATTTTTAAAGTAGTTGTAGCGGAATTTTAGCTACTTTTCTCGCTACATTAACATTGTTTGAGATAGTGATTTTTATCATAACCTCAACCTTAACTACGTGAAACAACCTCTTTCAAACTGAGATTTAAAAAAAAAATTAGGCCTTACTTTCTTGGCTTCATACAGCTGGTTGCAGCCGTTTCATTCCCTATTCTATTACAACGTTGTGTGGACATGGAGGCCATTAAATGAGTGTTATCCACATTTTTGGCTCTCATTTCCTTAATTTACTACTCTATGATTACTGTCAGATAAAATAAAATCGCTAGATGCAGACGACGTTAGACGTTACCGGTGACAAGAGAAGCTATTGAATGCTTGCAAGTGATTGACAGGGAAATTAGTAATCAATTTAGTTTGTTTATTATACCGATAGTGTTTCAACTTGGATTTTAATGGAAACCAACACTTTAAACCTTAAGACGAATACCAAGTTCCAAGTTCAATTATTAGGAATCCTATCTCTTTAGTCCTAGCAAGAACAAGCCTACTATAGCCAACTTGTTACATAGCCAAGTAGGCCTACATGTTATTTTTACTTTACAAATTTCAACATGTTTAAATTAAAAGCCGATTTCAGGATAAGTTACTGGATACTGTTTTCTGTACCAACTAGGTTGAAGCACAATTTGCCCTATGCATAATGACAATAAAGGACGATTTCTTGACATTGAAAAGTGTTATTCATAGTACAAGTAACTTATCACTTAAAAGTTTATAGCAATGTCGTTTTTAACATTAAAAGAAAGGCAATAAACTCCAATTTCAGTAGGCTAGGCTCTGTAACACAAAAAAGTATTTTTAAATAATCGTTTTACAGTTTTATTGGTCTTAATTGTTGATATAAGACATCTATAAATGAATCTATATTAAAGAAATAAAATGAGCTTTTAAAATATAGTTTGGTTGTATGTCCTTTGAACTTAATGAAATTTACATTTAAGATGCATACAAATAATGCAATATTTAAAAATAAGTACTAAATATGATGGGACACCGAACTATTTGGTTCTGTTGTTGTAATGTTAGGTTTATAATGCCAAAAAATTAAATACAATCTAGGAATAATTTGTTTTCCAATTAATGTTAGATACAATACTGACTTTTTTTAATGTTTGTTCAGTAAAAATGTAGTTGCAATTAATTTTACATTTACCTAATGTGCGTGGAATAAAAAGTAACGTCTTTGGAAAAGTAGCTAAAATTGTAGCTGTAGTTGTAGCTAGCTACTTTTGCGGAACTGTAGCTGTAGCTGTAGCTAAGCTACTTTTTTGGAAATTTAGCAGTAGTTGTAGCTAGCTACATTTTAAAAGTAGCTTCCCCAACACTGACAGTAACTATGAACCGCAAACTAAAAACCGAGGAGCGCATTTTCCTTTTAAAAAAAGTTGGTGGAAAACAAATAATACTAGTTTTTGAAACACTTGGTATGATGACATTCTTAACCCTTTCAGTGCTAGGCCAATAATTCATATTTCGTAAGACTTTTTTGTTTGCCTTTTAATTCCATTACCTGTTGTTGAATTTTAACTGTCATGTTGTCACTATTTTATTAATTAGGCTAATTTTGAATAATAACACAATAAGAAAATATATAACAAAAATAAATCCCGGTATTTGTAGTAATCATTAAATAAAACTTAGTTTTTGTTGTAATTTTCCTGGTTTTCCTATAAATTTTTATGTTCTGGATAGCATTGTTTGAAACCAAAATCTCATAAAATCAAAAGACATATAGTTTACAATGTAATATTGAATTTAACTTTGATTTAGTTGGACGAGTTTATCGTAATATAGCCATTTTAGGGAAACTAATGTTTTGCAGCAAGATCTCAGGAACACATCTATGATCACTGTTGTGTTTCAGCTAAAAGATTTCATCTAAATAGTCCGTGACTAACTGGTGCTGCTACCTAGTAACACATTGAACAACCATCTGTAGCGCTATCTGTTTGCAATCGGTGGCGTCAGCTTAAATACCGGTTTTTGACTCCTCAGTCTTCAAGCACAGATAGCCGAGAAGGCTAGGGCGTGTGTCACTTGGCCAGTGGCATTCGTCTGCTCGGGTTCGAATCCCGTCCTGTGTGGCAAATAATTGGTGACCTGTGTGTTTGTAGCAATATACTACAACCACTGGGGCATAGTGAGGTGTTCATAATCCTTGGTTTAGACATACATCTCGAAATCATCGGATTGGGCGAATCTTTTAGCTAAGTGCTTGTTAGTGTATCCTATGAACATGCAGGTCACCAATGGCCGTTTTGCTATTTTTTTTTAATTAACCTTCCTCTCTATATCCCTTAGATTTTTTAAAACAACGATATATCGTTTCATAGCACTGAAAGGGTTAACCTCAAACTGATGGTTCAAAACCTCTTCCATTTGTGTTAAAACTTTTAAGTATGGTGAAACAGTTTTCTTGGTTATCCTTATACAAACAAAACTTCAGTTCAACTGCAATGTTTCTACTTGTATGACCAAGTAATTTGTAGGTACCATGAAAGATAAGAATGAAAAGAAAGGGTCAGTGAAAAATAGCATACTTAGTCTAACTAACATTTAGAAGTGGTTTTACCTAAGACGTCTAAAGGCTTGTCGTAGTCTTCGTCTTTGAAAACTTTCCTTGGGAAGCTAGTCATGAGAGTGAAGGGTCCGTTGTCATCCGTTCGGTTCATCTGGACGTAAAGTCTTACTGCAGACAATTGTTCTTTAGGATTAAACGTCTGAGTCAATGCCTGCCCGTTGGTTAATCGTATCTGAAAAATATATATTATATTTTTTGTTCTGCAGTTGATTAATCATTGCCATGGGATAAAAATATTTTTAGGCATCAGGAATCTCAGAAGTATAAAACTGAACAAAAGGCCTTGATCAATAGTTTACAAATAGGCACGATTCTTCTGATGTTTTGTATATGAATCTCCTTTGATTTAGTTAAACTTTTATGACACAAATACATCAGCGCTCCTTTTAAAAATCCAACACTTTTAAGCCCTAAGCCTTTAAAAAAAAATGTAATATGCTATTATTTTTTAGGTTATGTCCTTGTATGTTTGATCATATATTGATTGTAATACAATAGGCTATGTCTTGATTCATCCCAAATAAAAGCAAAACAAGCAAAATCCGTGCTGTAAAAAGAAACAAAATAGGTGTTGTTTGCATATTAAACTAACTAAAGCCGTCATTTTCCACTCAAGCTGTACATGGTTTAATTAAGGTGGGCCCTCCGCTCCAGCTAAGCCACACATTAATAAGATAATTGCGCATGTAGGGGATTTGAATCTGCACATGTAGAAAGACCTCAACACTACACATTTCAGTGCATCTCCTTAGCCAACTGAGCTACCTTGCCATTGTTAGCCGAGTAGACAAGTGCCAAAAGCACACTAGTGCCTGCAGGTTAGATTCAACGGACTAATGCCCTGAGCTATACTCGTGATTAGAGCTTAAAGTGTTAAAACAGATGGTCTTGTTAGTTTAATAAAAATAAACGACAAAAATTGGTTATTATTGATAATAGCCTAATAGAATGACTTAAATAAAGCTTCTTTTAACTGGATTACCAATGCTTAAATTTCAACTGAGGCAGGATTCACTTTTTGTGACCTATTTCGTGTATTTATCCTGGACAGGAATTTTCTCAAGTAAGCAAATTGAATCTATAATGAAGAAATAGGACTATTCCTTTAAAATTCATGACAGTCACTTGGGTTTCCCTTAAAATAATTATATTCAGGTAGGCTGTAGGCTACTGTAAACCCATTAAGAAAATCATTTTAACTTAGTAGAACTAACAAGAATTACAGCTCCTTCAAAGGGTATACAAAACAGCAACCTGTATTCTAGTGGTAGTGTAGTCCTTGGGTTGAGCAGGAGTAGTAGCTGCAGGGGTAGGAACAGTGGCTGGGACAGGAGCAGGGGCTGCGTCACTACCACCTCCACCAAACTTTGCCTTCCTCGCTGCTTTGTCAGCTTCTATCTGTGCTTTCACTCTTTCTCTAGCCTTCTTCTCCTCTTCCTTTTCTCTTCGCCTCTGCTCCACCAACTTTGCCAACTCTTGCTCTTCCAATCTGAAAATTGGAGGTAATAATTAAGTAAATAGCACCTTATGAAAATTAGAGTAGTTGTTTAGGGTGCATAGGGATTTGATTATGATTAAGATTTATTATGATTGATGCTTGTCGTCCGCACATACCTCTTAAGTTTACTGGTATATAACCTGACTATGATCAAAAATAAAGTTCAAAGGGCTTGCATTCATTGTGAGGAAAAATAATGGATATGGTATTTATTCAACAAATTTTAGTGGTTAAACACCTCCAGTCGTCGAGTTCAAATAAAATCTGCTGATTTGTGACTCGGAAGTCACCCATTTGCAAACTGGTGAACTCCCATTTATGTCTTTGTATATTAAATACTGATTGGTAAATGTTAATTTATTTGTATCCGTGTTTGTGGTATGTAGACTATGTAACTTGGACTCAAAGACATTTTAATGGACAAAATCCATTTCACACTGGAGCCAGACGGTAACACAACAATGTGCTGAAACCTAGTTTGCAGAAATATTACTTTGTTTGAACTGGATGACTGAAGGAGTTTAAATTATTATTGGTTTTTAACCAGATAGAGGGCATTTCACATCTCTTGATGTCAAAAATAATTATTTAACAGTCAAAAATACAAAAGAAATGTGTTTTACAATTTTCAGAATAGTTTAAAATATGATTGCAAACAAACATAAAAAAATGTTAAATGTACTTTAAACGTTTTTATGGTATTGTAGCATTAGCCTACTTTTTCTTTGCCGCTGTCATCTCCTTCCCAGATTTAATTCTATTCTTTTCTCTTTCCAGAGCTTCCAATTTTTCCTTCTCTTCCCTCTCTTTTCTCTTTTGCTTCAGTTTCTCCTCAACTAATCTTAACTGCTCTTTTTTCTCTTCTTCTGTGAGAGGTTTTTTCTCCTCTGTGGACTCTGAAAAACTGCTGTGTCCGGATTTAGCTGCATGGAACTCCACTTCCAACTGATTTTTGAAGAGCTTTCCACACCTAAAACATTGAAAAATGTACTTATTTTTGTGTTTAAGCTATAACTGGTTATTAGTTGTTAACCTATAATTTTTTTTACCAATTAATTGATGCAATGGAAGTCAGGGCTGTTAACAATGTTACTATAACAGATCTCAGCTAAACTATCAAGGTTTTAGTTAGTCAAAGCAACACAACCGATTCCATTTAAGACAATGTAAAGTTTTGTCCATATACACCGTTAAAGTATGATATTCAATAAAATATTCAGTAAAGTAAAAAAAATTTCAATAAATCAATATAAACTTACTCGTCACATTTCAGAGACTTGGCAGTCTCAGTAGTGCCGGAGCTGCCTTCCGCCTGCGCAGGTTCTGCAGGTTGTTCCACAGTAGGAACGGCTGCAGTCTCAGTCACTGAGACAGTCGGTGCAGCTGGCGCCTCAGCTTCTAGTTCCCCTCCGTGCGCCAGCAGCCTGGATGAAAACAATTATTCATAGCCTTAAAAATTGTATCATCCACAAATAACTAAATAAAGAGTCTAACTGTTTCACTATTCAGTATAAATAGGAATGCAAACAAAATTTTAAAATGTAATTTTATTGTGTCTTTAAACAAAGTAGGCCTACAGTTACAACTTTGAGAACTATGAAGGATGTGTTTTACATTGTTTACGTCCATGCAAAGAGAGTAGGCCTACCTATGAATGATACGTGATGCACTAAGCTGATTGTAAAGTATTGGACAATTCTTACCATTCCATTGCAGGCTCTACTCCTTGATTGCCGGTGACGGAAAGTGCTCTTTCCCTGAGAAAAAATGTTACATTTAGTGGCATAATAAGAACATCCCCCTGCTATAAACTTAGTTTAATTTTTATTCCAGTTATTCAGGGTGTCCTAAGTACAAAGAACTCAGGAATACGTTCAAAAGAAAACAAAAAATCTGAAATAAAAATTTTGCTAAAAATGCTTTGTTACGAGATATGCACTATTTTGTATTTTAAATTTGTTTCTAGACAATTTTTTCAAGTCCTAATGAATTTACTGAAAAATAGTTATTACAAAATTTAAAATGGCGCCATTTTTAAACCAAACAATATTTAGTAAGCCTAATAACTATTTTCTCGTAAATGTACGGTACAATAGAAAAAATTTTACCATACACAAAAATTTTACACGATTGTAAAATTAGAATGTTTAACCTTGTAAAAATGGTTATTTTTCAGCTAAGTTGAGTTATTTATGATTGGATTTTTTTGAACTTTAACTTAAATCCTAAATATAAGTTCATGGAAATTTTTTTGAAAATCAGCGACGCTTTCTAGCAATTCAAATAATAAAATTTGAAATAGAGCCTAGTCGTTATTTTAAAACCAAACAACATTTTGTAATGATTAAAAGTTATTTTGTAATTACACTAGGCCTACTTAATAAAATTGGATAGGCTACTATGTTTCATTCATAAAGATATCTTAGTCTAAATAGTCTTTGAGAAATAAATTAAAAAAAAAAAACAAAATGCCAAATATCGTATCTTGCTAACAAGGCATTAAACAAAAAATTCTTGTTTTTTGTTTTATTTTGAGCCAATAAAAACACATTCCCGAATTCTTTGTACTCACCTACTTACATAAGGGACTCCATAGCCCACCTAGATGCCTGAAAATATATTAAAAAGCTGCTAGCACGTAGACTTGTTAAATTAGTGGTAAGGGACAGTGATATGGCACAGGGTTTGTTTCTAGTTTAGGCTGTGGTTTCGTCTAGACGCATAATTATATGTGTATGCGTATCCAAGCCGCAGCACAGTTTGTCTTACAAAGTACCCATCATCCATGCGGCTTCCTAAACTGTGAATCAAAGGCGTGTAACTAATACATGCAGACGATTTGTCACAGTCAGTCTGAGCTGTGTTGTGACGCAGACCACAGAAAACATACTACTATAACCCAGAATGCCAACCGCATGGTAAAAAGCATTAAGTGGTTTGAGAGAGCTTTGCCTGTCAATCCGTAGGCAGCGCCACCAGCGTTGCTATGCTGAGTGCATGGCAACGCTGGTGGCGCTGCCTACGGATTGACAGGCAAAGCTCTCTCAAAACACTTATTGCTTTTTACCAATGTGGTTGGCGTTCTGGGTTATAGTAGTATGTTTTCTGTGCGCAGATGCACCAACACAATGGAGAGCAAATGTGATCATCCTTTAAAGCAGTGAAAAAATTTAACTTTTCTAATAGTGATAATGAATTAAAAAGGTGTTGGGATATGACATTTTTTGAATATAAACCATTTAGACTACAAAAGTAATAAAAAAGAGGGGTGTGATTTAGATTAGCTAACTTCACGGTCTAACTGATGTCTACAAACTGTAGGCCTACTCCCCCTCAGTTTATCTTCTTTTGTACAATTCGGTACACGGTTTTTGCCTCTTTAGAGATTGAAGAGCGATATATCAAAATTATCATCCAAATCGTCATATCACCAGCTAACAATATCAAACATTAGGCTAACTCATTTCCTAATTCCACTCCGCACAACGATCAGGACTTCAAGACTGTGTGTGATGGAAACCAATGGTAAGGAATGCTAGCTGCAGCGTTTCACCAACAACTAAGTTAGGCAGAGGCGGTCCTACATACAGGCGAACAAGGTGGTGCCTGGGGCTCCACGCTTTTCAATGGGCCCACACAGCCGAATTTCAGGTATTAAGAGTAGGCCCGCAATTGAACTTCATCTTGGGCCCCGCAATCTTTAGGGCCGCCCCTGCAACTAAGTCACAGCGTATCTATAGGCTATCTAACCACAGCCTAAGGTTGAATTTGCATTACTTACTATCAGAAATAACTTAAATCACCTCTAAGTTAAGGGCTGTGTTATAAATAAAGAGTTGGTGAGGGAAAGCCACCTATAACTTAATTGCATTAGGCTACATTAAGTTTGTCAGTTGGATCAAGTTAAACTATAAGTTACCGGTAGGTACATTGATTCTAAATTGCACATCTGATCGGACATCTCTCAGGAATTATTAAGTATAGGCCTATGCCATGCACCCTTGTTTGATCAATGACATTTTTTTTACGGTTTATGTTTAGACCCTGAGCTTTTTGGACATGATAGGGCCTATAGGATTTGCTCCGGCAAATAATATAAATTAATACATTTTAAGACTAGCCTAGTGTAAGAGAAATATAGTTTGTATTGTTAAGTAAAAAAAACATAAAGGCCTAACTTACCGTACTGAAGGCCTACCCTTACTAAATACTTTATAGTAAATGGGTAGACTTTCATATATGTTGTCAAAAACAACCGAATGAAAATATTTATTGATAAATCGATTATTTCATTAGATATATCATAAGATTAGTTAGGTTAGGTTAACCTAACTAACCAAACAATATATCGAATAAAAAATATCGATCAATATTTTCATTCGGTTGTTTTTGACAACAGATATGAAAGTCTACCCAATTATATTTCGTAGGGACTTGGCAAAACAGACCATTCAATTTGCGGAGTCATCTGTGTACAGCCTAGGCCTTAATGTAACACAAGATGGCTAGTTTGGTTTAAAGTTAGTCAAAGGAATTTAACAAAGTGCATAAGTTACATGGGTCTAACACATGCACGTTTTGTCAGCGATTAACATAACATTATTATTTTAACTAATGTATAAATAGTATCACCCAATGTTCAAATCAACTAAGTAGCTTACAATATTAAGTTAAATAATAATATTAAATATTTAGATGACAATATGTCAGGTTGAGGTTAAGTTATGTTGTAAAAATTATCTTACGCCTTTTCCGCGGTAAACCCCATCTCGACCAACATCTGTACATCATTAGATGGCATTTTGAACAAAATAGTAAATACACTATCACTAAACTATTGCGTGAGGGTGATTATCAAGAAATTTATAGCCAAAACTGATAACTTAAACCGGGAACCACCACAACCGGTGACGGTGACGGTGACGGATGGTTTTTCGGCAATAATAAAAATTAATGTTATCAAGGTCTTTTAGTCAACAGCTGGCTTCCATTGTTATCCATGCAACCAACAATTATTCTAAAAATATTTTGGGTATGGCTTAGCTCCATTGATTATTTAATTAAAGACACGTGACACGTCATGATTCTTGGCACCAACATTTGATCACTAAACATTATCTATTATTTTCATTATTAATTATAATACAGTCAGACTATTGCCATAGAATAGACATGAAACACTCCCTTTACTATTATTATTTTTTGTTCCGTCCGGTGATGCAAGGATCGTATTTTGTTAACAATCTGTTTCTTGTTATTTCAGTTATTTTATACCTCGTATATCCAAATAAATCATTCTAATTTTTCTAATTATAAATAATAACCCGTCCTGTAGTTACATAACCAAACAGTATAGCACAAATCATCAAAAAAGAGCTCAAAATTTTGGGACAAGAAGTGTTGGGTTAGTCTATGCTATCGCCATAGAATTTTGGACAATATTACAGTAGACGACATCCCATCATATCCCAGCTATATTGATCAGCTGGTAGCCAATTTGTTCTACAAAAATATAAATTTTGTATTTATTCTTCCTTCTACCATGATTCAAACTAGCAGGCTTTCAAAACTAGCTTCGTGACTTCAAAATCCGTTATACAGGGTGGCTGAAAAGTAACTTGCACCCCCCTTAACTTTTCAACCATTTGAGATATTTCAAATCGGTTTGCAGGAACCTTCTTAGATATTAGGGGCTACAATAATTATGGTCAATTTTGAAAATTTTGCCCTTAGGGGTAGCGGGGGTAGGGGGTAGCTCAAAATTTTCAAAAGACAAGTATAGTCAAGTTTGGTATCATTTTACAGGTTTTGAAGGAAAATAACAAATAACATAAAGAAAATAGAAATCGGACCATTAATAACAAATCGGCAGCTAAAAAATATTGAGACAATGGTTAGTAATTTTGAACTGCCATTTTGTTAATAATGGTCCGATTTCTATTTTTTTATGTTAATTGTTATGTTTCGTGAAGACCTACAAAATGATACCAAACTCGACTATACTTGCTATTTGAAAATTTTGAGTTACCCCCTACCCTCGATACCCCTAAGGGCAAAATTTTCAAAACTGACCATCATTATTGTAGCCCTTTCATATCCAAACAAGTTACCGCAAACCGATTCCAAATATCTCAAATAGTTAAAAAGTTAAAGAGGGTGCAAGCTAATTTTTTGTCACCCTCATTGTTATTTGGATTAGAAACGTTTTAGGGTGCCATTTTGTTATTAGTGAGCCGATTTTGGTCTTCTTTATGTCAATGTTAATGTTTCGTCAAGACCTGTAAAATGTTACCAAACTCTACTATACTTGTCGTTTGAAAATTTTGAGCTACCCCCTACCCCCTTACCCAGGGCAAAATTTTCAAAATTGACCATAATTATTGTAGCCCTTCATATCTAAGAAGGTTGCCACAAACCGATTTCAAATATTTCAAATGGTTGAAAAGTTAAGGGGGGGGGGGGGGGGGTGCAAGTTACTTTTCAGCCACCCTGTAATATTTGATACTATAGTTGATAAGGATGAAAACGATTATGTCTCTATCATATCCCTATTATTTGCATTGCGAGTCCTATTTTTTTAATTGCGTGCACGATCTCTTCGAGGTATCTTAGAAAAATTACAAATACTAATGAAACTACTAATGTAAGTAATTTCCTTTTTTACATTTTATAAAAAAAAACATTACAACCTATTTTACTTGAATTCACTGAAACATCACCAACTACAGATAACCCCATTTTCATTTGGATGTAAACAAAATTGTATCATGGCTATATGTGTTGATGTAAACAAATATAAACTTGAAAAAAGCTCAGATGATTGACAACAGAATTCGCATTTGTATAATTTGATTCTAACAAACGTGTGCTATTACGTCTTTGTTTATATTTTCATTATCTATCCCACAAGGCCCATATATATATATAATACGCTAAGCCAACTTTTGTAAACAGAACTCCTCCCTCATTTTTGGAAGTGTCAAAAAAATGGCCCTGATCTGTAGTTTTGCAAAGTTTTTTCGTTTTTTGAAATCTTTATTAGTTTGGGCAGGATCTTCCATCAAAGTTGGGTTTTCTCCCATAAGATTAACAAGGGGGAATCTAAATATTTAATTGGAAATTTTGTCTCAACTAATTTAAGAGAACGGCTGGGCGTAGAAACTTGGTAGCAGAAAGGTCGCGGTCTGTAGATGAGCCATCAAAAGAAAAACTATTAAATTCCCTTTAGGGCTCTGCCCCAGAAGCCTTTAAAGTCCCCTTCCCAGATTTGTTTACATTATCGTCATATGGATAATTTTCCACTACTTTTTAATGAAACAGCTGTTAATACTTAAATTGTATTTTAGTTACAGAGTTTGTAAAAAGAAGTATTTGCAATGTAGTTTTCTGATTTGAACATTTATTTTGTTCTGCATCATCTCATATTTTGCAATATTACGTTCAATTACAAAATCATTGGAACATTTTTTATTACCGTAACTCTTAAAATGATTTCTTATCGAATTATCTTATATCAATTGTACGGGTTGGTGTCTGCCTTTTTGACCACTTTTGCCTATATTCTGTCATATCCAAGACAGATCACCATAGGTTCATGAGGTTATTTTCATACATGTTTTCAATTATTGGAAAAGATTTCGATTGTGTAATACATTACATAACTAGCTGTAACCCACGGGCTTTGCCCCGTTTAACTTCTTAATTTTCAAGATTATCTCGTTCGCATGGCTCAATCACGTCCTTGTTGAAGTTTGTTCGCTACGCTCACTCACCTTTAGGTTGGAGCTCGTTCGCTACGCTCACTCACCTTTAGGTTGGAGCTCGTTCGCTGCGCTCACTTGCCTTCAGTTTAGCTCGTTCGCTGCGCTCACTTGCCTTCAGTTTAGCTCGTTCGCTTCGCTAACTCGCCTCCAGGTTGAAGTTCGTTCGCTACGCTCACTCACCTTTTGGTTGCAAATTAGCTGTTGTCATAAATGTAAAAGAAATAATAGTGCTGCACCCTGTTGGTAATCCTTGTAACTTTAATGCTATTGAACATCATAGAACAGGACCAACTTGTTTAATTGAAACAGCTGTTAAGATTCAATAATTCCATTTCTCATTAGGTTAACATGGGAAACTCCAGAGCCACTGGGGCGGAGCCCGAAAGGATTTTTGAAATAAGAATATGCCTATATGTTAATCGGGAATGTGAGCTATCATTATGCCAAATTTCAGCCCAATCCGACCAGTATTTTTCGCGTTCACTTGTCACAAACATACATCCATACATCCATATATCCATACATCCAAACTTTCTCATTTATAATATTAGTAGGATAATACGAGTGCAGAAGTCCACGTTGCCCATATGAGCAGTTTCCATATTTTGTTAAACTAATAGTGGTTTACAGCAATTGGATTATATTTTTTAAATAATTTTTATGAAGAAATGTGTACATGATTTCATTAATATGCAAAATTGCAATTTATTGCAGACTTTTTATAGATGTTATTTCGTTGTATTCATTCAGCTTAGTGAAAACAAAACAGAACCTTTGAATAATATTAAACTAACAAAAAGAGTTGTACACGTTTACTAGCGCTACTCAGCAACAAAAACCATTTCTCTCTAAAAGAAATTTCTCAAAGTGCACCGGTAACTTACCCAGATAGTAACATTAACATAAACAAAATGCGCAAACTCGATACTACAAAAACGTTCAGGCCAGAGCCATTTTAATGCACTTTATTGCTAAATTTAGAGGGTTATTCATTGGCACAGAAGTACGGTGTGATGACTGACGTGACGAAGGAACTATAAAACTTAAAGGCCAGGGACACACTTACCGGCGAAACCGCCGGACGCCGGAGCAAGTTGAGATACACAGGAAGGCATGGGGCAGGCCACACTTCTCCGGTTCGGCGAATCTGCCGATCCGGCGGGAAAATGCTCCGGCGACGCCGGATCCGGTGGCGTCGGAGCTGGTTGAGATACACAGGAAGGCATGGGGCAGGCCACACTTCTCCGGTTCGGCGAATCTGCCGATCCGGCGGGAAAATGCTCCGGCGAAGGCCAGGGACACACTTACCGGCGAAACCGCCGGACGCCGGATCCGGCGGCGCCGGAGCAAGTTGAGATACACAGGAAGGCATGGGGCAGGCCACACTTCTCCGGTTCGGCGAATCTGCCGATCCGGCGGGAAAATGCTCCGGCGAAACCGCCGGATATTCTCTACCTCGCCGGACCGCCGGATCGGCGGTTTCGCCGGAGCAGCGGGTAGCGGGGCATTGTGCCTTATGGAGATGAACACACTTACCGGCGTAACGGACGGACTGCCACTGCCCCCACTCCTCAGTCGTGGTTCAACTCTCGAGGGTGGTGATTGTTTATGATTTTAATGCATTGCCCAAGTAGTGTATTTAGTTTTGTTTTGGTATTTAGTTAATTTAGTTTTTATTTTTAGTCTGTAGTGTTTTATATCATTATGGTAGATGTTGATATGGATGTACTTATTAGTTTGGTTCATGAGAAACCAGAACTTTGTGATTGGTCTTTGGAAGTTTACAAATACAAAAACAAAACGAGGGACAGCAGCAGCTGGCGACAGATTTGTGCTGCACTGAATCCAGCTTTCCAGCGTCTCATGTATGTGTTTTGACCTTGTATTTGCACTGTAATCTTCGATAGTAGCTCGTCGAATGAGGGGACAGACATTCGAAAATAATTAAACAACTTATTTTCTCCATTTCTCAACTGTAAAAATAGTGTAAAAAGCTCCATGTAGCTGTCTGTTCTCCAGAATAGGATGTACCAAAACAGATCGGTGGTGTTTTCTCTTCCTTCTGTGGTGGATCAAACACAGCAAGGCCAACTTTTGAGGTCTCGACAGCACCATTTCTAAGACTAAACTGTACTAGAACTGTACTAATGTAAGACAATACTGATTCAGAGTTCATTGCACTCTATTTATTGTCGCCGGCTCCGGCAAAATAGTTTTCGCCGGAACAAGTGTGTTCTGACCCTCAACCTCCGGCGGATCCGCCGGATCCGGCGCTCGGCGGTTTCGCCGGTAAGTGTGTCCCTGGCCAATCCGCCGGATATTCTCTACCTCGCCGGACCGCCGGATCGGCGGTTTCGCCGGAGCAGTGGGTAGCGGGGCATTGTGCCTTTGTGTTTATGGAGATGAACACACTTACCGGCGAAACAGCCGGACTGCCACTGCCCCCACTCTAAGTCGTGGTTCAACCCTCGAGAGTGGTGGTTGTTTATGATTTTAATGCTACCAGTACACTATCGCCGAACATTCGCCCGAATGTTTCGCCGAATGTTCGGGTCAGATTGCGACCACGAATGTTGACGAATGTGCAGCCCGAACCATCCCGAACTAACCAAGTACACTATCAGCTAACTTCGGCCGAACTGTGCTGAGCCCAATATTGCGTATTCGCGGCAAAACATTTGCACCAAATTTTGTGCAACATGGACGCTAACGTCGAAGAATATTCTAGAAAATTCTGGAGGAAATTCTGTAATTTTCGTTTGGTGTTAGACACCACTTGAATGTATCCTAAGTTTCTTACTTCTCTGTGGCTAAATAATTTAAAATTAATGCTTGCTTTTTTATTAAAATGCTGGTTTTCTTAAACGATAATGTATACATGTATATATTCAATTTAATTATCTCACGGCCTCAGAACAGGCTCACTATGGTATCGTTCCAAAAATAACAGCGTTTCCTCATTAGAATACTCCATACTTTGTACAATTAATTTATCTATATAAGATCTAGTAGAAAATAATTAAATAACAAAAACCAAAAGTAACTCTAACTACACAACCAGTGCAGTAAATACTGTATAAAGAGAGCGTCCGTAACTACGAATGACAGCGAGTGTGTACTGGCTATGTTCGTGCCCGTCTGCGCTCAGCATTCGTCCTAGTTCGTCTCCTTTGATTCGCGACGGGAGACCGCCAAAAAAGCGAGCGCACCCGAACACGAATGTTGGCTATGCGAACTACCCCAAATGTACACGAGCACACCGTGTACACTATCGCGTTCGTCTTAGTTCGCCTACATTCGGCGATAGTGTACTGCAGGCATAATGCAGTGTCCAAGTGGTGTATTTAGTTTTGTTTTGCTATGTAATTGATTTAGTTTTTATTTTTAGTCTGTTTAGTTTTCTATATCATCACGGTAGATGTTGATATGGATTTACTTATTAGTTTGGTTCATGAGAAACCAGAACTTTGTGATAGGTCTTTGGATATTTACAAAACGAGGGACAGCAGCAGCTGGCGACAAATTTGTGCCGCACTGAATCCAGCCTTTCCAGCGCCTCATGTATTTGTTTTGTCCTTGTATTTGCACTGTAATCTTAGATAGTAGCTCGTCAAATGAGGGGACAGACATTCAAAAATAATTAAAAAACGTATTTTCTTCATTTCTCAACTGTAAAAATAGAGTGTAAAAAGCTCCATGTAGCTGTCTGTTCTCCAGAATAGGATGTACCCAAACAGTTCGGTGGTGTTTTCTCTTCCTTCTGTGGTGGATCAAACACAGCAAGGCCAACTTTTGAGGTCTTGACAGCACCATTTCTAAGACTAAACTGTACTAGAACTGTACTAGTGTAAGACAAAACTCATTAAGAGTTCATTGCACTCTATGTAATGTCGCCGGCTCCGGCAAAATAGTTTTCGCCGGAACAAGTGTGTTCTGACCCTCAACCTCCGGCGGATCCGGCGCTCGGCGGTTTCGCCGGTAAGTGTGTCCCTGGCCTACACAGCTTTAGGGTGGGCCTCCCTTTTAAGTAAGAACATACCTTCTCAAAAAACAGATATTTAAAAAAATATATATAAAAACACAGATTTAATCTGCATAACACTGATGAAATCACAGTAGTGTGTACCACAAAAGATCCACCAATACGATTTTAATACTATTTTAAGAGATTTCCAAAAGCATTCTTTATATTATATTCATCAAAAAGAAGATAAACCAGTTAACATTGGAACAATAACTCCTATAAAATTGAATGGTCGACCATATTTTGTAACTAACGCAATGGTCATTATTCTTTCTACACCTATTTATTACATACTAGCTGAGTACCCGTCCTTCGTACGGGGTTGGTATACAATGCTTATTGTAGTTAAATACTCGTGCTTTGCATTTGCAATTAGAGAGGACACGTTTTGAGAAAATTTGGTTTACTATAATCTACGGTAATAGTATACAGAACATCTACCATAGCCATAATGTTCTACCATTTCACTTAAACAATAGAAAGAAGTCAAGTTGTCACACTCAGGTTTTTGTTGCTGCTTGGTTCAAATTAGCTGTTGTCATAAATGTATAAAGCTAATGGTGCCGCACCCTGTTGGTAAACCGTGTAACCTTTTATTGCTATTACCATAGATAAAACATACTCCCTTAGTAGATTTCTCATCCTTATGGAACAGCTGAAGACAATTTTATTGTTAGTTCTGTACGGTTTTCTGCAGATGTCGTGTTTTGTTTACAATTTGTTTCCCGTTATTACAGCCATTTAAAACCTCGTTTAACCAAATAATACGATCTAATCATAAACAATAACTTGTCCCCTAGTTATATAACCAAACAGTAAAGCACAAATCAAGAAATTAACCCTAAAATAATATAAACAAAGTTTCGTCAACACTAGCGCCCATGTGTCACGTACATGAACTAGACACGAAAAACGTGCTTCAAAATTTACAATGGGATGAGAAGTCTACTTGTGTTGGTTAGTCTATGCTATTACATATCATAGAAACAAATTGTGTAGTTGAAACAGCTGACAAAATTATTTTCCTTTAAAATATGAATACTCATAAGGTTAACATGGGAAACTCTAGAGCCGCTGGGGCGGAGCCCGAAAGGATTTTTGAGGTAACAATATGTCTATATCTTAGTCGGGAATGTGAGCTATCATCATACCAAATTTCAACACAATCCGACCAGTAGTTCAAACAACAAACAAACAAACAAATAAACAAACAAACACACAAACTTTCACATTTATAATATTAGTATAGTATGATTAAACACTGCTAAATGCTCACAATTTTTATATAATTTCACTCTTTTTGTCGCAGTTAGAAAAATTGTCGTAAGCCTTTAAAGCAACCGTCGATTTCGACGGGTTTCACCTAGTTATGTTAAATTTCTTAAAAGTTTAAATTCACGCCGAAGCATGTCCTGAAGTCCGATTTGTACCATTTCAGTTTTTACCTTCTCAAAGCTGGTTAACTATACAATTACGTAAATTTCGTACAGATCGCTTCACCCGTTCAGGAGTAGTATTTTGTAAAACAAAAGTAGGAGTGTATATAGAAAGAGCTCGGCTCAATTAGCATAGACAAAAAATTTAATAATACATTAAATACATTTATTCTATTTGGTCTAAGCTTATCTCAGTTTCTGCTTGATTTGACGGATCATAAACAGTTTTTACACTGGGCGGAAACCAGCTAGAAAGGGGGATCCGTTGTAGTAAAATAGGACATTAAAACACTGACAAAATATAGAAATAAAATAGAAACAAAATTAATAGCCGACATGTTATATAATGTTAAAACACAAATTTTCTCTCTGGAAAAACACGTCTCCTGCCCTAGTTCATTGGAACATCTTCTGTTTCGACTGCTGGTGCTTCCACATCTTCTTCGGCCATGCCAACAGCGTTATTGACCTGAAATCAACAATTATGATTTACTGAAACATCTTGCCTACAAGACAACAAAAAAGGTCGAATCTAATATCATTCAAGTTCTTGAAAATAAGATGACAATAAATGTAACATTTAAGCCTATTAAGAGTGCCATATTAAACACAGTTGTACAAACATTAATAATCCTATGAAAACCTATGAAAACAAATGAATAAATAAATAAAAAACACACAACGGTTTTTAGGATTAATAAAAATTGGATCGCCTATAATTGCCCCTTCCCCTCGATAGCTATGAAGATCCTCATGGGCTTGGGCATGACCGTGCACCTTGTTGTAACGGAAAACACTCCTCTGAACAAATTAGAGACGGAGTTGAATAAAAGTTTGATTTGTAACACATCTAAGAAATCTAGATTGCAAAAACACAATTTCGCGTCCATCCCAACAAATGATCATTACAGTTAATTTGCCATACGCATCAACAGATAAGATCCTGAAACGCTTAAACTTAAATCATGTATTATACGCTGAATGAATATACCTCTTGAATAGCTTGACTGATGTTGGCAATTGCAGAGTTGTTGGTGCTGATTGCTGCGGTATTGTCGTTGTTGTTGTTGTTGCTGTCGTTCTGACTCAACGCCAACAACCGTTGTCGCTTCTCCTCCATCAGCATGTCCCGGTTTTGATGAATGTAGTCGTTGATGTTGGGCAGGTTGGAAATTACACAGGCTGACAGCGCTGAGCGAAACACATTCATATCTGTTGCCTCGTACCTAGAATCCATTGAGGGTTAGAGTTTAAATGGGTATAGTAGCTTCTGTACCCGTGCTTCGCAACTGGAAGATGTACTATACCCCCTAATCCAAACACTTGTTAAGTAGTTTAAATTTATAAACAAAAAACCACCAAATTTATACAAAAAAGTATGACCTACATTGAATTGTCTTACTCTTAACATTAAAACGTATCAATAACATACTTGTCATAACCTACGGTTATATAATCTTTCTTTGATTTCATAATCAATGACATAGATTTCGAAATAATTGTGTAATAGTAGTTTACGCAACGATTGCGTTAAGTTAGTCTTTACGACACTCGTAGAAGTTTTTAAGGCACTCGCCAAGGCTCGTGCCTTAAAAACTTCTACGAGTGTCGTAAAGACTATTAACGCGAGTTCCGTACACTACTTTACCTACGACCGTTTTTTAATTACTAAAAATCTGGTTTTTTATTACTAACAATCACTACTCATAACTTCCTAGAGAGGTTATGTTTTCGTTTATTGTCATTGTCACTGAAAGTGATGCAACGACTTATTGTATGATCAGCTGATTTCATGTAATTACGTCTGCTAGCAGCTTTCTTACCATAAATACTGTATCAGGTACAATTAGGGAAATATTGCATACATTTTTGGACAACTAAATAATATAGTGTAACAGTTAATTTACAGTTAGATCTCAGCATCGAATATGTGGTCCACAACGAGTTGGGTGAAAAAGTGGTTAAGAGGTTTTCAAAATAAACCAGAAGAACATTTTCATTTATCAATTTAACCTTATTTTGTTTCGTCCATTTAATGAATTGCTGGTATGTAATTGCATATGGTACCTTTGTTTTGATTTTGGTGGCAAAAGATTAGCACAAACAGTTTGTGCTCTCATTTCGATCTCGTCAACATCACTTTCACTAACTGATATTTTAGAATCAACCTTCATTTAACTTCCACCAACTTAGGTTAAGAATACGCGAGTATCAACAGGAACAAGCCGGATCAACAATTAAAATTGTCAACTGATCAGCTGATCAGCTGATTAGTTGACGTTCGAAGTATTACAATAATTGTACTTCTTTTCTCTCAATCCTTGAACCTCATTGGTCCGTTACCCGTGTTGATATGAGAAAAACTATGCTGATATGAAATGAAACTATGCTGATATGAAAGTAAACAGCTGTTAAGTGAAACTTTTCAATTCTAAGAACTGAACTGAAATGGCTACTTTAAAAAACGGTCGCAGGTAAAATAATTTATTTAAATTGTTTGAATCAGCTGTCTGAAATTGTCAAATAAGCATTCAACAGTTCTGATTGTTTACATTAAAATGTAGACACAAAGGTAACCAAAGGTTGTGAATTAGGTAAGTGAATATGCCTATGACATTCCTAGACATGTGGACTTTCGGTGTGTTTAATTTTGGCTGTATCGGTTTAGTATTTTAGTCGAGGCACACAGACAAACAGACACCACCTCAATTTTATAATAGTAATAATATTAGTAGGATAAATTTAGCGAGTATCCTTATATCCTAGTGGACTTTCGTTAGCAGTAAACTAAAGGATTTTATTAGAGCCCTTTAAAAACGACCCCCCTTCAAAAAATCCCTAAATGGCATGTGTTTGACTGCTGACTTTTTGTGTGTGTGTCTTCGACAAAGAAGGCCTGGTCGTCATTTTAAAAGTGCCGTTTTATAATTGTACTTAATAATCATTTAACTGATTGATTCCGTCTTTCTGTTTTACCGTTGAAATTTCTTTGAAAAAGTGAAACGTTATAAGGCAAAAATCTGTGCACATACCACACGCCCGGTTCCTTTTTGAGTCTACTCCTAACCCCCGTTCTCTCCACACCGTCCCCCCAGGCTCCTCGCATTGGAGCGGCGCGGCTGAGGGAGGAGCACCTGGTGAAGATAGTACGACGGAGACGAGATTTCGAAACGTCGCGAAATCTCCGGATGGACCTGAAAATATAGGGTAACTCACAGTGACGGCATTTTAAATCCCAAGAAACTAATAAATACTTTATGCTCATACATTTGAATAAAACCTTACTAAATAATCATTTACTTGTTTTTGGTGTAATTGCAATGAAACTAAGATTCAACTCAGGTTAATGCAAATGCATTATAAAATGGTTTCAAAAAGTGTATCAAGTAAGTTAAGATTTGAGATGGAGGTTGACTTGTTAATTTCCTTACAGCCACTGTGAGTTTTTACCCTATATTTTTAAAAGAATTTCAAACAACCATTCACTGCCGCTACAGTTCTAATCGGCTAATAAATAGTTTTGAGTCCAGAACAACAGCTCGAATCGAACGCCGTATGAACGGTAACGTCTTTAATAAGACGGCTAGTTGGCTAGTAATAATAATTTATTTTTTCGAAAATTTAATCTCAGTAGAATTTAGAAAGAACATTTTATGAACGTTTAGTTATTTATTGAGTTAGAGTAATGTTTTTTATTTATTCCCCGTAATTCTTTATAATTTCCCCCATGTATTTAATATTTCCTTTTGAATTTCGTTAATCAAATATTTCAAAACATTAACTATTACATACAGCTAAGCACATCTACTTCATGCATTAAAGTATGAAGTTACAAAAATGTGAAAGTTTGACACAGCACTGACACAGTTATGATAAGTTAAAGTTCGAGAATTAGTCACCTTGAACTAAGTTGGTTTATTTAGTTTGTTCTCGTTCTCGTTTAGTCGTTGAACAGATACATTTTATTCATCAACCTCGAAAACAATTTTAGTTTGACCTCCAGCATTTTTCGACCAAAATGAATTAGTTTTGTGTCGTTGGATAAAGATCAATGTAAGGTCGTTCTCATCGAAATTTTAAAAGAAGGATGTTTCTCAAGAATATATTCATGAAGAGTTTTCATAAATGAATAGTGATAATACCATAGAAATAGATGTAGCCTATACAATTGTTTAAGGTTGATCACAGTGAGACGGTGTATCCACTGGTTCATCACAATGGCGTAAGCAATTTTTACCAATGCTCAATTATCTTCAATAACCTGTTATCCAAACGATAATGTTCAACAACATTTGAACCAAAATAACGTAACCTACAGAATTTAAGTATCTTAAATGTTTACCAGGAGTTTGTTGTTTCGTCGTAACACTCTACTTGATGTATGGTTGTCATGCCGTTGAATCCGCCAATGGCGAAAATCATGTCGTCTATGACCTCAATGGCGAAGTTGCTGCGGTTCGTGTACATGTCGGGAACAGCGTGCCATTGGTTGGTCGAAGGGTTGAACTTTTCTACACTGTTCATACGAGATACCCCGTTAAACCCTCCTGAAATTGGAGAGCATTGATAAGGAACTCCCTCTTTAAACTGATTTTCTAAACGAGTCATCAACATCAAAAGATCTCTAAATGATTGAAGGACATTTGGAAATGCCAGACAGAATATATTGAGCTGATCTTCATCACGTCTAGGCCTTAGTCAGAACAATGCTACAAACATATATTTGGTCACCCTTTCCCAAGAAATGTTTTATGTACGATATGTAAAAGCCTTAACTGGTACCACCTAAACCGAGTAGCTAGAGATACAACTGGAGTTAGAACTGAATGTGAGAATCACGAGACGTTAGCCACCATAAAGGTACTTAAAGTGCCTACTTTTGAAATGGATGATTGTGGGATTGTACATACATAAAGTCATGAGCCAGCTGATTCCCTAGATTGTACCAGCATAACAAAGTTTTACAAGATATCCTATCTATATGGATCAGCGGTTGCCAATGTTTTACTAAAAACTAATGTTGTTGCGTAAGCCAGTCACAGATTACTCTACGGTCTAAAACTCTATTTTGTACCTTATTTTTTGTTACTGACATGGTTACTGGGTCATAACAGTTGATGTAGCTCATAATGAGTCATTCCATAAGTTTGAATTGGTAAAAGACATAGTGTAGTCGGCAGAAATCAGTAATTTATATCAGTACAATCTGTATGTGGCTCACATCAACTAAGACAAATTTCCTGGCGACAACTTTAACATGGGGATGGAATGTCTAGTTTTACAGATTCAAAATTTTAACGCAGAGTTGACGTGTCAGTGCTGTGTAGGGCTCCAGTTGTATTTTTTCTAACTCAGTGTTTCGAGTCCTCGTCCAATAATAAGGTTGGTGGTTCTGTTAAAGGTTAGTAGTTTTGTAATGGTTTGAAGCGTTGCAAAGGACTCATTGATCCTTGGGTTTTTAATAAATGCCACAAAAAATGCTGATCTTAGTCAATGGCTACAAATGTCAACTCTCTCCAATAACTACCACATTTTTATTTAGATTAGATAAATGAAGTAAGGACCTATGTCACTTAAAAATAATCGAGGCACGCCAGTTTTGTGTTTTCTACTCCAGTGGTGACGAAAAAAGAGGATTGCACTATCAACTTCAGGTTTCCACCAGTAACAATTGAGAGGCAAGAAAATAGTCGAACATTGTTTAATTACTGCAAACCCCCTGATTAACCTTTTCTTCAGGCCATAGAACTAAGTCACTTCCACTCGTGAGATGTGATTATGGTTTTCAATGTGCTCTACAATCTCTATTTGAATGTGTTAACCCCAATTCAGTACCTAGTACGTAGATGCAGCCTCTGTAGGCAATGCAGGACACCCCACTACGCCGAGACCGCATGGGAGGCAGTATGGCCCACATGTTGGTGGCGGGGTCGTACACTTCTGCTGTGTTGAGGCATTCTCTACCATCAAACCCTCCGGTAATGTAGATCTTGCCTGGCGAAATAAAAATATAATCAAGGATATTGAGCACACTGACTTCAATTGGGTGTTGGATTGAAAATTATCATACAGGTTAAACTGTAGGTATAGTTTATCATCTATATGATGGAACCTGTATCCTGACCTTCTGTCTACCCGCAGAAATTATTTAAGTTCGGGCCAAGGTAGACGAAGGACCAGAAGACATGTTCCATTATACAGACTATAAAAGTTGGTAGGATTCATCAAATCAGATTAGCTCCACAGATATGATATGGCCACGTGCTTCTGAATTAAACTTCTTATTATTTAGGCAATGTTTGGATTCAAAGTAATCATTCTGAACACTCTACCTTGTCGGATTCACAATATTTTCCTTGAATTGGTCAACCTAAACTAAATCCACAGTTTCAGTTTTTACAAGTTCTCTCTGATTTACCGTTGAAGACGGTTGCGGATGCATCACTTCTCTGAACTGTCATAGGAGCTACCACAGTCCACTGGTTAGTTCTGTAGTCGTATTTCTCCACAGTGTTCTGTCTGTGATGTCCGTTGTAACCTCCCATGGCGTACAACATGTCGCCTAACACCACCACACTCACGTAACACCTGCAAGGAAATGTAAAAATGTATAAATTGTAGTTATGAAAATGTTTCTTACCATAGTGTACTATCGGTTGGCATATAGCCATTGAATAATTGTTTATGGATATTTGTTTGTTTGGGGAAACTAGAAATTTGTTCTGATCTATTTTACAAGATAGACACAATAAGTCGTGCATTATTTGCGCCAAATAGATCCTTAATTGCGCCAAGCACTCAAATGGTCCCAAAAAATGTTCCTTAGTTGCATCAAGCCAGGTAGGGATGAGTTGCCAGCAGAAGGTCAGGAATACCAAACTTAACCTAACCTAATCTAACCTAACATAACCTAACCTAACCTAATCTATTATAGTGAAAGAGGGTCGCCACTTAGCGCAGTTAATGAACGTTACGGGTGGCTCCCTGGAGTAGTATGCGCAACTCAGGAATACCCGACTACCTGACTCAGGTAAGCTGGCGCAATTAATGCCCGCCCACACAATATACCTCCGATATTTCTTGGTCAGTCGTCACGGACACTTTCATATAACTATTTCCTCTCTCTGAATTTTCAGGCTAAGGCTTACGATAACTTTGTTTCATGTTTACATACTCTACTAATGCTTACTCTTTCAGTGGAATGATTTTTTATCTCCTGTTACAAAAACATGCATAGACTTTACTTGTGAATTAAGCTGATTGACAAATTCTTTTCGCATATAATTTCCTTGCTAGAAACTTTCTTTTGTGGCATTTCATTTTCTTTCTAAAATTTTCAAACTATACGACCTGGCATGTATTCAGAGCCTCAATACGAAACAGAAAACTGTATGTTAAAACTTAAAGATGAAAGTAGTTAAACACGAATTTCCAAAGGCTACGGTTCAACGTAATAGTCATATTAATATTTTCATACCTCCGTTCATGCATTGGAGCAATTTCCCTCCAAGTTTTCGTCACAGCATTAAAGCATCTGCAGGAGTTGAAGTTTTCCATTCCATCGAAGCCACCGATGACATATATGTCTGTGCCAATGACAGCTGTGCCGTGGTAGGCCCTGGGCCCGGTAGGGTCCGCCTCGAGAATCTGTGGTTACGAAAAACAAAGGGAATATTGAATAAATATAATCAAAGCAATTAATGAAGTCTACTGCGAAGTTGACTTGACTTACTCTACTAGTTTATGAAGTCTCCCTCCTTTATTCTAAAGATATACGGTGCAGTGAAGATACCGAGAATCAAAGTTAAAACTTTTGTACAAGAACTTCTGTACCAACTGGGCACGGGCCTACTGAAAGCTCATCTATTGATGACGGTTACTTTACGTAGGTTCCGAAAATTGGGAGTGCAATGACCATTGGGTTCCAAGTTACTTTGATTGTTTATCTATTTAAATTAGTTGAGTGTCCAAGCCGAAACTCGAATCTTCGGAAACATTGGGAAGACGATCGCGGTAACCTCCATGACCAATATTCCTATAATAGTTCCTATTATAGTTTCCTTGTTCCTTGTAGCCCTCTGGATACTTTTAGTTTACTTCATTTACAATCTCAGCTTACCTGGATCCAGCGGTCCGCCCGGGTATCGTAGGTTTCCACAGCGTTGGTCGGACTTCCTCCGCTCCATCCCCCGATGGCGAACAACACCTCATGGGGTATCCTCGGTCTGGCGCACTCCGGCGTCAGCACTACTCCGTTCTGCTGAGTGATGGTCTCAACGTCCATCAGCACCTTCAACGTGTCTATCACTACTGGTCTGCAAGCCTCATTGCCCAGGATATACGGGTGGTTCTTCACCTACAGTGAATACATGGGAGATAACATAGGAGACCATAGCTATGAAATGGTATGGGAACATTCTATAAAATAAAATTGCCCTATAGGTAAATAACAAGGCTATATAGCTTTGCAGTCTTCAGGTTATACTCCATATAAACAAACGGTAAATAATAACTTAACCTACGGATTTCCGTTACTTTTGCTGTATATAAATAAATTATCCTATTTAAAACTGTACAGCAATTTTTCTTATTATCGTTGCTCTCCTGGTGCAAGAAACGTCTATCTCGTAAGGTCGTTTTCAAATATTCCACTCACAAATAGCAAGGGATCTCACAAATATCAGATCGAGATCTCCCCTCACAGAGAAAAGCACGATGATGTTCAACGAGATATTTTTAGCTTGACCTTATAGTTATCACTCAGGATGTATTTAAACCACTGCCTACCTCTTCTAGAAAGTACTGTACGTCCATCAGCCCCAGCCTGATACATTTGAGTAGAGCGACCAGATGAGGAATGCGGCTATCCTTGTCATGGTCGACCCAGCGGATTACAAGCTTCCACACTATATTCTCGTTCCTGACATTCAACAGGTCGGAGTCCAGGATGGGCACGAGCTCGTCCAGAGGCAGGGAGAGGATTTCCTGGGAGCTCTCGGCAACTTGAGGGAAGTTCTTGTGCAGGAACATTTGGGCGTCTTTCTCCAGATCATCAATGAAGTGGTTCCTGAGGAAACAAAAATTGGATATTGTTGATCAACATATAACCATTGATTTACCATCCAGGGGATAATAGTTTTGTCAACTGGAAATTACTTAGGTATTATTTTTGTTTTACTTGTTTAGATTACCTGAATTGTTTACAGATTTGGGTGGATTAAAACAACCTAGATAAATCAAACTGACATAACTTGCAAGAGATGTACAAACACATAATTCAAATCTAAGCACTTATAACGCATTTTACATTAAAATGTACCGTTAAACGTTATGTTACTGTAAAATGTAACCACCCAGTTATATATTCAGTAACTGTTTAGGCTATTGTTCAAAATTATGTAAATACATGTGAACGTTTTCTCCAGTAACAATAAAACATTACAGAAAAAACTTCGGAGAATATCTTTGTGTAATTAAATACATATTATTTAGCAAGTTTATAATTTTTTTCTTGATTTCACAATTGTGACAGTCAAAACTTTGTTAACAATCTTGATTTAAAATTCTTTAAAATTACCTATTTTCATCATTCACAAAATTAAAAGCTGAAAAGGTTTCCTTTAGGTTTTCTTTTCACCTCCACTCATAACCCTAATATCGTTTTTAAACTCCTGGCATTTCCTTTGAACTAACCCTCCCGAATTAACAATAAAATACATTGTAGCTTTGAATATCCGACTAACCTTGCGAACGTCCTGATGCTCAGACAGTTGTTGTGGTTCAGAGTGTTCTTGAGGAACTCCACGCAGGCCTTGTGGACATCCAAGAAGGAGAGATAATCTGCAGCGTGAAGGAGATGAAACACATTATCCAAGTTGATGTCCAGCTGACGATCGTACACGTAACTCAGCAAAACTTCCAACTCACTACTTCTGACGTTCCTTAGCTCGAATTTGTTACCCTCATCGATCCTCATGGGGTTCGTGAACATCGCTCTGGAAGCAAAATGTTCCTGAGGTTTTCGGAATTTTATCATTAGTTTGTAGTTTCTACAGGGGCTAAATTATTTTCAAATCCCCATTGTCCAATCCCCACACGTCCTTAATTACTTCTGACCTGTTACTCGACGTTGCTAGAGATTTATAACATTTATGGTTGTAAAAATACTTAGGAGGGTTACATCCGCCAGCTGGTTACCACATAAAAATGGCCATACAAAAAAGAACCTCGTGGCATTATTAATGTCTTTATCGAGTTGAAATAAACTGTAAAATATTTACAAAGATCCAAACTATGCCCTGGATTGACTGAAACTTCGTAATCATTTCATTAAGTATTTACAAAATAATTTTGAAAATCTGTTAATTACTAGTCTTTCTCACATGTGAAAATAATGAACCCCTATGTCTTTGATGGTGTGTGAGTGTGTGAGCTTCAAAAATAATTGTTAAACAATAATTTATCCCCATCCATTGGAAGCTCTGACATGTTAAGAGCACAAAAAGCACACAATCATTGGAAACAAATTAGTTTTAGAGTGTCGACAGCTTGTACCGCAGAGGCATGTTTAGAAACATGAGCATGTTCAGCCGCCATCTTGAATTGGCCGGGTAGAACCCTCTTAATCTTACTAATATCATTGACCTAATATTATAAATGTGAAAGTTTGTGTGTTTGTTTGTTTGTTTGTTTGAAGTTCAATCACGCATAAACTACTGGACGGATTTGGCTGAAATTTGGCATGATGATAGCTCACATTCCCGATTAATATATAGGCATATTATTATCTCAAAAATCCTTTCGGGCTCCGCCCCAGTGGCTCTGTAGCTCCCCATTAACACCTCGTTCATATTTAAAGGGAATTAAAGAATTTAGTCAGCTGTTTCAACTAAAATACCCCCGCCGCAGCAAACCTGCAGACTAAGCGAATTTCAACTCGTCTGATTACATTTTTACTAAAATATTTCCATAAATAAGACATATTATTCCCTATTTAAATAACATTAGATTTAACGAGTGCTTAGGTTTGCTGCTACGGGGAAGATAAAAAGTGTTTTTTGACCATACGTCAATAGTATAGGATGAAATAAATAAATTTGCCAAATTTTATCAATATATACCCATAAACAAGTAAACTACAACAATTTTCATTTTCTCCATAAGAATAACATGGGAATTTTTAATTACACTATTTTTGAATTTTCTCCGTGACCGTTAGGCATACAACAGCGCTTCAATATACTAAATTATTTCTTTTTTTAAGCTCTACAAAACGGTTTAGAAAGAAATCGCAAAATTTTTTGTTTTTAGGTTCAAAAATGGGAAAAACCCATTTTTACCCCGTAAAACCCCCCATAAACCCCCGTTCCCATGGTCCGATTATGCTGGATCGCGAACTCGTTCGAATAAACGTAGGTTTACACGTTTGTATCAAATTTCATCAAAATCGGATCGTTTTTGCTCGAGTTATCGCGCTAACGGACACATATATAAATATATAAATATATATATATATATGAATTTGAACGGATGGTGTTTTTGGCCTCTAGGGACCTCAAAATGAAAAATTAAATCGGTCTCGGGTCCAGGTCTTACCATGAGTACTACGGTAATAGCTTATTCCCTATATGGGAAATTCGCTAAAAGTTAGTTGGTTCTATGAATACAAAAGCATTAAAAAGTTATAAGATTTACCAACAGGGCAGCACTATATTTTTTTTCCATTTATGTAAACAGCTAATTTGAACTAAGCAGGAAAAAAAAAAAAAAAAAAAAAAAAAACTGTGATACGCAATGAGAACTGTCAAAAGTAGGATTGTTTACAGTTATGTTTATGTTTTTAATGCCACGCAAAGCTTGAGTATAACTGCAATAAGCATTTTAAACTCAAATGCCAACCCCGTACGAAGGACGGATACTCTGCTAGTGTCTAGATATATTTTTATACCAGTTTATAGTTTATATTCATAGTTTATATATTCATATTCATATCATAACTCGTTACTCACGCACATGCTTAGCATTGGGGATGGCAGAATGAATGTAATTTGATTTGATTCATTTCAAATTGGGACGCCAGCTATGTGCGTATATTAACCCAAATATGAGCTTTGTTACTGACTAAGACCAGCTGTTAATTAGTCAGGACCATTGATTGAAAGACCAATGATCAATTTTACCAGCTGATTACTTCAACTAGATGAAATGGCCTTAGGAAACTTATACCAAAGGACATGCAATTAGGTTTTCGTGGTTTTTCATTGTATCAAACACGATTACTAGGTACCAAATAGTATCAATAAGTTCGTCCTTGTATAAGCGGGATAAATTAGGCAATCATAAGATGTAATATTGTCAAACTCTTTTGAAACCATATGTTTACTACCAAACTATCAATACACGGTGATCATAGTGGCTAATTTAGTTGCTGACTTACTTGAAAAACCTGCTGTACGCCGAAAGAATGACTCTATGAACGGAAAAACTGCCTCCGTCGCTGCAGACGATGGTGGCGTCTATAAACTGCTTGTTGTCCCGAAAATCACGCCACCTCCTAGATATGCTGTCTAGAAGGACCTGGCTTTCTGTCTCATTCACGTTCGCTATAAGAAATTACTGTTTACAGATTTTCCTGATAAATTTAATAAATAGGAAAATTATATTTACTCCTGCCGATGAAAAAGTAAAAATTCTGAGTTGGTTAAAAGTTAGCACGTCGTTTTGTGTGTTCGAAATGTGCGTTAATCTTGGAGAAAATCTGAGTTTAAAGTCGGAATAATTTTTCCGCTAAAGTTTAAAAAAATACTCAAAAAAAGACACACAGTTATGAGTGATTCAGAATAACTATAATGATTTTACACTGTACACTGGAAAATACGCCTATATTCACTTCTTCAAATTACCTCGATTCTAATTCAGAGATGGTTTACCCTTTTCTGTAAAGTCCAAAGGGAACGCCCCAGTATTGTAAACTAATAACACATGTTTGACTTTAAAATTAAGTAGATAACATTTTTATTAGTATATTGCCTTTCAGCGCCGTCATCATAATATAGAAAACTCTGTGTATTAAAAAACTTAATGGATTGCGGGGAAAAACGTGGAGTTCTGTATAGGTTTTGGCGGTTTTAATAACCTTCTGGCGGCAAGTTTAGAAGTTTTACACGAAAATATATATAAAGCTTTGTCATGGTGACCAACTATTACATAGTTTTTCAAATGAATGTATGCCATATTATGGACTTCAGGCAACCCAAGCAAAATTTAGGTTGATACAATGATTAATATCCTGCTGTAAGCCCTGAAGCCTTATTTGAGAAATGTTTGATATCCTGATTATTTCGAGTGCACTGATGTAAACTTTCTCTTACCTATGTCTTTTTTTGTAAACTCTTTTTTATGTCTTTCTCTTATTTTTAGGAAACATTTTAAAGTGTGAACTGACAAAAGAAAGTAAAGTAGAATTCAACTACACTTCTCCTCAATGTACATAAAATAATATATTCGAAATAGAACCATTGACTATACACAGAAATGTGTATAGTCAATGATAGTACTCACCCGTTTCCATCTCCATCTCATCCAAATTGGAATCGAAACAAATTAATTTACAGTCACTGATAATTTACTAAGTGTTATTTGGTGTTCAAATTTAGTCCGCTGGTCAAAATACAGCATCGTTGTCATAGATACTCTTTCTGATTGTTTTCAAATTCGCGTTCCCATACTTGTTACCCTAGATTAGGCAAGGTTTAGTGAATTATAAATATTATTAAAAAAGTTTATAAACCGAGATACGAAAATATTAATTGCACTCTATTTTATTACAAACCAAAATAACGCTCTTTGGTATTATAAATCAATAAACTAAATCGTATCTTACTTTTAGCATTTCTAACAGATTGTAGAAAGTTTATTGATTGGATTTAAACAAAACTAAATTCGACATAAATATATTTGTACATTGAGATTGTACCCTTATTTATTACGGATATATTGCATGAAAACCCTTCCAACTTAAAGACTTAATCAACTCAGTTAGAAAGAGCATTAATAAAGCACTTCCAAAGGTTACATTTGCTTGGACTCTCTGTTCTGTTGACTAGGGAAGCAACGATTTTTACTCTTTCATAACTATGGTACCAGGTCAAGTGCATCGAAGTATGCCTCTAGTTGCATTATGCAGTAGCCATTCCATCCAGGGAGATCTTCTTTACTGCATTGTTATGCATTCGCATTGTCCAGATTGTGATGGTACTTCTAGATACAGAATGATTTGAGCTATAACTAGGAGGATTAAACAATAATGTTTAATCCTCCTAGAGCTATAACCTAGTAAACTTCTTGAGTAAAAAAATAAAATTTGCTTACAGTCACCGACAAAGTGGGCTTCATGATACGGATTATAATACAGAAAGTTACTAATTACTGCATTTACATACTTTTGCCACACTCTTCTACATTTTTTCCGCACTCTTTTTTTGACGCACTCCTGTATTCCAACCAAACAACACAAAACAGCGAGCTTTTTAAGCACGTAATCCGTGTACGCTTGAAAATAAGTTGGCAACTTTTAAAGACACGACGACTACGATCAGCTGGTGCAGTGTTTCCCTTAAACGCTTGGATTTAATCCAACCTAAAAATGTGTAGTACAGTATAGTTTTTGAAAGACTAAGTATATAATCAATAAAAACTATAAAAACTATACTTGTACTATACTAGGTGGCGTTCGCAAAGGCATCCACAAAATTGAGCGGAGTCATCAAGGGTTCATATTATATTGTTGTTGTTATACTGCAGTAAAAACAGTCGTTTAACGTGGGCATTTTTCCATCCCTTCTCATTCTCATAGCATTTCAGCATTGCAGATACATTAATCCAACTGCTACAAACGGTTTCCAGTTCCCACACTCCACACTGATCACCTTACTACTTGCTTCACCTCTTCCTACGTCGCGGACCATTTTCCCTCTCTTTCAAGAGCATTTTAAGATTGTAGAGACCTTAATCTAATCGTCATACCCAGTTCCCACAGTTCGGACAGCTCGCCTTTACTACTTCCTTCACCACTTCCTACGTCCCGGACCTGTTTTCCTCCCTTTCCATAGTATTTTAAGATTGCAGATCCCTTAATCTAATCGTTATAAACAGTTCCCACACTCCGGACTGCTCGCCTTTACTACTTCCTTCACCACTCCCTACGTCCCGGACCTGTTTTCCTCCCTTCCCATAGCATTTTAAGATTGCAGATCCCTGAATCTAATCGTCACAAACAGTTCCCACACTCCGGACTGCTCGCCTTTACTACTTCCTTCGCCCCTTCCTACGTCACGGACCTGTTTCCCTCCCTTCCTTTAGCATTATTGAAATGCAAATACCTTAATCTATTGGTCATAAACAGATCCCACAATCCGAACAACTCGCCTTTACTACTTCCTTCGCCACTTCCTACGTCCCGGACCTGTTTTCCTCCCTTTCCATAGCATTTTAAGATTGCAGATCCCTTAATCTAATCGTCATAAACAGTTCCCACACTCCGGACTGCTCGCCTTTACTACTTCCTTCACCACTCCCTACGTCCCGGACCTGTTTTCCTCCCTTTCCATAGCATTTTAGAATTGCAGATACATTAATCTAATCGTCATAAACAGTTCCCACACTCCGGACTGCTCGCCTTTACTACTTCCTTCACCACTTCCTATGTCATCGACCTGTTTCCCTCCCTTCCCATAGCATCATAGGATTGCAAATACCTTAATATAATGGTCATAAACAAAACCCACACTGCGGACAGCTCGCCTTTACTACTTACTTCACCACTTCCTACGTCGCGGACTTGTTTTCTCCCCTTCCAATAGCATTTTAGGTTTGCAGATCCCTTAATCTAATCGTCATAAACAGTTCCCACACTCCGGACAGCTCACCTTGACTACTTCCTTCACCACTTCCTACGTCGCGGACCTGTTTTCCTCCCTGCCCATAGAATTTTAGGAATGCAGATACCTTAATCTATTCGTCATAAACCGTTTCCACGTGGTTTGCACACTCCAGACTCACCTTTACTACTTCCTTCACCACTTCCTACGTCACGGACCTCAAGTTAATGTCGTCATTTAATTATATTCATGATCCGTACAGTTTCTGTTCTAATATCTGTGGAATAATGCTATCAGCTATTTCTCTATCTACTGCATTCAAAAGTCAACAGCTGATCATATGTCTTTGTTTATGTGTCAAATACTGCTTTCATAAGGATTACATTGAAACTTTGAGACCCAGTGGGGCGGATTCCTGAGAGACTTTTTTAACGCGATATAGATGTTGGCACTCACCGGTATGGTCTTTATCACCATGCAAAATTTGAAAACGATTGATTCAGCCGTCTAGGAGGAGTTTGCGTATTACGAAATGCATAAGAGTCGACGTATAAGAGCTTCGCTCGCTTCGCTCGCTCCGCTCAATAAAACTATGTTGTATATAGTTTTTGAAAGACTAAGTATATCTATATATATAAAATCCAATGTATGTTTGTATATTTGTATATTTGTATATTTGTATGTTTGTATATTTGTATATTTGTATGTTTGTCCTTTATGGACTCCAAAACCGCTCGACAGATTGTAATGAAACTTTCAGGCATTATTAAGTATTATTCAAGGATGGTTTGTGTGAAGTTTGGTGCAGATCCGTCAATAGGGCTCCGCCCCAGTGGCTCTGGAGTTTCCCATGTTAACCTTATGCGTACTCATATTTAAATGGAATTAAAGAATCTTAACAGCTGGTGCAACTAAACAATTTGATTCTATGATGTTCAATAGAATTAAAAAGTTAATAGGTTTACGAACAGGGTGCAGCACTATATTTATTTTTAATTTATGATAACAGCTAATTTGCAACCAAAAGGTGAGTGAGCGTAGCGAACGAACTTCAACCTGGAGGCGAGTTAGCGTAGCGAACGAGCTAACCTGAAGGCAAGTGAGCGCAGCGAACGAGCTCCAACCTAAAGGTGAGTGAGCGTAGCGAACGAACTTCAACCAGGACGTGATTGAGCCATGCGAACGAGCTCATCTTGAAAATGAACGAGCATGTGACATAAAACCACAATAGGACAGGACGACGTCTGTCGGGCCAGCTAGTAATCAATAAAAACTATAAAAACTATACTGTACTACACATTTTTAGGTTGGATTAAATCCAAGCGTTTAAGGGAAACACTGCACCAGCTGATCGTAGTCGTCGTGTCTTTAAAAGTTGCCAACTTATTTTCAAGCGTACACGGATTACGTGCTTAAAAAGCTCGCTGTAGTATTTATATGCTTCATAGTAACTGTAGGAAAAATATAATTTGTAACACGAACGCGAAGTGTAATATGATTATATAGCTTAGCTAAATAAACATATTACACAATTTTGATAGCCACTCTATGCTACAGTTTGCACAGTAAGCAATCAATTCGGAACTCAAGAAATTTTGCGTGATTCTGGTAGAATTACAGGTGTATTAGTTTGTTGGAAATTAAGGAAATAAGTAATAGCCTAACATAATTACGCCTTAAGACAAATTAGTATTTTTTCTTCTGGCTTGGTATTTAATAGATGTTGTATACAGTACTGTGTTAAAGACACTGGTTTACAATTTTGTGTCATGTGAAAACAGCAATTAGAGACAAATTAATGTTTGTAGGACTTTAGATGAATACAGAATTTGATTAACGTTTTCTGCAAACAATTGTGTATATCAAGATATACTGGTAAAACAGCAGGACAAGATAATTTATGGAAATTATTGAGAAATTATTATGATGAAAATCGGTAACGTAATGATAAAACAAATTATTAGATGGATTTGTATTTAAATTTTTCACTTCATTTGATATTTTTGTGTAATTACTTAAACAAAGTATTAACTACCACAGTAAAAAAACTATGTCAATTAAGAACAAGAATAAGTTAAAAATCTGTGGTTTTTCATCGTTCACATGTTTACAAAAGTTTGTAAAATTTTGACGAAATCAATTGCGTTGACTTAAAAACATTCAGATTCCACAAATAACACACATGACGCATAACATTTCAGGATAGGAGAGTCTGTCCAAAAAAAAAAAAAAAAAAATGCGGAAGATCAATATAATTGCTAATGTCATAATAATGTCTTAAACACAAACTGACAAATAGGCTTTTTTACGATAATATTTTTACGTAATTGTTTCGAAACCGTGTTCACCAACTTATTTTTACTCCTGTGTCCTGAAAACAAAAATATTGATGTTTTTCAACATCTCGTACATGTTTACCGATCGTAAAAATTTGCTGAAAACAATTTCGTAAACTTTAAAACACTCTAGCTGTAAAATACAGTAATGACAGCAGTGTCGCGGGACCGATTTGTCAATAGGTGAATGAAGCGAATGGACGTTCTAGTTTCTGTGTTTGTTCCATCAAACAGACAGACAGACAGGCAGACAGACAGACAAACAGACACTTGATCGTGTCTCGTTAACATCTCTGTTTCTCTCAATCTCACTTCAACTCCCGACAATCCGTAAACATTTTGTTCCAAGGTTTGTTTAACTAAAAGCCATAAACTCAGCGATTGTCACTTAACGACTTTTCAGAGTCCATTGTTTTGATGTTGACCCATAAACTACTCAGGAAAAATTGCATTTGACGAGACAAAGGATTATTTATAGTTTTACTGTGTTAATGACGTATTTGAATTGTACAAATATTAACATTTTGTTTCTTTCGCCTTTTGATAATCTGAACTTTGCTTTCCTTTTCCATTTGTGCGTTTAATTTTCACGCTTACTTGAATTTAATTTTTATGATTGTGAATGGTTCGCTCTAATGGTTTTATGAATCTGTTTACGTCGTTAATGTAGCAATCAATCAATCAATCAAATTATTTAAGATTGGGACGCCACTATGTACATATTTTAACCCAAATATGAGTGAAGGATGAGTGTAGGATGAGTGGCGCGATCTTGTAGTCTTGTTAGTGACTAAGGCCGACATGTTCCTTAGACACAGCTATTAATTAATAGCCCATACAGCTAATGACAACTAAGGTACCTACAGTTTATAGTGGAATCCGAACCACATTTTTTCTTTGGTATTAACGAATTGGTCTAATTATCAGGATAGTACTGCGGATAGTCGTAGTACTCACTAGTGCGGATGTTATCCATACCAGGGAGTATCGCATCCACAGTGCATTCCTATAAATATCCACAATTCGTGACCTCCTAGTAGATGGATTAATACTCTTTACACATGACTGCTCGTACAACGTAAAAGTAACGCTTAAAGATAATATTCAATATTATAATTTAAACTTAGGTTATCACATGAAGGACCTTTTTGGCCGGAAAAGAGGTTGGCGGCCCTTTTAACCTAGCAATTTCAAGTACGCTTGGATCTCAAAGACTTGTCGGCTGTTGGTGGAGCCATAGATTAAGGGGTAGACATTGTAGCATATATCTACTATTTAATCTGTTTATCAAGAAAAGCAAGGGGTGAGCCGGTACAGTACGTGTATGGACCGTACTGATATATTTTTAAGGCCACTCAGGGATGTGAGCCCACGACTTTGCTCCCTGGGTTCCACAAATTTGAATCACATAATTGAACAATGCTTTATTGTAGAATAGAAAACTCGTATGTTTTAAGACATAAAATGAACACACAAACCTATAGACTTAAAGCATAACTTTGACATAAGCATGGTATCACCGAAATTGAACTTAAACAATAAAAACTCTTTAGAAATACACCACGAAAGACGAGTTAATGTTTTTAAAAGAAAATCAAGGAAGAAACCGACAAAGGCTTTTGTCTGTAAACAACTTAGTTAGTGGTTTAATATATTTTCCACTATCATGTCTAGTGTCACACTCAAAAGGAACTCACTAACCAGCTCAATCCGATTTTTTCTTTAGATAAAACTAAACACTATTCACAAAACATTGGTTTTTATTGTTTGTTTGGAACAGTTGGCGTTTTAATAAATATTTTATACTCAGTATTATTAGTATTAGTTAAAAAAATGCCGGTATTATTATTAGTATTTTTATACCAGTATTATTATACTTTTACCAAACCATTAAGGAAAAAAATAGTTCGCTTAGCACCGTATGCTGTTTGTTTTGCAATGTGGGTATTTTTTTAAGTTCACCCGGCAAGCCATTTGTACATTTTTATAAACTATCGAATTGAAAAAAATCGACTTTGTAAACGAGTGAAGTATGTTATAGCCTGATATTAAAGTTATATTATTTAGTTTTCCCTTTAAAGTTAAGTTTTAGAAGGTCAAGAATATCTGCTTACCAATTAATACGAGTAACTTAAGCCATATTATGTTGTGTTAGTAAAAAAGGTGAACTTGTATTGGAATATATGGAAGATAATTGATGCAATATCTGTATACAGGGCCCCCTCCCCCCCAAAAAAGGATGGGAACATAATTTACGTAGTGATTTATTGGGTGAAAATAAGGAGAAACTAAAGAATAAAACTGGTTTACAAAAATGCCTCGTTAAACAGATATCCGCCGTTTTGTTTTTAAATAAACATTTTTATCTTTGGATTATTATAACAGATCTTTATGAAACTTGATATGTATGTTGTAGGTCCATGTTTGAAAAAATATCTTTAAAACTTCAAAATGGTGGCCATTTTAATTTTGTACATTTTAATTGCTAAAAATTGCTGATTTTATGGCAAAAATATTAAAAACGCGTTTATTTTGTATCAAAAATTTTCTAGCAAATGACACATAAATTAAAAAAAATAAAAAAAATTTTTGAAATATCACGATTTTTAGTTGCAAAATACAGTACCTATAGAAAAATGAGATAAAAAGCCAATAACATTCTTGATATTTCAGCTATTTTTATTCAATATTTTTGAACTTGGTGCCGATTGATGGAACATTGTAAACACTGAATAAAAGTTTTCTAGACACTTTCTTTACAAAATTAGCCACTTTTTGTAATTTAAATTTTAAAAACTAAAATTGCCACCATTTTGAAATTATAAATTGGACAAAAATAATTGTTTTTCCAACATATACACAAGTATTTTATACCTCATAAAAATTGGTAAAATCGAAAGATAAAATTTTTATGTAAAAAATACAAACTGGCAGATATCTGGTTAACGAAGTGATTTTGGAAAATATTTTATTCTTGACTAGCTGGGTGCCCGTTCTACGCACGGGGATCTTATCATAGTTAGTTGAAACCTTCTTATATTAAGAACAGCAGTTGGTTTGCATATTATCAGATATGTTGGCAAAACTATTATATATAAACCTTAGCAAATACAGTATCTGACAGTAGTGACAGTTTCGAGCCAAAACAAATGCTCCGCAATTAAATGTCACCCGGATCGTGTTGGTCCATATGTTAAATCCAATGATTAAACTAAAAAATGCTTTTCATTTACGGTTACACTATATTGCACTTACGATTAATTAAATCCGTTATGTGAGAAAAACGTTTTTAATCTCACTTGGTTGGGATTTGCTTTCAAAATGTGATCGAAAATGGTTGCGGTATTTGTAAACATATCAGTGAAAGCTAGAAAAAATAATCTTGATCCGAACAGCTGTTCGTTATTTCCTGGATGATTATGTGATAAAAATTTTACAAAACTTGACAAAAGTCGCACAAAACTGCATTTTTGAACGTCCGTAATTTTATTTACAATGTAGTGAGGCCATATTTTAATGGCTAAAGACACTCTCGCCAATCCAGTGAATACATTAAAATGACTTGGATCTTGATAGGTACTCTCGTTTTCCTAAAGAAGATAGCGTAAAATGCCATCTTGAGTGTTAAAGACAGACAGACAAACAGAAATAGAGATAAGACTCGTTTCTGCTTCTTTAATGTATAAAACGTAAAAATAACCTTAAAATGTATAATTCTGAGCAATGTACAGACAAAACTCTAATTTTATTTATATAGAAGATTTTCTTCTATTTTGACTCAAGGAAACCCTTCCTAAATCATGTCCCAATCTTTTTTTAACACCCTGTATAATATTAAATTGTATATCATGAATTTATTTTCATCAAAGATGTGCAGTCATAAATTTCCCAATGCGGAAACACTCACCATTACCGTAGCAAATATGAGTTGCCTATCAATATACAGTATAAGTTGCTCTTTCTAAAAGGCAGAGTAGGATGCTGTTCCCATGCATCGGGGGCTCAACTACACCACTAATTTATATTTATAACTATGTAAAACTGAATAGAAATTAAACTTGTAATTGTGGTAACCACATAGATGCATTAATCAGTATTTTGTAAATATTAAACTTGTCAAAAACGTATACTTTATTTGGTACCATTTCCATTTACACCCGATAAAATATTATTTTTTTCACCTGTAACGTTTTTTATTCAATGAAATATTTATGATTTCAACTTTAATAGATGCTTGGAGGAAGCCAAATAGCATATTATATCAAGTTCAGAGGTTTGGTAAGGTCAGCACATAAATACTCAATACATTCAAAGATAAATATATTTTTTAACAGAAAAAATATTTGTAAAAATTAAAATTTACTATGAATTACACTTACACAAATATATCTTCTTACAAATTACTATCTCTTAATACAATACGTGTTCATGTAACAGCATTCCCTTCATGTAGAATATACGTCTAAATCTTTAATATTTAAAATATACAAACAATAACAATTTCTATCCATATTATCACATCGTCTTATGTCCTAGTAACATTCTAGAGCAATTCTATTTCCTAAAACTATGAAAGACATCAAACTAACCTACACACATAACATCCAACTTAAAACTTGAATTTACAATCTAATACATTATTAAAATTACACTGAACAAGTAGTTTTAAAACTTAAGGAATGCAGACACAGGAACGTGAAAAGTCATATTAAAAAAAAATTTAGGTTACTTTGAGTTTGATAACTAAAAGCTTATAACTTATTAATAAAAACTTTTTAGATATCAATCCTTATAACTTTGTAAATTTAAAAACTTTCGAAAATTGAAATGAATATAAAAAAAGCCGTTAATGGACACATCAACCAACAATATCTTCAGCCCAGAATATTATCTGATTGTGCTATACACCTGCATTGTTTAATTCGCAGAATCTTCTTACGTCGAATAGTTGTTTTCTTCTTTTTCCTGCATCTCAAAGTGACGGTGATCCAAGAAGATATCTTCGGCCTGCAGAAGGCACAAGACCTGAATGCTGAAAGGTCTTCATCGGGCTTTCCTGATTTACCCTGAAAAAAAGTATGTTGGCTAATTTGCTATTTTGATGGGGAAGCCTAGAGATATACATGGTTTTATAGACCTACTATTCTGTAGGTTGTTTACTTGACAAAGACAAGTTTCTTTTTTAAGCCTAAATGTAGTTGTCATTTGTTATTTGTTTCGTCAGTAATCTAATTCTATCTTCACTAGTTTGCCTTTAAACTACACGCTCTGTTTTTTTCAGAATAATTATGCTATTGAAAAAGCGTTGTACCTGACTTGTACATTTTTCAAATAACGAAGACGGTTGGAAAAGGGATCTGTCTTCGGCCAATGAATGCACCTTATTCATTGGCCGCAGTTAGATCACATCCCTGACTACATTCATTATTTAAACACACTATAGCCAATAAATTTAATTATCCCAGTGTGTGGATGTTACTGGACTGGAGTTTTATCAAAGTTGATCAGGGTTTGGGTTATGAACAAATATGCTTATACAATGGAGAAGTTTAAAGGAGGTTAAGAATGGTAATTTAAAATCTGCCATTTTACGTTTCGATCCTAAGAACGATTGATTCTGGAGTTGTATGGGCTATTTATAATTTTTTTTTACAAATTTGTCACCGAAAGTAACAAAACTAAGGTTCAGTAACAAATACAAAGGTTCCTATACAAAATACAAAAAGTACACCCCAAGTATGAAAGCAAAATAGTGAAATTAAAATAATTCTCAATTTTGTTTTACTATGGGATTTTTTTTCATTGAACACAAATAACAAAAAACCCCAAAGAACATGAAATTGTGCTGGAGGTTTTTAAGCGTATCAACCCGGTTTGAGCTTAGTTGCGTAAATACCTTATCTAGGCCATGATAGCTAGTTTTGATGGTCTTCCTTGAAATATTACAGTCTGTATGATGGAACCTGTCTCCTGACAGTTTGTCTACTTGAGACTGGCATGGGTCTTAAGCCATTGGCCAGTACCCAGGAAGATTGGGGGCTGAAGACAGGTTCCATCATTCAGAGTATATAATCAACATTACCTTACGCCTTGGTCCTTTGGGGATGTAGAAGGAGTTACATTGGCCATAGCAGAACCTATTGAGCACTGTGACCGGAGAGCACCCTTCTTCCTGGACGACCTGGACCAGCGGCTCTGACTTGCACCAATCCCTGCGGAGATACTCCTTCCTGGTGACCAGAAGTGCATCCTTGCTGGACCGCAGGAGGCTGCTTCCGCGACGTCGCAGGATATCCTGGAGTTGGTGGTCCTCTGTGGAGTTCCTGCAGAGAGAGTTATCAGTGAGATATGTTGTGATACTCGAGAGAAAAATAAATTCAATTTATGGTCAATAGTTCAGTTTTGAATTAAAACATTACGAGGTGTTAGCCCGTCCTACGTACGGGAATTCAGTAGGCAGTTAAAACCGTGTACAATTCAGATCAGCTAGTTTACACATATAAAAACAAAGTTTCTTGCATTTTTAATGTGAAAAATCATCTTGTTAACAAATGTTGTGTGACCAAATACGTTTTTATTCCATCATAGGCCTATACGATATGCATTTTAAATCCGATAATTTTACAATAAAACAGCAATTCTGTAATTTTTACGATGTGAAAAGCGTTGAAGTGAGATTTGCAGCCGATTCGCACAGACGCACACTGATTATAAGTAGCTTACAGTAGAGAGAGTAATAGTCAATTGAGAAGTGTATAGACCTAGTCAACGATACCACCATCCATAGCATACCTGCCTCTTCCATAATTATTATCACCACAATACAACTACTATATACACAATTTCCAGTAGGTCTGAATAGAAACGACCTAAAAAAAACGATAATATCCAATAAAATTCACAGTACACATAATTTTACTTTGGTGTCCTAACATCAAAACTAATCGTCACACCTATCCTTTATATCAATTTCGCTGCATTAATTGCTAAATAAATAAGTGTAAACAAAGAAAAGTAAAAACAATAACAGATTGTTCTGAAACAGCTGTTTGGTTCAAATAACATTAATTTGAAAAAATAACTGGTCACATGTAGCAGGAATATAAAAAGTAAACACGCTAGTAAAGCTAATGACGTAATGGTCAATGTTTATTATCCATACCGTTATCTTACTAATATTATAAATCTGAAAGTTTGTGAGTTTGTGTGTGTGTGTGTGTGTGTGTGTGTGTTGCTCAATCACGCATAAACTACTGGACGGATTTGGCTGAAATTTGGCATGATGATAGCTCACATTCCCGATTAACATTAAAGCATATTCTTATCCCAAAAACCCTTTCGGGCTCCGCCCCAGTGGCTCTGTAGTTCCCTATGTTAATTTTATGATTTTTCATATTTAAAAGGAATTAATGAATCTTAACAGCTGTTTCAATTAAACAAGTTGGTTCTGTTCTATGTTGTTCAATAGCATAAAAGTTACAAGGATTACCAACAGGGTGCAGCACTATTATTATTTTTTTTTGTGGCAACAGCTAATTTCCAACCAAATGGTGAGTGATCGTAGCGAACGAACTTCAACCTGGAGGCGAGTTAGCGTAGCTAACGAGCTAACCTGAAGGCAAGTGAGCGCAGCGAACGAGCTCTAACCTAAAGGTGAGTGAGCGTAGCGAACGAACTTCAACCAGGACGTGAATGAGCCATGCGAATACTTATGAAGTTAAACGGGGCAAAGCCCGCGGGTACAGCTAGTCAGTTATATCCTTGATAATTACCCACCCTCATTGAATAAATGTACATAGTATTTTCCCATATTAGTTAATTTAAACTACAATATATTCATAGTTAAAATAAAAGTGATTTTTTCACGTTTGGGGGCGCTGATATAGGCACCCCCAAACGTAACCACAACTGAACACGATTTCATAAAAGGATGGTTTGTCTAATTGCAGTATCCTAGGTCAATGTTGACGTTGTGTTCAATCTATGTCATCCATCTGTTTATCTTTGTATAAAACCCGGCTGAGGTTGTGGTGGTAATTTAAAATCGTGATTCATGTTTATTCTTGATATTCTTTTTATGACATCAATATTTCCGGGCCTAATCCAAAGAAAGTTAAAGCAGACAAACATTAATTGTAAACAAAAAGCTACCATGGAAGAATTAAAACATGTAAACATTGTTATTTTTCTAATCTTTCCTTGAAAAGTGGAGCAGTAAAATAATTTGCATTTATCATTTTTTTATTAAGACTCGTGTACAGAGCCTCGATTTGTTCTGTGGTTTAGTTAATTTTGGTCTAAACTATTTTAAACTGTGGTCTAATTATATCTACTAATCTTACTTATTTCCTATAATCAATGACAAAATAAGAGTAAATAAAATAACCTCATAGTTCCATAGTTTATATTTAACCAGCTGTTAGTTAAAACAAATTATATTGCTCTAAAACAAATCGAAGATTACAAAGATTGCTTTAAAAAATAATTTGAACATCCTAGTATTTTACTATGTATATTTAATTAACTGTCATCCTCTTACAGAAGAATTGAACGTATCAATGATAAGTATTACACATAGTATAAATTAGTCAACCCTAAGTATGTCTTTACATTTTTATCCAAATGCTGAATTTGTGACACAAAAGCTGAATGTTTACAGCTGTTATGTTAAGCAAATTATTTTATGCCAAAAGCTAGTTTAGAATCTTAGCGTCGGCTGCTAGACTTTTTAAAAATTAAAACTTAATTTCTAAAAAATGGGACCCTAAACTAAAATTATGGCTTCGACATTCCCTAGTTCTCAAAATTATCTTTCTTTCAACACAAAAATCATGAAAATCCGCCGAGCGGTTGATTCAGAATCGTGAAATAAAAAAAAACACTGTTTCATTTAAATTTATAGACGAGCTGTTGGCCCGTCCTACGTACGGGAATCGAGTAGTCAATTCAACATAAATAGGATTCAGAAAAGCTAGTTTACAACTTGGTGGCCGATTCACACACGCTGGCTTTGAGTACAGTAGCTACATACCACCTTCCACTGCATAGGCCTACTATCACTTACCGTACCTTATTTTACCACCTTGGCCAATGAAACCTCTAAAATGATCCTTGCCTCCCGTTCTCTTCTATCCCCTGCCATTTCTGGACGACAGGAAGACAGGAAGATACCATAGTCTGAAGATGTCTTTCATTACTTGGTCTTCCAAGTGGTCGTCTACCTTGTAGTACTCCTTGGAATACACTTTTAAAAGTTGAAGTATCTTCTCTCCACCATTCAAAGCCTGTCCAGCCCATCCGAGATCCGAGCCTTTTGGTCTACTTTTGGAATGTACCACTTTATCAAGTTTCTGAATCATACACCGGTTGACATTTTCATGTGTACTGTATGCAGTCATACTTATATTCAAACATCTAGAAAAGGATGTATCAACACGTAAACCACTTATATCTTAAAGGATTAAGCACTTATACTTAGACGGATATCATTTATGACAAAACTTGATTATACGTTTAAAATGTTTAGTTCAAAATTACACAATCTCCTGATAACATAGATCTTTTACGGTAGAAAATAAACTGCATTTTAAAGTAAAATAGTGTGGAAGCAAACTCTGACGATCAATATTTTTGTATACAAACAACTTGTAACATAAACATTTCAATGACAGTTAGAAACCAGCTGTTAGTTAAACCAACACTAAAACGACTTTAACTCGTCCGTCGGCTGCTAGACTTTTTGAAAATTAAAACTTAATTTCAAAAAAACTGAAACCCTAAACTAAAATTATGGTTTCGACATTCCCTAGCTCTCAAAATTATCTTTCTTACAACACAAAAATCATAAAAATCCGTCAAGTGGTTGATTCAGAATCGTGAAATAAAAAAACCCTGTTTCGTTTTAATATATAGGATGTTCTACAAGCTCTTCAGGTATCAAAAAGCATAATGGAATTTTGTGTTAAAACGCTGGCCAGAATTTTCGCCACAACGATGTCATCTCCCCAAAGACCCAAGATTTGACAATCGTCTCCAAATATTTTAATACAACCACTTTCATCCCGCACCTCAATATTGACTCTGTGGTCTCTTCTTCTAGAAGGGAGTTGTTGTCGAGTAGGAACTCCTTGGATGAGTTTGCTCTCCTCTCAGCCACGATCCTCTCTACCGCCTTCGTGTCTATCATGTCCAGGATGGAGTCCGCAGCCACGGAGGTGAGGACAAGGACCAGCAGGAAGCAGAGGGTCGCCATCCGACACTGAAGAACAACGTTGTATTAACAATCAAATATTTTGAAGTTTTAGTTGGACAATGTAATGGGAGTAGGTACGCTTGCATGATGGAGTTATGACCAGACTTGCCTGTGGAGAGAATTTTTTTAAATACGCATTGATTTGCATTTGCACTCAGTTACAGATCAAGCCTAATCGTCCACAATAACTTGAGGGAAAGTGCAGTTGATTGAGAATAACAGCTTAGTGAACACTAGGGTTTGTGGAAGGAGGCCCTATTTGGTCTGAGTTTAATAAATCTTAGTCCTTAGGGTTCAGAAACAACGAAAACAAATGAACAGGTGTATTTTTTTGAAATGGAAAATAAGTCCAGCTGATTTGCTGAATATGTTAGGAAAGATCAAATCATAAATCTTTGCTTAGGATATTTGGAATTGTAGTCTGCATTGAGGATATAAAAATATAAAAAGCTACTATCACAGATGGTATTATTATCTGTTTTCATCGACAAAGATACATTAATATTGTACGTCATGATATTATGCTAGTGTTCTTTCCCATACAGATATTGAACAACTTCGTTTAAAGTTTAGTTCGCCTTACTTTTTTTTAACATCCAAATATTAAACTCATGATATTATGCTAGTGTTCTTTCCCATACAGATATTGAACAACTTCGTTTAAAGTTTAGTTCGCCTTACTTTTTTTTAACATCCAAATATTAAACTCATGATATTATGCTAGTGTTCTTTCCCATACAGATATTGAACAACTTCGTTTAAAGTGGAGTTCGCCTTACTTTTTTTAAAGTTCCAAAAACAATCCTAAATATAAAATAAAAATTAGAATTTGAAAGACCTAAGCAATCCAACCAATCTATTTCACTCATCTCACGTTTGCTACATTAGGTGGTTTGGGATTTGGAAATTACTAAGACGAGAGATAGTTCGTAACATGTAAATGTCAGTGCTGTGACAATACCTCTAGACAGATGGCTTTTATTTGAAGGTCATTTTGGCGGCAAATGTCAGCTGGCAGACGAGCATTTGGTTCGACTCCATTTTACTGTGTCCTGCAATCATATAAATGAACAATAGAAGACTAGTTTCGCTTTTACTTTTTTTATAAACTGAGAGAATATGTTTTGGTTGTAACTATTTCTAGGATTTTAACTATATTTTAATTAGTATGAAGTCGTTAGATGAAGTCAAACGTGTTTATTCCGTATACATAAAAAGAACCTTGCCAATCTCCAAAAGTGTCTATTGTTAAAAGAATTATTGACATTGTGCATTAATACAGCTTAGTGTAATTTACGTTGCTTGTACGCCAAATAACACGTCTATCATAGGGAAGTAAATTTCGGTACAGTATTTGTTGTCAAAAACAATATAGAATAGTAATAACGTTATCGTCTTACTGCAGCAAAAGCGGCCGCTTTTTACATGAGTTGCGAGTCTAAAGTAGCATTTTTACTCCATAAAGCCTTTTTAATCTCTGGGAAGTAAAAATCAGCTGTTGTAAACAGTAGTAAATTTCGATTATAGCAATCGCATGGATCGAAATTATATATCGATTGATTTAGGTAAAGGTTTAGCTTATTGTTGCGTTCTTGCCAATCGACATATCGATGGTTACAGTGAAACACTCGTAATAGACGAAATGATTGTATCACTTATTAAACAGCTGCATATTTAAATTAGCAAAATTGGAAACAAGCTGAAAATTGTTTTGAGAGGTTATCTATGAAAATTATTTTCTATTCTATGTACTCGAACGTTAAGAGCTAATGTTTATGAGGGACTTATTGTAAACAACAACAGAATAATCCAACTCAAACGGTTGATCAAATATAGACAACTCTTAAATACATAACACGCATACATGTTAGTAAACACTTATAAGTAAGTATATTTTATATTTGTTTAATTTATGAATACTCTAGTTTTGTATTTACGTAAGGTTTTATTAATTTTGTATAGATGTTTAGGATTCTTAGCAAATCATGCCAAATTTCAGCCCAATACGTCTAGTAGTTAATGTGTGATTGAACTTCAAACAGACAAACAAACTTTCACATTTATAATATTAGTAAGATAAGTAAACTGTTGTAGTTTGCTTGTTTGCGATCATATTTTGATAAAATTTGGAAAATGCATCCATTTCATACTAAACTATTAACATTTTACAAAAAACACCTTTTTACCCTCCCTGTTGCAGCAAACCTAAGTACTCGTTAAACTAATGTTATTTAAATAGGGAATAAATGTGATGTTTTTAAGGAGACATTTTAGTGTAAATCCAGTCAGGCAAATGGGAATTCGTTTAGTCTGCAGGTTTGCTGCGGCGGGGGTATTTTTTTTATCGGGACAGCGAAATGAAAATGTACACATACAAACAAGGCTTTATCAATTGCTCTCATGAAATGAAAATAAGGCCATCTAGTCTTACAAAAACGAACGAAAACAAAATTCAACTATGAATCGCAAGCTTGATTTCAAGTTAATTAAAATTGCAGAAAATTGGAGATCCAAAAGTTTATAAAGTATGAGACACCAATACTCATCTAAGACTTATTTATTAGTGATTGAAAGGTGGATTTTTTAAAAGACAGGGTTGTCTGTCTGGTCATATGGGCGCCTAGTACTCTCTACCCCTTCCACCCCTTATTTACTCACTCTCTCTCTCTCCTCCCCCCAAACCCCACAAAATACACTTGCATATTGTTTGTCGGACCTCTTATCCGAATTATGTCAATAAACTAAACTATCGCCAATACTTCTGTTGGTTTATTTTGCTGATACAACGGTTGCAATATAGTGTGCGCTGTTTTTGTTTTGAACATTTTTATCTTTGTCCACTTCAATTTTATTTCTATCGACCAGTCTAAGGATATAAACAGGATAGTGAATATATTTTAAGTTTATTGTTTGGAGGAATTTGTTTTCAATAAACAATTTTGTACGATATCGTTTTTGACAGAAATGATGTTGTATCGAAATGACGTTGTATTTATTGGTTTCCTATACATTTTTTACCTCCCATCCTTTTATCCTTTTTGCAACTCGAGTCTACACACAGGCCCTGCCTATGTAGACTTTTTCCTTTGTTATAGAACAAACACACATTTGTTTACACTTTTGTTCGCTTTATTTGTACAGTATATAATTTTTATTTTGTTATCTAGTTGGTAATGTTTGCTGTATTATATTTAAGAAAAAAAATAAAATGTACTTATATGTATATAGTTAATGGAAAATAAAATATTATTTCATTCATTCTTTCATTCTTTCATTCTTTCAATCATTCATTCTTTCATTCATTCATCGTATTTGTGTACTTAGTACGATTGTATTACTCTTGCTCTATTTATACACTTTACCTACTGGTACTTATTAAGTAGTTTAATTTTAAAGAATATCAAAGTACAGTATTATGTTTTTATACTTTTTTTATTTTACTTGTACTTGTTTTAATTGATTGCGTCTAGGCTAGCCTTCATATTTTTTTTTATCATAAAATAATTTTAATATCACTACTTTAAACCAATTTTGTCACCTTTAAACATCATTAGTTTTATCATTCATTTTTTGAGTTATGGTAATTGAATTGAATGCAAAACACTCATATTTTTTGTCTGTGGCTTTGTTGTTTATGACTTTAATTTGATTCTTTTAGCATCCGTTATTTGAAAAACGTCATTGCATCAACAATCTCGTTAGTTTGTTCATTTTTATATAATAAATTTACATGGTCTATTTTTAACCATTATTGACCTTTATCCCGTTGCAATATAAATACTGCGTATTACTTTTCCAGGTAGTTCTAAAATAAATAGAGTTTAATACAAATAACACAATACACAACCACGACAAACTTGTATTTATAACATACACTAACGTATAATATTAAACACTAGGTCTAATAGCATTAAGTTTGAACCAAAATTCACAACAAATAAATACAAAAACTTAAGTTAAGTCAAAGACAAACATTGTAGATAAACAAAACCTTTCAAAGTTTGCAGGCAACTCTGTGCATCTGTATGTGTTTGGTTTTTAAACTTGAATAATACATTGTCATATAAACAAAATCATTTATATTACATTATTAAGAACTGGTTACACAAAAGATCCTGTCCAACCCAATATAAGTTGACAAAACATTTATTTCTACAGCTTAAGAATGCAGCAATAAATTAGACAATGAATAATTAATTTGTCATTCTTTTGAAAAATCTAGTAAGATTTTTGTTATATTTAGAGTCGAGTGCGTTCTTATGCTAATTACTTTTTTACTGTGAAACTATTACAGCCAAGTAGTACTAGTTAGCTGTATAGTTCTGCCCAATTGTGGAGGATATTATGCTATTAGGATTGTCCAAAGAGTTAATACTGTATTGCGATGTGACTGGAATTGAAGCAAATTTAATATAAATTTGCAATACAAATAATTAAACTAATTTACATCTCGCCTTTACTTAATAACGAGTTACCGTGGGGATGTGTCCTGTTATTTTTGAAATGCAGTAACCGATTTCATTTGATATTTTCAGAAAGTTCAGACATGAGCAAGGAAAGAAATAGTCACTTGTACGTGTTAACAAACTGAACAAATGAACATTGTAAGGGGATTTTAAATTATTAAAAAGGAATTTTCACATTTTCACACATAGGCATGGTTAAGTTGGAGTAAATGTTTTCAATTGGTAATATTCAAAAAGAGTAAAATCTTATTCTTTCATAATGTATTTTGAAACTAACGTACATTTTAATCTTGGTCCTAAATTTTTATAATAGCTCTCCTTGTATCCTGATTATGATTACTAATCCAATATTCATGTAAATAGTTTGAGGGTTTTATTCTAAATACGAATGGAGTGAGCTGGTCCAGTGGTAGAGCTCGGGACTTCGATCTCTAGGGTCCCGGGTTCAAATCCTGCCAAATCACCAATGGATTTTATCTAAGTGATAGTGTCGCAACCCCTAGGTCTAGCCTGAAGTAATGTGAAAAACAATATCAGGCTCGTGCCTAGCGTCTTAGAAAAAAAAAATCAAAATAGGAACACGATCAATTTAACACACGTAATGATACATCATCAAGTAAAAGAATGCATTTAAGATGGAACTATTAATGGGTTACTGTAATATTTCATGTTGGGGACGGGTAAGAAATCTTCCAGTGCCTTTTTGATTAATTACTGTGCTATCTAGGGCGCTTGCAGAAACATATTACTCATACCTTTAACTTACCGCCATAATCAGCACTATTTTTAACATCTCGCGGGTTTCGTTTGCCTCAATTTGAGAACTTTTTCCCGCGAGTGAATTTATAGTCAAGAAACTTTGGCTATGTTTTTCACCGACTTTCTTTGGAATTGTTTCCGAATACTTTACAAAAACATGTATTGTTTCTTCAAGGTCTTATACGATTCCATTCAAATAATTAACTCTTGATAATTGAAATGTTACAAAATTGTATCTATAATTTATGGAAAACGTTGGAAAACTATCTATGAACATAATCTTACTACTTTAAGAGTTGGAGGTAATGAAATACTGCTACTGAGTTAATAAAGTCTAATACAATTGGTAGACAGAATTCCAGCACTCAATAAATACAATACTTTACACTTAAAAACACCACTCGACCAAATATTTAGTATTTTAATAATCTGATTTCATATGGCATTCATTTGTATTACATTCGGTCTAGAGATACCGAATAGAGGAATTTTATTGTAATAAAAATATAAATAGAATTTGATATTCGATGTGCCATCATCTAACATACATTAGACTTCAGAATGTATTTTTAGTATTCAGCATGAATGTATGGTAAGTCTGTAGGATGGAACCTGGACAACCTTGGGACTGGCCAATATAAGGCCTGAGCAAGTCCTGGTACATGGAGCGTCAGGAGACAGGTTCCATAAGACAACCTATAATCATCATGTTTGAACAAAAAAATTCAGGACAGAAGTCTCGGGCTCCCTGAAGTTTTGGCTTCAAATCCCTCAAACCACTAATAACTTTTTGTTCAGCGATAATGAGTTTAAAGCCCAACTCAAGGT